TATTGAAGACGGGCTAGATATGAATCGCGTCGATAGAACAGTAGCAGAGCTACAAACAGCTCATAACCGTGCATCTCAAGCTTCTTTACGCGTTGCTCTGATCGCAAATTTCGAGGCCAAAGATCAGCCTGACGAAGATAGCGTTTCTACGCACAGCGAGGAGGACTTGCCGCCTGTGAGTTCTCATAAACGAGCTCATAGCGAGGCTAAAACTGCTTCAAAATCGAAGAAGCCACGAGAGAGTACTTCAACGCGTCAACGAGCAGCTGAGGCGGCTTTCCACGCTGCTATACCAAACCCAGCTATTGAGATTGGCCGTCAGCACAAGTGTGATCGACCTAACTGTCCGAATAATGGCTATCACTGCTATAATCTCTCTCGAATAGGCCATTTGAAGCTTAATATGGCTAATATTCGCGAGTGGAGAGATGCTATAAAGGATGACCCTGCTATTAATATCTATCATCCTCCTCCAGGGGTGCTAACCTGGTTGATTGAGGGTTATAAGAAGCAGAAGGAGCAGAATCAACAGCCTCTTGTTACTCCACAGCCTCTAATATCTACTACAGCTTCATCAATAGTAGCTGGCCAAGGGATGACGCTCAATATTAACCTCTCAGGGGGTCCTCTGCCGGCTACTCCTATCCACGAAAACGCAGATAACAGGGCTCAAGATACAGATATAAAGACCCCAGTTCCATCTGCTATAGCGCCAGCGTCAGCGCTACCCTTGCCAAGTAGCCCTATCCTACAGGCCAGAGATAAGGATGCCCGACTACTCACCTTCATTCAGGCTCGAATCCGTGCTCGGCCTGCGCGCCGTGCTGCATTTAACTATGCACAGGACCTGCTGATAAGTGCTGGCGTGAGTTTTTCAGATTTGGCTAGTTTGAGCAACAAAGAATGGAAGGATATTAGTATCAACATTGATATCAAGATGGATTTGCTAAAAAACGACAAAATATAGCATCTACAGCATTCAGAGGCCATTAACAAGGTTGTGAAGCATCTCCTAAGTAAGCTTGATCTTAATATACCTAAGGAGAGCAGAGGCGAGGAGCTCTAAGCTCGTAGATAAAGGATAGTTGGTATTAAGGAGTATATATAGACGTTGAGTAGTGTATTAAGTTTACATGTATTGTTATTTATTTTGTATAGGAACACGCAAAAATTTAATTACTAGAGTGTATTTAAGTTACTAGCGTATATATAAGCTTACAGAATTTAATTCTAAAATTTCGCTTAAACAGGAAATCCGTACTAAGACTTAGGCTTAGCAGGATATTATAACTTAATACTATAAATTCTATTAAGATAGCAGTTTGCTTTTTGACGATTATAGCTTAATTATAACAGCTACTACTACTTCTATACTATTAATTGATAGCTCTTTATCTATACTATCTCTCTATAACTTTATAACGCCTTAAGCGTATTATAAAGCACGTTAATAGTGGTTTTGTCAACACGAAAATGATAATAGCGAAAGTAATTCTTTGCATGCTTCTTAATGCTACAGAACTGCATAGCAAGATAGAAAAAGCCCTTATACTAGTTAGAAAACTGCCTTACAAGCTCTTTATTCCGTCTTATTCATGCTTTCAACAGAGAAAACGAGAATTCAATAGGGTTACAAGTCAGGAGAGTAAGGAGATAGATATATTAATCAAACGCCTGCCTCTTGGCATATATCTCTTAACTCCTATATATAAATATCAGTATTAATAGTAAATATAGCGTTAAGAGCTTACTTGACTATAATGAGCGCTGTGGTTATCTATAATCAGCACTGACTGTGGCCTAGGATACGGATTTATCTTTATTAGTAATCTTTAAATAAATGCGTTAAATCTCTCGTAGTTGAAGCTGCCGTGGTATATCTCATAGTCGAGATAGCCGTTAATCCCTATAGCTGGCAAGATGCTTCATCTCCTTAAGCGCCCGTTTAGTACTGTTACTCTACACAGTACGCTGCGTAGAGACCAACCTCTTTGAATTGCAACACTTTCGCAATGCACAGTACCTGGCGCGGAAGTTGTACGGCTTGTCTCAGGGCAGCCAGATTCGAGCGCCAGATTCAGAATTTTCAGATTCGGCGTGTCGGCGTTTCGGCTGACTTAGCAATGTAAATGTGACCGCACCATAGTAATTTGTATGTAGTGTTCCTGAAGAGTTTCTCACCACTGCCATTTGTGTAATTTGATGCCACTGTTGCTTCCAAATAGGTATTGATATAGAGAACTTGCTGTTGAGTTTCTGCAATGGCCTTACTTTGGCAAGCAAAGCCCGGGTGCCCTGTTCATCTGCGGGATATAATTGAGCGCTTCGTCAACGAGAGAGACCCTGCCTGGCGCCTGCACCCTACCCGTACAGGTGAGGTATTTGACTCATTTGATCAGTGCCAGGAGCGTTTAAACGTATTCGCAATGGTTGAGGGCTTTGCAATAACTGTTCGAGGGGCTGGAGACCCTCGAAATCCGTGTAAGCGTTTTCGGTGTATTCATCACGGAGATGAGACTCGAAATCATAGAGATCTTGAGCATCGCGCTGAAAAGGACGCTAAGGGCAAGATAATCAGTAATCGACAACGAGATACAACCCACACAAAGCAGAAAGGGTGTACCTGGTACGTTTTCTGCTCCTTCAAGGATATTGGCAAGCGCGGCTCTGGTGTTAAGGGTTTCTGCCTTGTTGCTCCAGAACTATCTCATTCTCATCGCCTTATGGAGAATCCCTTGGTATATATAGAGAATCAGAACCTGCTTCCTGAGTATCGTCAGCTTGTTACTCTTTCTTATAAGCATCATAAGAACGTTGTTCCTTACTCTCAAAGTCGGCGGATTCTTAATAGCGAGGATTTTGGTGTCTTTTTGAGCGCTAAAAAGTACTATAATCTTATCCGAAATCAACCTGCAGATAAGGGAGATTCTGAGTCGATACAAGGCCTTCTTAAAGCCCTTGATGATGCTGAATTCATCCATCATTAGTATATCAGCACAGAATACAATAATAAGGGCAAACTAATAGCGCAGCGACTTACTCAAATCTGGTTTGCTTATCCAAAACAGCTTGCTGTAGCTCAAAGGTTCGTTGCTAATCAAGTTCTTATTATTGATGGTACTTTCAATACGAATAAGCTTCGCCTTCCTCTACTTGCTGCTGTTGGTATAACGAATTCAGGAGCAACCTTCCCTATGGCGTTTAGCTACTGCCCTTCGGAGAGCAAAGAGTCGCCCAAATTCTTCTTCGACTGCCTTACCCGTGAATGCTTCAAATCCGAAGATAACGTCCTTCCCTGTCGAGTTGTTATTGGCGATCAAGGTGGTGGCCTTATTACTGCTCTTCCTGAGGCCTTACCAAAAGCCCTGCTACAAAGCTGCGATTAGCATGCTGTTAAAGCAATAAAAAGGAGATTCAGAACTTCTGGATACAAAAAGGACCAAGTGGATATCTTAAGTGACCTTTGCTGGATCTATATCAAGAGCGCAACTGCGCAGGAGCTTAAGGACAACTGTGAGAAGCTTATAGATAAGCTACGGCCTGCTGAGAAGAAGTATATACGTGAGATCTGGGTACCAAAAGAGGAGCAAGTGGTATATTACTATACAGATAAGTATATGAATCTCGGTTATACCTCAAGCTCTCGATTAGAGAGCTATCATCCAGTTCTCTGTGTGATGACTAACAGCCAGCTATCTCTTGAACAATCTGTTAAACGGCTTATTAGCACAGTTATCTCTATCCTTAAAACGCTTGATTTGGATGAGGATTCCTCAAAACGCGATCGCCCCGTCAGTTACAACGCGATAAGGCTGTATTTCGATTTCTATTTAATGAAATTAGTCTATTTGCTCTCAACAAGCTAGTAAACGAGTGGGAGTTAGTCAAGGAAATAGCTGCTAAAAGAGGACCTAGATATATAGCAGTGTCAGTGTCAGCTGCTTCTTTAGTGGTATCTACCCTGCAAAAATCACCTATTTGCTATCGTCAAGAGTGGCCAGCCTATCCCTAAGTCTCTGATACACCCTCGTTGGTGGATTAACGGCCCAATCATTCGATTCAGCAACTGGATACCAACTAATCAAGAGGCTAGTAACGCAGTGATACGAGAGACTAACTATCTATCCCCACAGCGTCGCCAACACACTTCCGCAGGGCAGCATCTCCTTGTCCTTAGAGACGCTCTATCTAGTACAGATCAAGCCTATATCGATGACGAAATAGCTCAGAATGATAAGAGAATATTAGGTCTGGCACAGGCTGCGTATGAGGGTCGTGGGGTCCCCCTGTGGCCAACCCTTTACCTGTACCAAAGCAGAAATGGGTACTTAAAAAGGCCCACGGCAAGGCGAACGCTAGGGGGCTTACAGGGGCTGAAATAGCTGCAAGAGAGCTTATAACGCTCGTGAGCGTGAGCAGAGACTGCGAGAGAGAGAGCAACTCGCTATCGAGATGACTCGGAGCGCTTCTACTGCAGCAGAGATTCTCCAATTTGGTCCAGGGCAGCAGGATGAGAGATACTTTCGGGGCAGCAGAATGAGATACTCATCAGAGCAACGCCGCCGCCGCCTTCAGAGGAGTCAGTTACCAGGGCAACGCTGTTACCGACAGAGGATAGCTTGCCCGTATCTCAGGAGGAGGAGAATCCATTTATTCTACCCGCCTCAACAGCTCCTGCTCTGCTGCAGACCAATGCACGGCCAAAACGCGCGAGGGGACCTACCCTGGACTACAAGGCTATGCACGAGGGCAAGCAGAATCAGCCGAAACGAGGCAAATAGGCCTATACTAGGTACAACAGCATAGAATGTATCAAGAGTCCTAAATAGGCAATAGGCCGCACAGCAACTCTGGTTGAACTGCACTCTGATAGATATTTCATATGGGGGGTTTGAGTGATAAATTCCCCACCCAATTTTGGTGGGGCATATATTGCCAAGCCCCCAAACGCCGACACGCCGAATCTGAAAATTCTGAATCTGGCGCTCGAATCTGGCTGCCCTGAGACAAGCCGAAGTTGTACGTCTCGATCATAAACTTCCTGACATCTTTAAGGGGCTTATCTTCAGTTAGAAAATGTTGCTTCAGTATTTCTCTGTAAAGCTCCCAGGGCTCTTCCATGACTGCTTGTGCCTGAGGCATGAGGAGGCGGGAGACTTTCGGACGAGGTACTTCACGGGGGTCTAATATACTCCCAAATTGACTGCAACAAATTAGCCTAGGCTGACGCGCAAGCGCGCCACCATACCCTTTCATTGGTTTCAAACCACAACCATCGTGCATCCATAGTGAGAGCTAAGCCCTAGTGTCGGCACACTATCAGGCACCCTTTGCCATTATTTGGGGGTATGATTGGTTGGTTCCAAAACCTTTACCAAGCTCTCTCGTAAGACTCATAACCACTGCAAATATTCACCTAAATGCTTTGATTCTAATTCGTACTTCCCAGAACTGTTCTGCGGAATACACGTTGCTGGGTTCCGAAGCCGCCATAGCCATGGTTCGACGCCCCAGCATTAAGTTGAATGCGTGTTGTCCTTGCGCAGTCATCTAGGTTTGATTGGCTCCTCCCAGAACCCTTCTCCACGCTCTCTTGTAGTAAAATTCTCTTGCTCAGATGGCAGGCTAGTTCTCAAATACTAATATGACAGAGCTATCTGCCACAATAATACTCAAGATCAGCAATGCTCCCTTTCACGCGAACAAAACTGACGAAATCCTACATTTCATAGCATCATATCCGGGTCAGTTGTCTGCCACATCAAAGCATACCCTACTATGACAATGGCCATATCAGTGGAAGCCCGCATCGCAATTATCGGCCTCTTCATTGCTTTACTACCCTCAGTATTCATTCTCTGGAAGGTGTTCTGGACTAGAAATCGACGGTCTGCGAATCTGGGTAGGATGGATCCTTCGATAATTATCAATTACGGCCCCCCTATGTGGTAGTATCTGACTATTTCAACAAACAGATCCAAGTCAACGACAAAGACCTAACCATCCATTCCCGTCCATTTATAACCAAACCGCCTTTATTAGCGATATCGATATCAGGCTCGAGTTCGGGATTCCTGTCACCAGCGAGCTAATACGTAAGACTTTACTTCACTGCACTCCGGTCCTTCCTTCTTTCTCCGAAATCTTTGTCTGGGACTCCTGATATATGATACCAACCCGCCGTGCGTACTAGATATCCATAGTCAGCAATTCAGGCGACATACCTCTTCACCGCCCTAGCATTCCTAAAACCTCAAGGTGGGGTCCGACTCGCCACAGTTTGTGTTCACAACAACCTCAGCTCGACGGGCGTCTCAATCAACTCTGAAAGAACTATCTTCAGGTTTCAACCTACATGAACATTTATATTTGAGCGGAGTATTAGATGTTAGAAAATGAAAGGGTTTTACAGTACCCGGTCAAAAGTCTCCGTTGATTTCGCGTTTTTCGCGTTTTTTCGCGTTTTGCACCCACAACCCACCCATTCTATCAACGAATTATGCCCCCACGAAGGCCACTACGCGAAATCAGTGGTAATAGGCCTCTTCATCATGAGTTAACGCCTATTGAGCGCGCAGAGATAGTAGGCGCAGCCAAATGTGGAGTGAGATTCGCTGAAATTGGTCGCATACTCAATTTCGCGCCCTCAACCGTCCAATATACCTACGAACTATCTGAACAACGCAACCTCCACAAATCGATCTCGCGTGCGGGCAGACCCTCTATAACGTCCGAAAGAGATAAAAGAGCCATTGTACGATATGCTCGTTCCTATCCCAAATCAACTTATGCACAAATGCGTCAAGATCTACAGATTCAACTCTCCGACAGTACTATCAAGCGAATTCTACTTCCTTATCATCTCTGCAAATGGCAATGTAAAAAAAGACCAGAATTAATACCAGAAGTGATTGATCTTCGATATCAATGAGTATTAAATCGTAAAGACTAGAGCGTTAAAGAGTGGGCTATAATAATATTCTCGGATGAATCAAGCGTTGAACGAGGCAAAGGAGATCAACGTGAATAGGCCTGGCGTATAGCTGCATAGAAATGGGATCCTTAATTTGTATAAACTTACAAAAAGGGCTATGATATAAGTATCATGGTATAGGGTGCTATTTGGATTAGAGGACGTTCTAATTTGGTTATTATGACTTGTGATGAGCAAGCGCAACGTAATAGATACTTAGCTAATTCTTATATTGATGTACTTAACTAAACTATCAAGAGATGCTGGCAACCTAATATAACATTTATACAAGATAATACCCCAATTTATACAGCTAAAAAAGTTACGAAATAGTTCGAAGATCAAGGTATACCAGTACTTGATTGGGCACCCTATTCCCCAGATTTGAACCTAATTAAACACGTCTGGGCTTAGATGAAGCAGTAGATCAATCAGCAGTATCCATATCTTAAGGATCTAGGGGATTCGCAAGCAGCGTATGATGAATTGGCTCAAGTAATCGTAGAAGCATGAGAGGCTATTCCGCAGGATAAAATCGACTCCCTTGTCACAGTTCAGAGTCAGGAGTATGCACTGAACAAGGAACGCAGATTGAACTGAGATTTCTAGCTACCGAGTCACGACTACAGACAAGCGAGAGTATCTATATACATTGTAGAACAGAAAGGGGCAGGACTCAGGAAAACATGACTAGACATCGTACCATCATCTCAGAGCTTCCGTACGAGACAGAAGCTAGGAATTGGAGCGGGAGAGAGCGCAAACAGAATTAGTGTGTTGGAGGTTCCGTATGGCACGCGAGAGCATCTGACAGCTCGAGCATTCACACAGGTGCAACCTGTAACATCCCTAATCAAGTCAATAGATAACCGGGTGAATGCCGTACTGCGGGCAAAAGGATGGCACACCAGATACTAAATCAAGAGACCTAATTAGGAAATTAGTACGATTATAATCGCTAGACATTAACGGTCATTTTGAGCTATTTTTCATAAAATTCCGATCAGAGTTCAGTGTGTAGTAGTAAAATGTATAGAGTAGAGAACAGTTAGGGGGGGTGGTAAAATTCGTGTGCACGGAGACTTTTGACCTAGTACTGTAGGTCTGTGCTGAATCCTCCGCAGAGGCTAAATTTTGCCGAGACTAAAGTCGCTTCTGTAAGCATTAGTAAGGGGTATTCTGCAACCATCTTGTCCTCCCTACTCCGTATTTTAGTTTCAATAGCGGTTGAAGATTAGAGGCTGGAGAGGAAATTGAATTTGGAGAGGTCAAGATTCGGGTGTGGATCTTGTGGTATTACCGTATTCCCACCCGAATCTGGACCGTGCCTTAGCAAATGAGGTTGGTCATTTCTGCTGTCTGACAAAGGGATCGGCTAGTTACCCGGCTCAGCCTCGGCTCAGCCTCCCCCAGTACTCCCTCTGCTCATCCTTTTATTCATCTCCCATCTCAATACTGCCTAATCTCAGGTTACTCACATATCATATTATTTCTGAGCACTTACTATTATCGCAAACTACAATTCACCTACATCAATATTCATAATATTGTCAAATCCTTCTCCAGCTGGGCGCTGAAGCCAAAGAAGTTGTTGCTCAATCTTGCTTTCTGACGCTCTTGGCTCTAACTTGCATGCAATGCCTGACCTGGGTTAATACCTCAATCTACCGTGAGGAATGCGCGACTGCATAATCAAATCTCTCCAGGGCAGTGAATTGGTGCTCAGTACCTTTTGCAGGTACAACTTCTTTTGACTTTTTGAGTGTCTTGGTCGCTGAGAACTAGGTCGCTGACAACTCAGGCTGTATGGTAATCTTTTTCGATTTGGCATCTTCTAGTCTGAGAACGCTTTTCATCGTTCTGGAGAAAATCTTCTTCGAGATGGATGTCAATACCGTTTTCCTGAAGGATATGCCCTTCATGTTATCAGTAGGAAAAGATGCATGGAACCGTGAAAACAAGCCACAGCCCGTCAGTATCACCCTTCGAGTCAACAACGTCAAGTCAATCCATGATGTAGCTGCTTCCGATGATATCAGCCAGAGTCTTGACTACGGCAAGTTATATAAAAATATCCAGAGCAAGCTGGGCAATCCTGGAGGTCACGACTGCCTTTCAGATATTGCTAAGCAAGTCCTCGCAGCCGTCGAGGTACCAGAGACCAGCAGCTCTGTCGAGGTCGTTTTTCCTAAAGCTGCTCTACGAGCCGAGGGCGGCTTGAGGTCTATTGTCAACTGGGACAAAGACCGAGATGTCACGAATGTCTATCAGACCTTGCAGATTCTAGGAATCAAATGTGCCTGCGTTATTGGCGTCAATCCACACGAGCGAAGGGAGAAGCAGATCGTGGTTGTGAACTTGACCTTCAGAAGCACATCTAATACGAAGGAGGCCACCGCAGTAGAGATCGCACTGGACAACTATCACGAAATCATAGAAATGGTCGTTAAGGTGTGTCAGCTCCTTATCCTTCCCTCTGCTCTTCATTGTTTTTTTCCTGTTGTTGTCAACGCTTATTGTTATTGCTGATCCTCATTACTGCTTCCATATCAGCAACATGCCTAATTACAAGTTATGCTGTCGACCAGCTGGCGGGACTGCTGATAGTGATGCTAATACTCCATCACCAGTTCATAGAAGGATCCTCCTACCAGACAGTCGAAACATTAGCCAACCTATTATGCAAGCAAATCACGATGCAGTGGGACATTTCTGAGGCCGAAGTCTCAGTCGAAAAGCCTTACGCTATCCCCAGTATTGGGGCAGCCGGCGTGTGCATACGGCGAAGGAGATCTTTCTACGAGAAAACGGGCTTCTGGAAAGTGAAGGTACAGCAGCAGTCGCAGCAGTCATAAGCGTTGAGAAGACCAAGACATTTCCAAGTCGACATCTCTGCCAGAGACCATGTGCAATTCCCAGTCGCGGAACAGCGGGCTTGGGCATACAGTGTAGGAAATCATTCAGTGATAAAGATATCACTGGCAGCGCAAAAAGTGGATAGAATGAGTTCTTGTACAATTACATACATAAAGAAGCGTCTTCTGTAATTATCGATATCACTCTTCACATCCTTCGATCATGTATGTACGCGGTCGAATATGGATAGCCAGCTGTTCGCGGCAAGCAGTCGATCGATATTTACCCCCTGAACGCCCCCCTGAACCGGCCCCTGAACCGGCGATACCAGCAAGCAGAATGGTATTCCGCAACAACCCGTCCTAAATCTCTAGGCACGCCAATAAGTACGCAATGATCACATCAATATACGCATGTACCTTTCAAGGCGAAATTTGTACACAGAATAAATCCCTCCAGAAGAACTTGCAGGGACGCCATATCTGCACGCTTAGAGTAGTACACTCTCAAGACTTCTCGCTGGGTGGCTTATTACCAAGATCCTCAACGCTGGGATTCTTGGTGGTAAAGTCCTCTTTAGGGAAATTTCCAGCAATGGACTTCCCATCGTTCTTGGCCTTCTTATTGAAAAAGAATGCCAGTTCCCTCTTCGTATACTTATGCACTTTCATTTCGGTCTTCCTAATCGGCCCCGCAAGAAAAGACTTCCTGACATTGACCTTGGAAAGATCCGCCAACATGCCCATCTTAGCGAGCTCGTACTCCGTCTTTGCGGCCGCATACTTCTTCTTCAGCTGCGCGGTTGAGAAAATATTGAGACCATCCTTCTCCTTGTTGTCGCCGATCTTCCAACCAAATTCGACAGCGACATCCTCGTCCGTGAGCCCGAACTTACGGAACAGAGGTTTGGCCCACTGCTCGACGAGTTCAATGTTGGTCATCGCTGTCTCAAGGGCGCGCATATTGGCTTTCGCGGGGGCTTCGGAGGTGTTGAGGTGGGGATTCTCGACGTCCTCGCTGTACCAGAGAGCCTTGGCGGCCTCGAGCTCTTGGAGGGCACCGTGAATGATGATGCGGAGGGTACGGAATGTTGGTCTGACCACGGGGCTCACGTGAGAAGGAGAGGATTCGAGAGTCACGACGTCATCATCGTCCGAGGAGTCAGGGGAGGAGGTCTCGCTGACCATGTCTTTGAATGCTAGTAGAGGCATGGTGATATCTGCGTTTGGAGGCTTCTGTAACGACATATAGGAGTCTTCTTTGAGCGCGGTTGACTTGTTATTAGACGGCTGAAAAGGTTGTTCGGATTTGCCTACGTCAACCCAAGGGCTGGAAGAGCGCGATATGTTGTCGTCCAGCTTGGTCTCCCCATTGTCAGCTTGACCACCTGCAACAGCTGCATGGCTTTCAGTGTTGAGTCGGTCAAGACCAAAAGCATCGTCAAAGCTTGCAGATCCGTTAATATCGTCCATGCTTATTGCAGCATCTGTAGTGGCTGCTGGTTTAGACCTCTCAACCTTGACAGGCAGCATTTTGTTTGGTGTCCGGATTTTGTAACCTGGCAGAGAAGACTCCTGTGGTTGGATTTCGAGTCCGCTTGGGGTCGATACCAACTTCATCTCGCCGGCATCAAACCAGTATCGGTCATTTTCAGTTTCCGAAGTGGGCTCCTCACAAAATAAATCCCACAATATCATGCCAACTCTTGCTCCTCTCGTCTCGACTACCGCAGATAGCACAGTATCAAAGACTCGCGAGTGAAGACCCACGACGTTGCTGTCTGCAAAATTTAGAATCCATGACCGGGCAGCACGTGAGAGAAGAGTTTCTGGGATGGCCTCCACCACACGAAGGAGGCTAGCTAAGCCGCGACGATGATTTTTGATCTGATCTCTTCTGAAATCCCCGGGTATTCCTCGAAAATCACCTTTCAAGAGCCAGTCTAGTAGGGAAAGACCTGGTGACAGATGTCGGGCTCTACGCTCCTTCCATGTATGTTCGGCAAATGATTCGATTCTGATCAGTGCGGCCATTGTGGTTGCGATATTATCCAAGCTATTGCCTCCACCTTTTGCTTCTGTCAGAGCTGCAAGTGCGTCACCTGCTTCATCGAAATGTCCACGTAGCAAGTTTGAGTCTGTGAGACTTCGCAAGTAGCTGACAGGAGGTTTTCGGGGCTTTTGCATTACAGCGTCTACCACGTCTCGCAGTAAAATATGGTCTTCTGTTGCTGTAGCAAAGCGAAGCAGAGAAGGGCTCAGGGAGGATCGACTGTAGAGGTTTAGAGGGATCAGAGGCCCGTCCACATCCATGGAGTAAACCAGCCACTGGCCCAATTCTGTCATTCCAGCATCGGTTATAGAATCCAGAAGTGGGGCAAGCTTCTGTGCTGGTAATTGTCCGTGAGACGAGGTGTACTCTTCACCAAAGGCGAATCTTCGAGGCGAAAAGAAGCCCTCATCTTGCCGCCAAGTGGTATGGAGAAATGAACTGATGGACCGTAATTTACTCTGGTCAATCAACTCCAGTATCTCGGTAAACGTTTCAACAGTTCGACCAGTTCGACCAGCGAGAGCGAAGTTTTCCAATGTTTGATGGAGGATACCGGCGAATACTTCCGATTGACCCAACACAGAGTCAACATCAAGCGAAGGAAGATAGCCAGCTGCTTTGCGGGTACTTTCAAGTGACCGTATGTACTTGAGTCTGTTCACAAGCATCTGCAGTACTTTCGGGTCTTTCTCAAACTCAAAGAAGGATGGTTGCAATAATCGCACTGTAAGATAGTCAAAGTATTTGTCTGGTAGACTATGAGGCTCAAGAAATGTGAGTAATTTGGTTATCGAGGCCAACGCAGTCTCCTGCGTACAGCCTCTATCATGCATATCCGCACTTCTACAGTTGAGCGAGGCTTCAACCAGTGCGAGCACAACTTCAACGGATATAGTGCGGCTCTCCATCTCAGCAAACGGTTTTTCAGTGCTGTAACCCTCGGTCAGTCCAACAGCCCCGCCGTGACGAAGTTTCACTCTATTCCAATCGACAGATGCCTTGGGCGATGCACTCCCTGAACCAGACATCCACTGAACAGCGAACCATGGTGATTCAGTGTTCCATGTACGCATGCGCTCGACTATCCAAGAGCCAGCTCTAGCAAATCCGCCGTCAGCACAACACCAGAGGATGAATTCCAGCCACACCTCGGGGCCAAGTTCTTTGACTTTAAGCCTAAAACGACCCCCAGGGGGATCATGACCAAGATCTTTATAAGTTGCCCCTGCACTAGCGGCTTGGGCAATGACTTCGTCCGAGTGAGCACGCCAAACCGCATCAGATAGAGTGGTCAACAGTCTGGAGGAGAGGACGTGCACGATGGGCGGCCGGCGTACGGCAGAGTCGTAGCTGCTATTGATATAAGAATAAACGTGCTCAGGCACAAGATCGGAGTTGTGGAGCAGAGCAATAATTTGATAAACGTTCTTCATGGCTTCTTGAGATTGTACGGGTGGCAGTTCGGCTGCTTTAAGGATGATAGATCCTAATGACATCCATATCTGTTCGACAGCAGTACAGTTCTCTGTAGACATCGCGTCTGTGTAACGGGGATCAAAATGGAGATCGTCCCAGAGGGTCGAGCTTGCGGTATCGAAACTAGTTGTTGGTTCCAATTCGATCGGCCCAAACACCACGTCTTCAAGAGATATCGAGGTGGGCCAACCCAGATTCGAAGGCAGTCCAGCCAGAGGGTCATTCTTGATGCGAGAAGTGGCATCCTCGATCAAGATTTTTACGACTGACTGGACCGCAGGCCAACGTCTGTGCTTGAGGCCAAGCTCAGCAAGAACATCGACTGCAGAGTTGGTTCCACGAGCCTCCGCAAGAATATTTGTGACTGCCTCACATTTTTCTTTTGTACTCAGGTTTGATTTATCGCCCTCGCACGAGGAGGTGCGGAATTGTGGCAATAAAAATGGTTCCAGTGCTTCGAGCCATGCTGCTTGATCGCCGGTCTTTGTTGAGGATAGCAATGGTCTCTGAGAAGCACTCGAAACTCCTGATTGTTCTTTCTTTGTAAGGATCTTCTTTGGCGTCTTCTCGAAATTCGTCCCATCTGCTCTGGCGCACTTTGAGAAACATCGAGTGCCGGCTGTGGACACACCCCTCGCATCATGTAAATAAAAGCGTGATCCCCAAAGCAATTCTACTCGCAGCTTTCCAGAACGCAGGCTCCGAGATATGGGCAGTATACGACCAAGGCATATGGGCATGACACGATGAAGGAGTGTGTGGAAATGTAGACTGCATTGAGAGGGACCGCCCTGGTTGTTGGTGTAAAGGTAGAATAGAGGCTACCGAGCCCCGCAGGTAAGCAGTGCCATCTTCTACCTCTTTGTGGTACGTAGTACTTTCCACCAAAAAAGTGCGACTTCTAGCACTACTTAGTCCATGATGTCGAGACGCGAACAGTGCCAAGGGAAATTGCCATTTACGCCAAGACCGTAGCTTTACGCGACACAGCTTGAAGCTTCGGGAAGCTGTCTCGCTCACAAGCTATTAGCTACGATAAAGACCCAACCCTCCCCAGCGACAGAATTCTTATCATTCAACGATCTGACGCTTGCGCATCGCTACATATTGTGGCTTCTCGTTTTCACTGAAAGATTACATTCTGCTGAAGTCACCGGTTCAACTATGCCTTCCTATCGCTTTGGTAAGTCAACACCAATTCTTTGACCTCTGTCCTGTCAGGATTTTCTTCTCTGGGGTTTCTGTTTGTAAAAGAGAGCTATCTTTCTTCTCAGCGTGCCTCTTGATTTCTTGATAATACCCTAGTTTCCCTGCCTAAGTTGTTCATTTTCTCGCGTTCTGATAAACTCTACTACAGAAGTCGCAAAGCAAGGTCGAGCGACTTGCAAAAGCACAGATTGTAAAACCGCTCAAGTGAAGATCTCAAAAGGAGAACTACGATTCGGCAGTTTTGTTAGTGGACCTGACTTTGATAGCTGGAGCTGGAAACATTGGTGAGTCGCGAAACTTGAGCCACCATTCTGTTTCTCACCGTATGACTCCAGGGGATGTATCACACCAGCCCAGATAGACAATGTTCTCAAGTCTATCGATGGATTCGAGGCATTTGAGGAAGATCCAAATGTTTTAGATGGCTACGACGAGGTTGGTGAGGAGAATCAAGCGAAAATTCGTACCGCACTCAAGGAAGGTCATGTACCGGACGAAGATTGGAAAGGCGTAAGTCTGCATATGCTGTTTTCAGACACTTCTGATATGCGTAACTAGGACCTCGAGAACAATCGTCTTGGTGCGAGAGGTATGAAGAAGAATAGAACGCCAAAGAAAAAGAAGAAGGGAGACGAGGAGGAAGGAGAGGCAGAAGGCGAAGCTGAGGCTACTCCTTCAAAAGCAAAACCAAAGAAGAGCAAGAAGCCTAAAGCCGCAGAGTCTGGAGACGAAGCCCCAGATGGCAGTCCTACTCCGAAGAAAGCACCTCGCAAACGTAAGGCTCCAGTCGAAGACGAAGAGCAAGCTTCACCAAAGCCGGCCAAGAAGCCACGGGCCAGAAAACCCAAGCAGCAAATCCAAAACGATTTAGAGTCCGAACCTGAGGTCATGCCAACTAAGAAGCAGCGCGGCAAGACAGCTAAGCCAGCGGCTGAGACAGATGGTGCACTTGACAGGAATGATGCTGCTGCCGCCGCAGAAGTTAAACCAGTAAAGAAGTCTGCAGCCAAGAAGGCACAGGCCGAAGAGGAAGAAGAACCCCTTCCTGCACCAGCCAAGGCAAAGCCGACCAAAAAGTCTCGTGTAAAGAAACCTGAGGCGAAGGAAGTAGAGCTCGAAGCAGGAGCAACCGCGGACCCAGCCAAAGTTACGATGTCTAGAGGCCGGCCCAAGAAAGTAGCCAAAGCCGAGAAACTAGAAGAATCACCAGCTGACGTCGAGGATCCGGCCAACGGCGTTGAGAAAGCTGCTAATGGAACTGCTGCAGTGGCTGCCGAAGCAGAAGCCGAAGTTGAGGCTGACCCAGACATTGCCGAGCCAGCGAAAGATAAACCTGCTGCTAGAAGAGGTGGAAGAAAGAGAGCAGTAAAGGCTTGATTGATTATGGCCTCGAGCACGTTCTTCATGATCCCCATGTCAGTATTTCCTAACGAGAGGGAAGTGTTGTTTTCCCATGAGCTGTCCGAGCATACCCTGTACGAATATGAATATGACTACCAACAGATGAGCACCGGCCGTCTCCACCTTATCGATCTCGATTGTCCTTGTCTGCTGGCTATGTTTATGCGTTGCTACCTTCATTTTCCAAAGGCGATGGAGTTCGGATGATAAGGAGGAGGTCTCTCAAATCCTCATCTTCTCGTGTAAGAAAGGCTTGATAGCAAACCGTTACAGATCTTGCAATATCAAACGCTCCGAAAAATTCTTACAGCTCCCCGAAATCAGATGTCTGTGGGGACTGGTTAGTGATGCTGAGAAGCATTCCCCTGCGTCTTCTATTTCTCGATCACCAAATAACCTACCGCTTGAGTTCTACACCGGCCTCCCATGATCTGCAATCGTGAACCAGCCGCCACATATATCGTACCACCTTTCCATCGCTGCACAGAACGCCACTCCCACTGCAGCTGCATTTCATTATGCTGTCATCCACTACATCCATCTGCACTGCAGTCGCAAAGCAAACGCATGAGTAGAAGCACAAGCTCGCAAAACGGGAAATGCCCCACCATTTTTCCCATATCCGTCTCTCCGCCTATCTATCTATCTATCTATTTCTCAATTTCCACCTCCCCCCATTGTTTCCAACCTTTAACCCCCCCTCTCAAAGCCCTTCCAATCCCATCCTCCCTCGGCCTTCTTGCTGGGTACTCCGATTCAAGGAGCCACTCCAGTCAGACCAAAGAAAAAAAAGCTGGGGGCATAGTACAGCCAAGTCAGCCGTTCCACGTAACTCGTAACACGTCAAATATAACAACATAACTCTCTCTTCCACAGTAGTATGGGTCAGACAAGCATAAGCCCGCCCGTCTCGGCATTCTTTCCCAGATGCTTCTATAGTAGGTTAGTTATCGGAAGAGATAGGTAGGTGCTAACTCAGGAAATGATGTTTGTCAGGTTAGTTACGCTATTACTGACTCTTCACGGTTGAGACAGGTATCATGATAGGCTACTACTACTAGTAGTACTACCACTACTAGTAAGTAGTAAAGACTCCGCGGATAGGTCGAGGTTGAGAAGGCTGATTGTGCAGCATTTATGCTGCGTGAGTCGGTAAGCAAGTAGCACTACAAGGATATCTACCCCCTTTCAAGGCAAACACGAAGACACACGACAGAAGTACTGCTACTGTAGCTTGTGTGTGGTAGTATTCCGTGCCCCCGAGCCGAAACTCCATGCTAAATCGGCCGCAAAGATCAATGGTAACGCTGGTTACCGGACCAAAATACTCCCTCCGTGACCACCCCTTAAAATTGCCTGCTCTCCCCAATATCACACACATCGAACACGCCCACTTCCTGCACCCCTCTCAACTTCAACGCGTCGCGCAACTTCCTCGGCGGCTCCAGCACATCCTCCTCCGTCAACACCCAGGTGCCCCAATGCATCGCCAGCGCCCTTTTACATCCCGTAGCCTTGAAGATCTCCACCGCGTCCCTGGGATCCGCGTGCATGGGGCTCATGATGAAGCGCGGCATGTATGCGCCGATTGGGATGAGGCCGAGATCGAAGGGACCGCGGAGCCGGCCTATATCCGCAAATGCGGGGCAGACGGGGAGGTGGGCGTACTGCTCTGACCAGTCGTCTTGGCCGTCGGAGGAGAGCGGTACAGCGCGATAACCTGTGTCGCCTGCGAAATAGACGGAGGAGGGGGTGGTCGTAGATGGGGCTGAGGAGACGGACCAAGAAGACCAGAGGGTTGCGCCGCGGTCGAAGAGGCCGCGGTTGGCGATGTGTTGGCTTGGTAGGCAGGATATTCGGGCTGTTATGATGTCCCCACCAGCTGAGGACGGGTTGCACCCGTCCTCTGTGGATGTTATGCTTGGTCTTGGAGATTCTTTGGAAGTGGACGGAGAGGGTGTGAGGGTGAAGTCAACTTCGTCCCACCAGTCCATTTCTGTGACATTGTTGATGCCGGCATCCAAGAACCACTTCTTATTGCCAAGGGGAGCAAAGAAATGGCAATTGGGGTGTAGGCGAGCAATCTCGGTGACGGTGGGATGGGAGAGGTGGTCGTAGTGGTTGTGAGATATTATGACAGCGTCTATGGTAGGGATATCTTTAATCTGACATGGCGGGTCTGTGTATCGTTTGGGACCAAGCCAGGAGAATGGGGAGCAGCGATCGGTGAAGACAGGGTCGAAGAGGACACGAAGACCGCTGGGAAACTCGACATAGAAACACGCATGGCCTAACCATGTTGCCCGTAGTTTGTCGGTACCATGCCTGCTATTGAGGAATTCTGGAGGCCTGACTGGGACAGTAGGTGGAGTCGTATCAGGGATGTTGGCTTTGCCCGTCAGACGTCGCACGATCATTGCTCTCCCAATTTCCAAGGCACCCATCGAGCTAAAGAATTACAATAGTGAGTAAAAACATTGGTCGAGGCCGTACAAGACTCCTTCCACTCACCTCCATGACTCCCATGGATTTGTAAAGCCTTTGCCCTTATGATGTGCTTTTTTCTTGGTGAGTTCATCTTCCGGTCTAGCACTTGAGAGGGAGGGAGCTGCGACGGTGGCCGCGTAGAGGATTGCAGAGGTCTGAGCTGACATTTTGCGGGTGGACTGAGGCCGACGGATTCTGGAAGGATTGTGATGGAATACAGAGCGGAAGAAAGACCTCATCAGGACTTTCGAAGAATGCTCAAAGAGACAGAGAAGAGGGCAGTTCTTAGGTAGGCAAATGTGCCTGGTCGACCACACTTCAAGCCACACTTCCAGTCACACATGTGGTGATTCCTTCAATAGTTCATCCGTCCAGTCTCACGGAATGACCATTCACCGACGGCGGGCGACTTTCGCTGAAGCCGGACAAAATGTTTGAGGCCTAGTTCCCAGCTTACTGCTCTCTATCCTTACAGCACGTAGTAGGCGATCGGGTTTAAACGGTTGGCAGACTTATCTCCATCTACCTCCTAACTACGGAGTATGGAGTATGGAGTACAGGAAATGTATTTCTCCGGCCTCTCATGCATCGACAAGGATCCTTTATATTCGGCAGAGGAGTTGTCCCAGCCCTTCATCTACCTTTTCACCAACTCATTGGACAGGTGGAGGACAAGCAGAAAAGAAGAGATGGTCTTTGCTTGTACAATACTGGTTTATTTACGCGCTTGGATTCTAGCTTAATTACGGTGTAGGTCTTGACTTGCCCCTAACAGTGCTCTTCTTGCCATCTGCGTTTGGCAATTTTTCAAGGTTATTCGTACTGATAATGACGCTTTCTGGTACAGAGCGGATCAAAGGAAACCGCTCCCCCAAACAGAGAAGCGATGATGTTCTCACAACGAACTCTGGCATTCTTTCGTCTGCCGGAGTTTGGCTAAGCTCATATCCCCAGGCAGCTTTCTATACCACCTGTCTCACAGTCACTTGTATGCTCCAGACTCATTTAGCGGAGGCAAATGGCGCCTACTCGACCCGCCTGCATGTCCTGCCTCGGTCCTTCAAATCACTTATGGTTTGCTGGCAACCTCACATTCCTCAATCAACGTATCTTTTACCGCTTGAGCCTCAGTGGTTGCCTCTGCCATCTCGGACGTATATTGATGAGGTACGTGGGCGAAAGGTTGATTTTCTTGACGGGTTTCTCCTCAAAAACCGCCGAAGATGCAATGGTGCACTGTTCGGAAATGTGGCAACCAAGCGTCGTTCCATGACCGTTCTAAATATCCAACCCAAGTCCTACTGATTAGTTGTCTCGCTTGACTGTAGTGGGCGGCTAGCCCCATGACAGTCATCTCAATGCGATTCGGAAGCGGTAATCTCTGGTCAGCTGTGAGACTTGCAGTGAAAGTCATGTCCATGTCATCCTCCTGACTCGGTTGTGGCTAAAATAGATGGTGCACGTAGCTGATCATTGTCGCCGCTCTGAACAAGCAAGCCGGCCATAGAAATAGCGCCCTGCATATTGCTTTTATTGTACAGAAAGATTCCCTGTAAAGCTGCTGTGCTGGTGCTGTACTTCGGTATAGGGTGTTCTTCCGACTCGAGGAGACGCAACTCTTGCAGCCTTTCGCAGAAGAGTCCTTTAAACTTCACGCTGTCGCCGTCTCCGCCGTAGAAGCGATCCCATAAGTGCTCGACCTGATATCTGGTAGCTTCGCCGAGGCGTACTGTCATATCCACCCGACCAGGCCTGACCAATGCACCATCCAGTCTCTCCACGTAGTTAGTCGTCAAGAAGATAATTCGTTCTTCGGCGCTCGCCACCCCGTCAAGCGCGTTGAGTAGTCCGGAAAATGTAACGGTTGCGCCCCTGTATCCATCTGGATCACTCTGAACACGTCTGTTGGCGAAAGCGACATCCACGTCCTCAAGTAACACCAGCGTTCGTGGAGGTATGATTGTGAGAAGATGATTCAGGCGATCATCCGTCAAACCCCGTTCGCTCAGGTTTAAAATCGCTATATCATAGTCGAGTTCACCGGCAAGCGCCTGAATGAAGGATGATTTGCCGGTTCCAGGCGGGCCATGAAGGAGATAGCCACGACGATACGGTATGCCTCGATCATAATACCACTTACTCGAGGATTGGAACTCTTTTACGTCAGCCACAATAGTTTCTTTCACACCAGCATCAAGCACGACGGATTCAAGAGGTCTCTTGCGACGTGGATTACCAAAGGGCTTCCACTCGATACCACGAGAATGATAGATGACAGTCTTTCCCTCTTGCGATCTTGCCGCAATATCATGTGCCTCTTTGAACATGCTTTCAAAAACGTGACGATGGGAGTACAGAGTCGTCAAAGTGACCGTCTCCCATGGCTCGCCCGTTTTGTAGTCCCTTGACTTCTCTTCCCGGACTCTATTTACAAAGATGAAAGCACCATTATATCGCAAGACGTGCTTTCCAGGTCCTGGTATCAAAGCAAAGTTTGTGTGGATGGCTCCATTAGGGAGGACAATTTTTTCGGTCTCGATTGACAGATGTCGCATGCCAGGAGTAATCTTGCGCAATAATGCCTCTAGCACACCTGTTTTGCCAGGGCTTGGAGCAGATGTTGCGCTCGGTTTTGAGGTAGCTGCCGCCAACTGCGCTCGTTGGTGTAGGGTCATCCAATATAGGAACCATTGATAGGAGTCATCCTGTACGTTGATCTCGACATCGACCAGAAGCCGACGACGTAGCAATGCTGCGCCCTGTCGAGCGCCTCGGCGAGCAAGTGCAGCAGCAGCTCCCAGGCCAGCGAGTCCAAATCCCTGTGACGTTCAGTAGAGAACGATGAAGTAGACGTACCGCGACGTACAGCTGTGAAGAATGGATTGCTAGTCAACTGGGCAATAACTCCTCCTTCGGAAGCTCCGTCTGTGTTAAGAAGCTGCTTCGCTAGATCTTGCTTCGACACAACTCTACTATTTGTCGATGAAACTGTAGACACAGGGAGATGTGGGCCATAGCCGCTTTGCATACCGCTATCAGTGCTTATGAATGAAGATCAATTGATAGAATGATATCGACTTTTTTTCTGCGCATGCTGGCTGGTCCATGCCGTTTTGGGCCCAAAATGGTTGCAGCAACGCAATGGCGACGCGCTACAAATGAATTCATCGCCAGCCAATCACAGATCGTGTTCCTCGGAGATGCCTTGTCATCAATTCTGCTTCTATTCTCTAGCATTGTCTGATAGATCTCTGCAGAAATTCCAAGTATTAATACATTCTCTTTATGTACTATTGGACAAGCACCCCTGTAAACATTAGGCTTCAGTTTTCTACAACTGTTTTATCCGCATTCCACTCCTCGATTTCATTCCTAGCCGTACTTTACACCAACTTCGCGAGGCTGTTCTGCTCCGGAATGACGTTTCGATAGACCTTCAAGGCTATGGGAAGTTATCCATTCTCCCAGTAACGATAGCTGGTCTCGAGGATGGACCCGGTGGCAGAGGCGCAAAATGCGCCTGACTTCAGAGTACGAGTACTATCGCCATTAAAGTCCTTGGACTATCTGACAGACGACAGTTTGAACTCTTCGACACCTGCGTACTCAAGAATAGTCCATCACTCGTTGGCATCATCCTGCGCACTTACCACGATTTCAACTCTCATGAGCCGATCGCTGATTGTCTGATCATTGCGCAGGAAGGAGTACCAGATGGGATACTCCAGTCATTCCTCGCCTCTGGTATCCCCCCTAAAGGCTATGTCTTCATCCGGTTTGCCAAGCAGGAGTTTGGTCACTCTCTTCTGTCCGAGCGAAGTATTCAGCTTGTGAGCAGAACCTTTGCCATTGGTGATAGTGTCAAACGTAATGCTGGTGACAGTATGATTGGTACCGTGGTGAGTATATTTGACTCTTATGTCTTGGAGCCAGTATGCAGCACATCACACAGCTCTTCATACCCACGACAGAAGTCGTTCGAATTCCACACTGGCTTCGGGGATTGTAATGAGGCCTGCGTTCCGAGGCTCCCCGATTACCTCTCTCACCCGCTGCGTCATGCCCTCCTCTACGATGTTCCAGGGGACGAGTTGAAGCGTGCCGATGATTTTGAGCCTGGCGACTATGTCGTTGAGCGAGATTATCTGGGAGTCGTGCAGGATCACGACATAGACGCTGTTCTTTACTTGAAGAATGGTACAGTTGTCATGGTAGAAAATGCATTGGAGCTTGAATTGGTTGTACCGGACTTTAGACAACATCTGGTCGCTTTGCCAGAGCTTGATGATCTCCGTCGGCCTGACGTTCCCGCATATCAGGTTGGTGGAAAAGCCTTCATTCCCACAGACCATCTCACACGAGGTCAATTTGTGACCACGAATCATCGAAACTTACGGAATGGTCGCTGGCTGGTGGGCGAGTATGACCCAGCATGCGATGCTTATGGACATGTGCTTGATGTGAGGACTAAACGAGCTCATATCAAGTGGTTATGCCCCAATGCTTACATCCCACGCAACTTGGGTGATAGGCCTCCCTCTGCTCTACGGCCTTACGATAACCTCAGCTCATACAGCAATCCTCGAGATTTGCGTCGCACCAAGGGATTGACTCTGCTCGACCGCGGCCAGCGGCCTCGATCTTCAGATAGTAAGTGCTCTGCGGATGTCAATACAGGTCAGGACCTGGACGCTGGAGATCAGGTCCGGTTCAGAGACCAGTCGGGCGCGTTCGTCAAGTATCAAGGAACTGGTCATGGTCAGTACAATCGCATATCAAAGGACGTGACCTTTGGCTTTGACATGAACGAATTCATTGTCTTCTACTCTAAGCAGAATGTGCAGGTTCGTTGGCAGGACGGTTCCGTGGCCGAACAACCCTCGGTTATGTTACAACCTTATGTAATGCCAGAACAGGAACTCTGTCCCGGAGACATCATCAGTTTGAAGGAGGATTCAATTCAGGTGGCTGTTGGGAAACCAGAGACCACCGCCACCGCTTTTAATGAGATGCTCTATTTGCAAGGAGATTATATACTCAGGCCGCAGAAGGTGGGTGTCATTCAAGCTGTCAATGCTCGAGAACGACTTGTACGCGTACGATGGTTCCTCCAGCCCACGGTGAGTCTTATACAGCAGGGCAACTTGCTGCAAAGGGGCGCATACTTTGGACCGATTTCCGATGAGATCCAGGACGTCTCTCTGTATGAAGTGATGGCACATGCTGCATTAATGCGGAAACGCAGAGACATTGTCATCCTTCCCCCCCAACATTTGCCAGTCCATAGTATATTGGGCGTGTCACAACGACTGGATTCTTTCGACGAAGAAAAGTTTGGTTCTGCACTTCTCTCATGGACCACACGACCATCTGGTATGGACATGCACACGTATCTTCGTGCGCTTGCAAAGCCAATAGCTATCCGAGATCTCAAGGATTCAAGCTTCTCGCCGGCTGACTTCCACAATACTCCGGACTGGGTAGGAGAAATAGTAGATCTCGGCTTGGACGGGCTATTGACTGTTCGACTTTGTGGATCACCCCAATGCGAAGAAATTCGTGTACCGTGGGAGCGAGTTTTAATCATCGTAGATGATGAAGCCGCGGTTGAATTTCCTCCTGGGGCCCCAGGTTCCTTTGTGGATGAGGAATTCCCAGACTTAGAGTACCTCAGTGAAGGGTCAGATATCTCGGCCATGGAGGAAACAATTGAATACGATGGCGGAGAAAGAATGGATAATGAAAGTGGGGATGAAGGATGGTCTACCGATGCCGATGAGATGGAGATAGACGCTGAAACAAGAGCCAACAACATCAACAACAGGATGCATGTTGAGGCTACAACACCGCCGAGTTCGAATACCCCTGACACAGTTTTAAGGGAGAGGGGTCTTACAGAAGACGAGAGCAGTCAGAAACAGGTAGAAACCTCGTCGTTAACGACGAAGCTGCAAAATTCCATACCTTCTTCACCGCCTGAACAATCCAGCCTACCCAAAGCTCCATCATCATCATCATCCCATCCACAATTATCATCCACCATCACCAACCTGATCAGCCTTTCAAAATCTCAAACCGAACCCCCACCCTCCTTCCTCGTCCTCGACACGCCTCCACCACCCGACCAATTCCACAGCGCAGACGCCTCATCCTCCTCAGCCCCCTCAGCAAGCTTCCTCAAACGCGTCCACCGCGAACACCGCATCCTCGCCACCTCCCTACCCCCAACCCAGATCTACATCCGCACCTACGAGTCGCGCCTCGATCTCCTCCGAGCCGTCATCCTCGGCCCACCGGACACCCCCTACGAGTTCGCCCCCTTCCTGATCGACCTGTACCTGCCCGCCACCTACCCGGCCCAACCGCCCATCGCGCACTTCCACTCCTGGACCTCCGGCCTCGGCCGCATCAACCCCAACCTCTACGAGGAAGGCAAGATCTGCCTCTCCCTCCTGGGAACCTGGCCCGGACGCGGCATCCAGGGCGAGAGCGACACGTGGAGCGAGAAGGCGAATCTGCTGCAGGTGCTGTTGAGCCTGATGGGGCTGGTGTTGGTGAAGCGGCCGTTCTACAACGAGGCCGGCTTTGAGGGCTACGAGGGCGAGGGCGCGTATCAGGTGGAGAGTCTGCTGTACTCGGAGAAGGCGTATGTGTTGGCGCGCGGGTTTGTGAGGTTTGCGCTCGTCGAGGGCGTCAGGGCCGTCGAGGATGTGCTGGCGTGGGTCTATTTGGTTGGGTCGCGGATTGGAGGAGAAAAGGCTGAGGAGAGAGAGATGGAGGTTGATGGAGATGGTGATGGTGATGAGGGTGCAGCGAAAGGAAAGGCGGCGCTATTGCCAGAACGGCCAGGTCTGGAGGCACAACAACGCCCGGAATTGTTGGGGAAACTGGTCGAGCGGGCCAAGGCGCTGATGGAGTATTCGTCGTCCTGTACGGAAGAGGAGAGGGATGAGCTGGTGGATGGCATGGGCAGGCAGAATGCAGAGGCTTTCATGAGGCCGTTGAGTCAGGGGGCAATCGTGATGCTGAGACGGCATCTGGACGTGCTGGAGAAGGCTTTTCTGGTTGGAGCTTAGGGATACCTAGGACAGGGGTTGCGAATAGATCTTCGTTGATAGTTTCATGTTGAATGATTTGCATGTCATGGTGGGTTTGAGAGGTCTATGTCGATGTCCATGTCTATCAGTTTTTCCTATTCTTCCGGCATATGGTGGCGGCATCCGCTGAGCTGATGCTATTACCTAGTCTGTTTTTTATCGCTACAGCACCATTCGAACCCTCAGCTTGTCACCCTGGACGATCTCGTCTTTTCGCGACATCAGCTCCGGCATATCCCACGTACCTGTTCTCGAATGTCAGTCGCGGATCCAGACAACCTCAACACATCCAGGACAGGAGGAAGAAGTGGCACGCACAAGAAAGATACCGCCCAGCAAGCCATTCTCTCCTTTCCTGTGTCAGCCAGACGATGGTGTCGCCTGCTAGCTCGGGCGTGTCCATGAACACTGTATGGGTGATCAAAATGTGCCGTCAGGGTAGGGCAGAGGGCCACGAGCTTACGGTGGTGTGCTTCTTTGGGCACGCGAGCGGCCAGTTCGGTCATGACACTACCTGGGTGAAATGCGTAGGCCAGGATGCCTTGGTCACCGTACTCGCTCTAAGCGCGGTTCTCGGTCAGTTCTCTGAGCTCTCCGTCACTGCGCCCAACGCCCAGCAACTGGTGCTTGCATGTAACTTACCATGCAGAATTCGGTAAATTTCAGGACGGCGAATTTTGTGGTTATATAGCTCGAGAACTGAATCTTGTGTTAGCTCTTGCCCTGTGTTGGTACGATACCTGGCAGAATGATATACTCCAGGTCTTGCGGTATGAGCTCCAACCGAGCCCAGGTTAAGTATCGTCTTCATGCCACCCTTCAACAGCAGGGGCAGGAAAGCGCGCGTTGACAGGTACACGCCTCTGATGTTGACTTCCATGGTATACCACCAATCCTCTGGATCACTGTCCACGATAAGTGCAGTTTTCTCCAACCGTCCCGCATTATTGACGAGTATGTCCAACCCTCCGAATTCCTGCTCAGCCTGTTTCGCCGCGCCATCTATCGAAGAGTGGTCCAATACATCTAGCTTGACCGTCAACACCTGAGGTGGCTTGTGTCCTGCTTTTTTCGCGGCGGACACGACTTCCGCAGCCAAATCGTCCAGGGCCGAACGCGCTCCAAGGCCTATGGAAGAGGCACCGCTCTCCGCGAAGGCAATGGCGGTGCGCTTGCCGATTCCTTTGGATGCTCCGATGATGAAGACGCGGTGTCCGACATGGTTGGAGCTTTTCAAGGGATTGATCGCGTCGTAGGTATCAGAGTGGATTGTGTTTGTGAATTCATAGCCTAAGTACTAGATGAGTGGTTGTAGAGGATCACCATAAAGGAGGGGGGCTTCAGACCCTGTTGGCGAGTACTTGGTTCTACCCAAGGATAGGCCATTCTATATCAGATTTAGCAATAACGGGAAGAGCAGCGAGAAGCTGTCAAGAGGCTGTCAAGAGGCTGTCAAGAAGCTGTCACCAAAATGGATAGCCATCGGATATGGAAGGGAAAGAGTACAGTATAAAATACAAGGAAACAGCTCCTCAAGACCACCTGTCACGCGGGTGATGCAACATTCATTGTAACATGGTCAGTAGGAGCATCATGGCAGTGAGAATCCTATCTCCGATGCGGCATTTCGGTTGTACCAGTAGGATTATGGGGAAGAGTACAGACAAGGGGCAGCGGCAGTGCTCTACTTAGTGAAAGACGTCATAAGACTCATCATTGATACAGCCCATGCCAAGGTGGGGTAGTATTGTGATGATAGGTACAAAGCAGACAGAGGAAAGGGGAAATTGTTGTAACGACACGCTCTTCTCCAGTCCTCGAGGACAACGCTTTGGCTTTGGAGTGCTGAACTCCGTCGAATGCCAAGATATTACTAGGAGACTCTGAGCACTCAGCACTCAGCACTCAGCACTCAGCATTCAGCATTCAGCATTCAGCATTCAGCATTCAGCATTCAGCACAACGTTGGGGTGTATTCCTCGCGGACCAGGTCCTACGGCCGACATCTAATACGACACAGTTCTATTTTCAGTGACGCTTTTCACGAGCAAAGGTACATGAGCGAATAGCTATTATAATGATTCTGTACCTACCTCTGGCGCGCCATGTTCCAACGATGCGCCGCGTTCCCATGAGGGAAGCGAGAGTGCCACCGGCATCCATTGAGTGTTGAGAATCGACAGTCTCGCAAACGACAGTGCCCATCCAAGACACCTTCTAGCGCGGACCATTGGTCACTCGAGTCTTGTGATGTCTTTGCCTGACCAGCAGGCTCTTCCATCACGCAGGACAGCCATTCCCACGTTCTATATGCTTTCTCTTTCCAAACCTCGCAGCAAGGAATATTTTGGAGATTCTCGGCACATCTGTCCACGTCGAGTACGACTCTATGCTTGCAAGCGTACCGGTTGTAGTTTATGACGCACATCTTGGCTGAGGATGTTGAGAATTGGCAGTAAATATCAGGAGCTGGTTTGTGGAGTATACTCGCAATGAAATTGGATTCGACTCATTCAGATGAATTCATAGGGCTCTGTGGCTGCATATATGTCTCTCTCGACCGGTCCATTGTTCTTCAGAAGCAAAGATTTCTGTCTTTATGCGCGGGACATTGGCTCTTTATTTTCCTCCCTTTGTTGGACATTGAACGCATTTTCTTTTTCATCTTCTCATCGTAGATCGCTTTGTCATCCCATCCCTTTGAGCAAGTCGTACTCATTGTTAGCCAGATCTTTTGTTCCGTTGCTCTATATAGTTTGCCTCTTTCGAGGTTTTGAGCTTCTCCGTTTTCGCCTTGCATAAGTGTATGTTCTAGACCTTCGATCAAATTCTTGTTCTGTGTGATACGTGTTGACTGTAACGAGCGAGGTATGGGCCCCATAAGAAAAGTTGTGCAGCGCACAATCTCATCTGATAGCACGGCAACTACTCGTTCCGGTGTTAAACGAAGAACTACCAAATCTGTCGGACGGGGAGCTCGTCGAGTACCTTGGTGTATCCCTTGGCCCCGTGCCTATACAGGATCCGTAGCAGTTCCGAGACGGCGTGAAGGCGGCCGGAAGAAGCCATCCATCACCAACATTGCCCAGTGGTACCTCGATAGACGCTATCCCTCCCAAGGACCGACAGGTCTAGTCTATGCTCTTCAGGAGCTTCCGCCTTCGCACTCCGCCCAATCGGTGGTTGATGCTCTTAACGCTGCTCTGGCTGCGCTTGAGCTAGAACCGTCGAAAACAGAGAGCTATGCAGTTTGGGATAATCCGGAAGAGCTCTGGGGTCCTCACAATACTCAAATCTGCTCCAGCACCTTGTCTACTGGCCTGGAGAACACGTCAACCACTACTGCTCCCTTACTCGGTCTTTCCACTTTTCCAAATACAGATGCAAGCCGTCCTTCACAAGGAAAGGCATTGTTTCACGAATCCATTGTTGAGACAAAGCATCTTCCGCAGCTTCCAATCTTTGAGTCAGGCTCCGCAACAGCAGACGATTTCTTGCCTTCTCATCCTGCTTGTCCACCAAATCCTTTTGCACCAGTTTTCCCTGTTTCCACAGATTTAGATGTTGAACCCGGCCTTGACCACCTCTCTTCCGTAGCTGATAGTCGGTATCCGCCATTTCGGAACGATCGGACGCAGTCTCAGCCACAAGTTAGAAGAAAAGTTGGGATGAGCGATTTGAAAGCTCGAGCAGCAACACTGCCACAGCTAAGTGTTAATCCGCCACAACGTACACCCACCTGTCTTCGAGTCGGCAGCCCAATAACTGGTCCAGTCATGACACGAAAACCGCTTGCAAAAGATTCTCTCAAGATCCGCATGCCTAAAGATAGGAATAAGGAGAATCTGCCTCGGTCGCTGCAAGCTACAGATAATGGTTCGGCCCTTAACCCAGGTCCAGACGCTGGGAAGTGCGTCATCACCGCTGCTGACGCCGTGAAAGATGAGTGTAAATCTCAACTTGAACCCCTTGACTCAGACTTGGGCAGTTTCACCTGTGACTTCCCTCCAATCGGCTCCCGTGGCCCTTCGCGGGCTCGAAGTGGAGTAGTACGAGGGGGAAAGTTTAAGGAATCAACGGTCTTTCCCTGGGAAACAGGTTGCTCCTCATCGGACTCGGCTTCGACCTCACAAACCTCCATAGCACAAACGAACTGCTATTCCTGTAGCTCGACGAAAAAGCATGGCAGTTCGCGGCATGTCGGTACCACGAAGGACGTCTCACCCCTTTCAAACCCATCTGAACCCATGAAAGCTGCACATGGTGATTTAGAAAACGTTGCCATGTCCAACGCCACGCTCAAAGCGCTTTTAGCAACGGAAGGCGACGCCAACCATTCCCGAAAGGAGATGGAAGAACGAATTGCCAGCAAGCGGCTATCAGAACATTCTGCTGCCGTGATTCAAGGCTTCCGGGACTTCACTCACCGCTCCTTCTTTCCTTCGCCAGAGGATGTACGATCTCAGTCGGATGGCACCCTATGGCCTCGGGCGCCATCCCAGAATCGAGCAGCAGACTTGTCGGGTGTACAGGCACGAGCGGCGTCTGAAACGAGTCTTGCCATTCGAAAGCAGAAAGGTAGGGGTATCATTTTTACGGACGATGGACCTTGGAAGGTTGTTCGATGATCCTTCCAATCCTATTTTGCAAATTCTTGCATTTTCAAGCATTTTACAAGGTGGGTGCTTGTTTTGGGACTTTTGAACGAGTGGAGTTTGGAGTTTGGAGTTTGGGCTTAGGGGTTTCGGACACGGTAGGCGAATTTGGGACATTTCCGATCTCTGCTTTGGATCATGCCGGAGGTGAGTTGCTCGTCCATATCCCATTGTTGCTCCGACTGCTTTGCTGTTCGCTTCGCCACAGTGTTTGGAAGTCTTGATCTTCAGAGCGGCAGAATTTTTTTCGAATGTGGTAGGCGAATCAGGGACCTTTCACCAGTGCTCAAATAACCTCGAGGAATGAAAAGATCTCATGCGGATTTTTCTTCTCTCCCAATCGAAGATGAGTCGTCCCCCCCCCCTATGCTGCGTCGCCCACAGGATCACATTGCTGTTTTCATCGCGATCATCTGAAGTCTGGAGTTTGGAGTCTGCAAGTCTTCCGCCTACGGTAGGTCATTCAGAGACCTCGAGATGTTTTCCACGGAGCTGGCTCTCGTGAGAAACTAAGAAGGTCTCAATCTGGCGGAGTTTGTGTGTCTCAAGATGCAGATAAGATACAGCCAGAGGCCACTTTGCTGGGTTTTTCATGTCTCAGATTGGATCGTGTTGATGTCTGTCTTACTTGTCCTTGTCCATCTGTTTTCTGTAAGGGTTTATCTCTTGCTTCATGGATCTCATAGAATGCATTAGCATCAGGTAGGAGATGTGGATTTTTGCTTTTATAGGACCCATAGACCGTTGCTTCTTAAGATTCTCTAACCTTCCACGGCCGCAAGATTCTATTATCATCTATCTGATTCTATGATATATACCTCTCAAGCAAGCACACTTGGGTGATAGAAATCAATGTCTCACAGCCGCCCAAAGCATGCAACACGATCAATGAGTACAGAGAAAAGTCGGATTGCCTACTCCTCCCATTCATCTCCCCTTCTAGCAGCTTACCGTCAAAGAAAAACTCATCCAATCAGATAATAGGTACTGCACACTTCTATGTGTTCATGGATGGCAGGCAGGGGAGCGGAGCGGAGCGAAACGAAACGGAACGGAACGGGGCGCCATAGAGTGGAGTAAAGATTGCGGTTGTGTGATCAGAGAGGAGACGTTCGGGCCCAGACCTGGGTCTGAGTTGGGGCGGTTGGGGAGAAGCTGATGATGGGATTGAGTAGATAAGTAAAAGTTAGCCGGCTTCCATGGGAATCAAGGGATCATCAAGCTGGACAAAGTAGGGACATGCTATGTTTTGGAGAGATGTGATTGGGCCAGTATCGCCACTGCCTCTTTTTTGATTGAGTGGGGATTCCTTCTGAGCATATATATAGGCTTCGATGGTAGATGGAGATGAGAGGGGGTGAAGAAGGTTGGTAGATCAACCAATGCCTTCCAAATCTCCAACGCTGCGTCTCCCTATCCATTGTGCCGGCTCGGGATCAGTCCAAGCAACGCGCTCATTCCCATTGCCTGTCCATGCCCTCCACCCTCCATATATTCAATTCTCCGTGTTCCCATGAAATCCAAAGAACCGCAACTGTAACCCCAACCGCTACTTTTGAACGTTTATCTCCCTTATTCTTCTTCTTCTTCTTCTTCTTCTTCTTCTTCTTCTTCTTCTTCTTCTTCTTCTTCTTCTGGGTCATCCCGCCGGATTTTCCACCACGGTCCATCGTCGTTTCGGCATATTCGAATCCTTTTTGAAGCCACTACCCCATAATCCCATCTGACTCGCTGTCCTTGTTGGTGTATGAGCATGAGTCTTCGTGTATGGAGGGCTTTTCAGCTGGTTATATGGTTTTGATGACGCAATAGGAGTTGGGCTTCTATTCAGAGCTCGGGTCCCGTTGCCATTCACCTCCGTACCCTGCTCCTCCTGCTGTTGCTGCTGCTGCTCCTCCTCCTCCCCCGGCCGAACCTGCTCATCAGGCGCCACATTGCTATCCTTTCTTCTTAAGCTCAAATCATTCGATCCATCCAAACCTCTAGTTGCACAAGCGGCGATCGATTTTGCATTCATGCTCCCAAAATCCGGTAAAGCATCACTCTCCCCACCACTTTCACTTGTCGCTTCGTTATTGGAATTACTGCTCCACGTCGTGCCACTCCTCCACAGCCCACTTGGGATCTTAGGTGCACTGCTGATCGTTGGGTATATCCCATTCCTCAGAGCTGAATGGCCACTCTTGCTTCGGTGTAACCCGCCAGCGCTGCTGAAGGCTGCACCAGCAGTGACTGGTCTAGCAGACGGCGCTGTGGAGAAAGTAGCGGCGCCCTCTCCAATGGTGAAGCTATCGCTGGAGAATGAAGTGGCAGGTCTTCTGTAAGGCGAATTGGATGCCGAAGATCCAATCCGAGGGGAACCTGCACTTCCTGACAAAGGATTTGACCCGGCACGTAGATGATCCGTTGATGCTGTAAATTTCATCTCGTAGTCCTCCGCTATTCCAAGATCGATCGATCCTCTCCTGCTGCTTCTTCTTGCCGATGATGGCGCATTATTATTGTTTGTCGAGTTAGCGTCCTCGATCTCACTCTTCTTCTGCCTGGCACTTTTCGCTACGCTCCCCTTCCTAACAGCCATAGTCAAACTCGCCATGCCAACATCCAACAGCACGGGTTGGTTGGTTAACGCCCCTAGTAGCGCATTACACCCTGCTCCATGCGTGACGAGGATCAGCACCGTATCTGTCTCCACTTCATCCGCTGAATCAACGAACATCTCTGCCGCCTTATTAACAGCTGTACCGTGCTCCTCGTACCACTCTATCATTTTGGAGAGACCGTTTCGAAGCCGCCGGTGCATGCTACTCCATTCTTCGCCGTACTCGCCACCATTGCCCCAGCATTGCGGTGGGCGCATGCTATCCCATTGATAGGAAACGTCGATACAGGCATCCCGAGCGTGAGCGACGTAGCCGACTGGGATGGCATCAGATGAGGAAATAGCGTAGGTTGGGGTGGGTGGGACGTATGCCAGCTCGTCATTGGAATTAGAGGTAGTGAGGCTGGTATTTAGTTTCGAGGGATAGCGCCGAGAATATGATGTACCAGGTGAGTCGCTGCTGTGAGTGCTGGAACGAGTACGGTTGGGAAGCGAGTGACTGAGCGCATGACCAAGTGCGGCCATGTTCGCAAGTCCGGTCTTTTCTTCTGATTCATCCGCCGAGCTGGAAGCGCTCCAATCTGAGCTCCAGCCTCCAGGAAAATTGCCATGAGTTCTTCTTCCGGAGTCTGATCCTTCGATTGCTTCACTAGGCCGGAGGAGGTCTGCTTTGGCACTCGCGACCATCATTACTGATTCAGGTGGAGGTGTGATGTTTTCGAAGTAGTCAGGCGACAGCCACTCCCCTAGAAAAGCATCCAGTCGAAGCTCAGCCACGCGGTGTTTCTTAGACTGACAGGGTATGGAGGGCGCAGAGGCAAGTGGCTCAGCCGAATTTGGATTCGTTGGAAGAGGAGATGGCTCAGGCAATAAGGGAGTAGTCGGAAAATCCTCCGCTGGTTCAGGAATGGCTGATAGCCCGGGTGAATTTTCCAGTGCGTGAATATGAGGCGATCCCGAATGCATGGTATGATGTTTTGCCACCGACGGCGCTCGTCCTTTGAACTGTCCAATGCCCGCAGCAATTGCTATTGAGGTCTGCACACATCTGACAAAAGGTGAGGAATGTATGATGATTTTGTGCTTCCTCTTCCGCTTTTGACCCGTCTGCTCTGAAGTGCCGCCAGTCATACCATTGCTTTTGATGTCTTCCTGTTCTTCCTCTCTAGCTCTCAAGATGCCGCCAATCCGCGCTCCTAGTGCTCGAGCCTGTGTCCAACCACCGTAGGTTAGAGGAGGGTCGTATGGAGTCGGAGAAGTGAGATGCCATTGCTTGTCTGCTTGGTCAAGTCTTGCGCCGTGCCTGATTGAGTCAGCATGGCTCTGGAGTAGTTGTTGGGAGCGTGATTCCAACCTTGCGATTATAATGACAGCAGGCGCCTTCCCCATGATCTGAGAGTGGATAGAACGACCACTATACAAGTAGAGCTTCGGAATGATGCATAGAATGTCTGGCTTTGGGAACGTGTCGCGGCAGAGGAGGGCGATGTGGGCGATGTGGGCGATGCAGTGATGAAACAAGTGGTACGGGGCTCTGACGTATGGATCAGAGGATGGAACCCGACCCAGACAACGGCGAAGAAGGGACACGAGTACTACAGCTGGCTTTCATCTCCACTGCTGGTGGGCCAATTCGTTCTGTTTCCTTCCAGGTGTAGCACTGGTTTCATGAAGCTTGACTTGTAAATGCGGTGACTACATACGCCGTACATGCTGGGCATCATATTGAGTATCACCCTGAGCATCACCCTGAGCATGTGACATGTGATCCAGCTGCCTTCCCCGCATTTCATCTCCACCCACAAATTACTCGTACTGTATGTTACTGTACCCAACCCGGAGAAGACAACGACCGAGGACCAATGACTGATGCCTGATGCCTGAGGCCTGATGCCTGAAGACCGATGACCGATGACCGATGAAATCTTCTTCACAGCTCTGTCAATTCACAAACAAGATCTGGTCTATCTCTCCATGGGCTTGCAAGGGCGACCCAGTCTGGAACAAGAGGTGAGGCGCCCTCCTCCCTGCTGAGTTGATCACCATATTCTAACAGTAAATGCCTCAAAATATCGCTCACCGTGCCCCTTCCAGACTACCTTGGAAGAAAGCATAATACCCAACCCACTAACAACCAAACCAGAGCTTGTCCAAGCAGCAAAAGATATCTAAACCCTGCAATATGTGTCATGCAATCAATCACCCCTACTCCACGCTGAGTCGTACCCTCACACGCAAACCCATATACCTCTATCGACGCCTTTCTTGTGAAAGAATTATACTTCACGTCTTCCCTCCTAGCAGCGAGTATCGAGATTGTAACCAGGCTCTCTTCGCACCGGCACTACTCTCCGTTTTCTTCTTACCCTTGCTTTCACCTCCAGTTTTACTGAGCGACATCCGGCTGCGCTGCAAATTCCGGTACATCTTTTCCGCATTTGAAAGGTCTCCCCGTCTGCTCGGGGCTGTTGTCTGTTCATCTGGGCCGTCATTTACTCCTTCGTCTTCCGAAGCAGCATCCTCGGACGCACAAGCGGACGCATTCGGGGTTCTGTTTCCATCACCCACCGAGACGGGCGAAACATCTCTTTGCTGCCACTCCAATCGTATTGTAGATGAGTTACTCGCAAGAGTGGATACGCTGAGCCGGCCTCGGCTGCGATCAGTAGAACTCAGAATACTGTTTCTGATATGAGACGAATCGGCGCTAGATCCGCTGGTCGTTGATCTGGCTATATCACGGTTGGGAATTATTCCACGCAGGCCGGCTGAATCTGATGCCAAGCCAGTCTGCCGCGGACGGCCAAGGTCTGCTGTCACATACTTTCGCGCCGTAGTGCTTGTGCGAGCATGGGTTGGGGAATGCTGCGACAGTGCTCTGCCCAATTCAGGTGCAAAGAGATCCTTGGCGGGAAGCGAAGGAGGCCGGGATGCCGGTTTGAAAAAGCTATCGAGCTGCTGCGGCTCTGGTGGTAAGTCTGACTGCACATCACTATCAGAGGACATATACGAAGCTCGAGGATCTGTATGCATATGACTCCAACCTGAGATGTCGGTCCCATTCTGTATCCGATCTGGTCGATCAGCAATAGACTGGAGATCAATGATCTCGTCGTCTGGAAATATGACAGAGTACCTTCTCCGTCCAAACGATTCTCTGTCAGCCTCGTTGTCAACTTTGTACATGCTTTCTTTGCCTAAACTATACTCGTCGAAATTGAATGATGCCAAAGAGGAATTTGTTTCCTCGAATCTTTTTGAAATTCCCAGCTCCTTCTCCTGCATCGGTGTGAGGGTTACCGAATGCTTCAAGGGAGCACGCGCCGCTAAGCGCGACTTTCCTGGAGTGTTAACGTGACTTTGGAGACTACAATGAGCAGTTCCGGAGCTTGTGAGATGTTGAATACAGCCTTCTAGCGTAGTTTCGAGCAATGAAGCATCTGGTCTCTTATCTGCGGATCTTGCCAAACATTCTCGAGCGATGTCCATGACAGGACCAACAGCCGAGAAGATTTTGCCATCCTCCTTGGAAGCCTTCTTTTTCGCATCTTGCTCTAACGCCACCGTCCAAGAAAACACCTGACCAAGGTTGGCGTGAAAGCTTGCATCTGCAACACCTCCCCCTCTCCCAGCCGTTCGATTCTTGGCCGAGCGATGCCGTGAGAAGGCACTAGAGCCTCGCTTGCAGAGGAAAGTGATGATTTCGATAATGATTGCGCCTAAGGAGAAGATATCCGCGGCAAAGGGATCAAATTGCGCAGATTGCCATGTTTGGATCAGTGCACTTCTGATCTCGCTCGGGGCGACCGTGACAGAACGCGCGGTTGCAGTATTGACGTTCTGTCCGCCATCTCCGCTGTGAGAAGAGACATGCGAGCGAGCTGTAGAGAACGAGGTTGGCAATCTAGGGCGCAACTGATGATCTACTTGGTTAGTAGGCACCCGCAATGAGTTTGACCTGTCTTGTCTTGTCTCCGACGAACTCGATGACAAGATCGAGGCAGCGTATTCGGATTTGTCAAGACTTCTTCCTTGCCCGCGAGGATTATTAGCTTTCGAAGTTGGGATGAGTGGATAGGCGGTTGATGTGGGTTTAGAAGTGTCAATCGGAAAGCCCGACGAGGTTGGCGGTGTAAGCGAGGGTCGTCTCTCGTGCGAATCGTTGACAGAGCTCGACGCGCTATGCCTACTTGTGTTCTGCTTTCGGGCTGTACGGCCGCCGGAATGCATTGTGAGCATAGCCGGTGTTTTGGTCTGCATTGTAGCTGTCCTCTTCCAACGCTCTGGTGCTGCATATTGGTATGATTCGATATCGCTCACCTTCACATTGCTGTGTGTGACAGGCAAGCCATCAACCTGCCCAAGACAGATCTGATATGCACTGTCGATTATAATGTTTGAGGGACGGATTGCACCGTGATGCGCGCGATTGCTGTGAAGCCATGCTAGACCATTTGCCAGGCAGTGTGGCCAGTTTAGTACGGTTTCACGACGTTGGGGTTTTGGTAGACTCTCGAAATGCTTTGGCGGGTTATCCAAGAACGAGTTGAGCGTGTATTCGATGCTCGGCGTAAGCAGCACAAACAAGCTGTTGCCATGGCTGTAAGATCCATAAAGTGACAAGACATGCTGATGTGCCAAAGTTTTGGCAAAAGCTATTTCGGAGAGGATATCTGCTTCGGTGAGATGTGTGTGAGACTCTTCAAGGATTATTCTCTTTCGACCATATACCTTCACGTCGCCAGATCCAATATGCACTTTTTCGATCCCATCTTTCGCCGCGCGACTGATACCGCTCGCTGACCCCACGAGCCTTACTGGAACGGTTTCCTCGTGCAGAAAATGTATATGATGACCTTTCCTCACGTCTCTAGCTACGTACTTGAATTGCGCTTGGTAGAATCTTCTGTCCAGCGAGGTGTCCGACCCAGAAGAGAGTCTCAAAGTGTGCACCGCTTCTGCCGCGATTGGCAAGTCCTTATCGTCATAGGATTCGTCGACAAGACGGAAGATCAGCCCTGGAACCCCAAGGTGTGTGAGAATAAGGAAGAATCGGGTCGCGCGTTCGAGAATGCAGCCAAGGTAGGTATGGTTGGTTACTCCATCACCAAAAATAATAGATCGCTTCAGCAAGTTTTGCTCTTCAAGTCTGAATTGCTTGAGGACGTATTCGGGAGTCACCGTGCTCTGGACTCGTTCATCTGTCCACCATGTCTGACTGTCCGTCATGGTCGCCGCATGTTGTCTGGCTGGCTCCCGCAACGGTGGGGCGGAGCAGTTAAATTCATGGTGGAGAAGATATACCGTGGTAGTCGTAGTGCTTCGTCTGCGGGCATATGCAAATGGATCCAGGGTGAAACGAGCCAAGGAAGTTTGATAGACGGAAACGGAAGCCGATCAATAGCTGGGAATGGAAGCAACTACCACAAGCTGCAGGAAGGGATGGGGCCATCTGAAGCAACAGATAAGTATGTGGAGGACAAGCGGACAAGCGTTGTGGTGGTGGGGGTTGAGATAGAGTACGGGGTACTCCGGGACGGAATCCTCTTGACGGGTGGTACACAGACTCAACTACTTCTATCTGCTCACTCTACTCCGTATTTCATACCCATGTAGCGCTATCCTGTCGTCCTCATTTAATGGGTTGGCTCAAGGCGTTACTACTAGTAGTAGCTGCCGAGATAGGAACGGCCCCCAAGCACTCCCCTCGGGATTGCTGTGTCACCTACCTCGAATGGCAAACACTCAAACACAATCAAAGAATAAATAGCTCATAGTTCTTTCTACTTGGCAACGATAGAGTTCGCCGGCTGCAGTTTTGACATCAGATCATGCTCTGCGGAAGCACCAAGTGAAAACATCACCCTTGTCTTGGTAATAAGGTAGTTAGCCAAATGTCTCCACCAGCCGTGGCTGGACAACCCTGTTCCCCGGTGCGTCAGGTTTGGCTAAACAACTAGACGGCGCGCTATGGTTCATGTTCATGTAGATAGACGTTCTTGTCGTCCTTCGGATTGGATGATCTGGGCGTTGATGACTTTGGTACCTTTTGGGGGCGAGGGACAGATGCATCGGTTCCGCTAGTGAATCGACGACTTGGTAGCCTCGTACGAGTAAGCTACCAAGTACTCCGTATTTCGATCCCAAGTTCCATGGGATCTGACGGCTGCGGCCTGCGTGCTCGGTATGTCGCATATTACTTCTCGTAGACTTCGCTTGCTGTATGAGAAGAATCAACCATAGATGCCTTGACCGAGCCTCGAGCACAGTCATTGTCCGATCAACTTACCCAGTTTCTCTCGACTATTTCACAAACATTTGTGATAAAACTGCAGTCGAGCCTCCATGAAACGCAGGGCTGGACGGTGCAGATGTGGGTTGCATATATTATGCATCGTTATATGTTCACGACTTTTCCATAGTCAGCAGCCATGAAGAGTCTCCAGGATGTTCCCACCTGGGACTAAGTTCAATCAAACTTTCTGAAAAGTGTCTCTGAATCCTTTTCAATCTTACTTCCCTCTACGGACTTGTTCCTAATCCGCAACAGAATCAATGTCTTACCGGGCCTTCTCCAATTCCATCTATCTTTGCTTGGGATGTGAGCTTAATCAATGCCTGTGCTACTGCATTGGTGGATCACTAGCCCTTTCTCGTTTCAAGACGCATATCCCTGGCGGTTGTGGTGTGTCGAAGCTCTTCTTTTGTCTGTGCAACATGCAAACACAGGTACTTGTTCTAATCGATCAATCACCCTCCATGCAAAAATATCACTGCCTTCTACCTCGGTTCCGATACGTAGGCTAGGTTTGAGCTCTTGATAGGAGAGGACGATTCCTCGAATTCGGCATTGTTGACATGGGCAATGCCTGTAACACAGGGTAGTGTCTTTTGAGGTAGCAACACACGCTATTGCCAAAAAGCGGCAGAACCTGGACCTCGATTTGGACCACTCGCTTAGAACATTCCAGCGCGATGGAATACCTCATTGCAAATATTGAAAGCGGTGCCTTGACAGGGTGTTTTAGAGGGACAGCTTTTTAAAATCGTCGGTAGAATAGGCGACTGGTCACGTGAAGTTTGAAGCCGTTTCACCAAATAGTCGTCCTCGACGAACCTTACCTTAATTACAGATGATAAAGACACGAGATTTCATTGATTGCATAGTATATAGTAATTGGTAAGTAGCTACTCTGTATCTGAAGTGCCTTATTAGTACTAGTACTTACCTGGAGAAGGGTTGAAAAACAATGCCGTATTGGTCCTTAGCAAAACAACAGATCGTTGATCATTCAAGGATCGTTAAATGACCACTGGATGACCATATTTGATTGTTATATGACAATGATACTGGGACAAATCTGATCAGATTAAAGTCTCAGCCGTATATATCTCACAAGCCACCTCATAGGACGGTCAGGCTCAAATTACACGTAACTTCTCCTGCTAAGTACTGGTACTATTAGTACTGCCAGTCATGGTGTACGAGGGTTTATTGCCAAGGCCAGACTCGGAGTCACGCTGACCATTTCACCGACATGTTATGTAGACTCTTTGGGTCCTCGTTGACATCTGTAGGGTAATAAGAGGCTGAACGTCCTCGAGCAACTATACTGGTCGCACAGGGTATGTCGTTGCAAATATACCTTGCACATACTGGGCAACGTCTGCAGGCAGACCCAATTTCATTCGCTTCGTACGGTCACCAGTAGACGAACCGTTACGGGCGTTACTAACTGCTAATCCAGGCCAGACGCTTTGAAATCATGGATAGCCAACCAAGCATCAGTCCCAATAGATCGTCAAATTCTCATCACCGGGCGAGGAAAGAATGTTCGGCAGCAAAATCTGCTTACAGAGGTATGTGCAGCACCCGAGTCTATGCACGGCGCATCCTTAGTAGAATCTGTCAGATGCCATGCCGAGTACGCCAGATGCGCATGGAGTCACTGTCAATCCTCAATTAAATCGTGCCATTGCTGATTGCTGCTCAGACGGAGGTCTTCGTCTACGATAAACAGTATATTTCTCCTACCTGCGATGACCATCCTCCGGACACACCCTTACCGCAAATTTTACACCTGCGGGAGCCACCCACGACGTTGGCAAACCAGGCCAGTTTCCAAGCATGGCGCGACTTGTCCAAGGATCGGCGAACCTGGGCTGCGGAGCTTGTGGAATCCGTTGCTCCTTATCGGGATATCACTCGACGGTGTCTGGAGGAAGCAGATATCATTCACCGAGCGTCTTCTCTAGCATTGAACAATTTGCAGTCTCATGTACGAAGTATCCAGGACAAGTTCGAGGAGACCAAGCTATGGGCCAAAGCGGCAAGTGACGATCATCACAACGTCCTACGAGATTGGAAGGGAAACCTCCAAATCTTGGACAGGGTACCAGCAACTCGCGACTTCGCTTTCCTGCTGCAAAGACCAGGTACGCCGACGAAGAAGAAGGCTCAACATCGAAGTGAGCCGTCCGATACAATAACCTTACGCGCCTTCATCAATGAAGAGGAGGTTGAGAGAGCTGCTTCTGAGCTCAGTGTTGATGCTCATAAATTCCGCATCCGGCTGGAGGAACTGGATGCTACAATGACAGATATCTCTGCTGCCACTCAAGAAGTGGAGAAAGATATTCACCGGGGCACGGAGAGCCTGAGTATTGAAGAGTTTGAAAACCTTTTCGCTGATGTGGAAACGCTGACTAGAAAGATCGGCACTGACCATGAAGACCTTCTTCGACTTCCTGACCATAAGAATTCCATACCGACCGCTTCACGTCGAGCGCTGATCCATACACGAGACCTCCTCCCGTCATTGCAGAGCTTGGCATCAGATATTAGCCACTTTGCCCATCAGGTAGCGATCAGGCGAACCTCCTGCCTTCAAGCTTCGACCTTGGCTTTACAGAATATCTCAGTCATTCAGTCAGGGCTTGGGGATTTCCAGTCACAAGTAAGCAGCCTTGGACTGACGTCAGAAGGCATGGATGCCTACGACACCGTCCGTTCTGTATTTGATTTACCCGTTGCTTACGGGTCAACCCTGGTGGAGTCAATCCGTAGGACCGAGTGGACAGAAAGTATCAAAGCAGATACAGACCACGTCTCGCAAGAGCTGAAAGTTTACAAGGAAGCTGAACAGCGTCGTAGGCGGAAGTGGAGGAAGAGCATGGGTTCCCTGATTAATGAGATTTCGGATAACACTGGCCTTGGTATTGATATCAGTATCTCAGACTCTGGTAGTCCGTGGCCTTCGAGCAGTCGTCAAGGAGTATTCGACTATATTGAATCACTGAGAAATGTCGGGATTGATGACGCCGTGCAGCATGTCACCAACCTGCTGAAAGAGCTTGAGGCCTCAAAGCCACGAAGAAAAGGTGCTCGCGCATTCACAGGTGGGAGTGTACATGATGTGGACGTAGCCATCGATAATAGTTCTGTCCTCTTGGGGGACGAAGACGATACTATGAGGAATTTAAGGAACGAAAAGTCGAGACTGGAAGATAAATTGAGGGCGTCTGACAGCCGTGTTCGTAAATTGGAAGATCTGCTCCACCGTCAGAGCCAGATGAATAGACCAACGAGTATCAATTTTGGACCTTCACCTTCGGAGCCTGAGCGTCCCCCTCACTCACCGGTTGGTCTGCCATCACCGCGTCCGAACGAGTTGATGTCACGACGGTCTTCCGTTTCATCACGTCGTCATTCCTCGAACCAGAATCCGGAAGAAAGAGTCCTAATTCAGAGAATTGTTAGTCTAGAAGCGGACTTGCGAGCTGAACGAGACTCGGCACTTAAACTACAACGTGAAGCACATGCGGACCGCCGAGCATCCACGGAGAACCGTGAGAGGATGAACGAAGCGGAATCTACAAAACGGGATCTCCTGGCTAACCTTGAGGCCCAGCGCCAGGAATTTGATGACGAACGACAGCTACTTGAAGATGAGATGCACAAGCTCAAGATCCGACTGGAAGAAGTAGAGGACGAGCTTGACCGCGTCCTGGGCAGTCGCGATCATCAGAAAATGACCTCGGAAAATACCATCGTTGAGCTACAAGCTGAGCTAGATCGCCTAAGGAAGTGTACCTCGGAAGAGATCTCTAAAGCTCAAGGGCAAGCTGATTTCGTCCGCAACGATTTTATGTTCCAACGAGACCGGGCAAACGCTATTGAAAAGCAGTTGCAGCAAGCAAAGGAGGAATCTTGGTCATTACAAGATCAGAACCTCAATCTTGCAAATCAACTACGTGATCAGGCAGATGCTCAGCTCGAGCATGTGTCTTCGCTTCAAGCAGCACACTCGCATTTATCACCAGGGGGTCCAGCCTCGGGAGATCTTGGACGTTTGGCTTCAGCTATTGAAATTCTGTCCGAAGGATTGGCGATCCATGCACGCAATAGCGACGAAGCCGCACAGCTTGCTTCCGCGGAAAATAAATCGCTCGAGGAAGAACTCCTACAGACCAAGAGCCAACTCGAGCAGGCAAAGAACCAGCTGGCTACGGAAGAGACAGAAATATTCACGTTTCGCGAGAGTCTTGCCCAAGAACGTGGCAAGGTGGCGTCACTACGAAACGAACTGGCAGATGCCCAGACTGAATTGAATAATCTTCGCACAAAATTTGCTGCAGGAGAAACGGGATCAGAAGCCTTGAAAGATCGCCTCTCGGAAGAGGAGTGTAAAGTAGCTGACCTGACAGAGAGGCTTGCAGTCGCAGACTCGAATGCGGAAAGCTTCGAGCAGGAAATCTTAATATGGAAAGACAAGGTGCAAAACTTAACTACAGAGGCTAAGCAATGGAAGGATCAACTCGATGCGCGTGGTGTGCGAGCGAAAGACCTATCTCAACGTTTGCTGTCACACAACGATCGTATGGTTCGTATGCTTGAACAAATGGGCTATTCAGTCGTCCGTCAAGACGATCAGCTGGTGATACAACGTGCCTCGAGGGTTAATGCAAGTATGGTCCTTACAAGCGAGGGTTCTACGTCAATGTACCGATCGCTCTCGGGTCAATTACAGACTCAGCATTATTCGAATGCCTCCGACCTCGACACGCTGTACTGGATGTCCGACTCGGATGCAACTAGTGAAGACACCAAATTTCAGAACTTCATCTCCACCCTCTCGCGTCTTGATATTGAAGCCGCAGCGGACCTGGTCGCCAAGAGATACAAGGACGTTGAGAATTTGGCTCGCAAGTATCAGAAGGATTCCAGGGCATACCGCGAGAAGACACATCGTCTTCAAAGCGAAGCGCACGACAAGATCGCTTACCGGTCTTTCAAAGAAGGGGATCTAGCACTTTTCTTACCAACAAGAAATCAAGCCACAAGACCATGGGCCGCGTTCAATGTCGGCGCACCACACTACTTCCTTCGTGAACAGGACATCCATAAGCTACAAAGTCGTGACTGGTTACTGGCCCGCATCAGCAAGGTCGAGGAGAGAGTTGTTGATTTATCCAGGTCACTCTCTAATGGCCATCACGGCAACAACCTTCCAGCTGGTGTAGATCGCCGTTCCATCAATACAGAAGCAAGTGACCATGGCTCCACCAAATCTGTTGATGACGAAAATCCATTCGAATTATCCGATGGTCTACGTTGGTACATGATCGACGCCAGCGAAGAGAAACCAGGCACTGCACCATTCCTCACCCCTGGGCTAGGCAAGAGTACAGTCGCAGCAACAAACATCGATGCAAGAGGAAGCATACGGCTGACCAAGGAAGGGAAGAAAATCCGAGATTCGAGCGGAAGCGGTACCGCAGCAATAGCGACCAAAACTCTCACTAAAAGCCTAGACAGTCGAAGAAGCAGCTCAAACAGCAAAAAGGGTCACGTCATGAGTCCAAGTACAGCAGCGAACACTGCTGGTGACGGTAACGAGAGCGCAGTCCTCGAATCATCGCGCCCGACTTCGTCGTCGATAAATCAAAATCCGAAGCCGCCTCCTGAAGCGGTGAATCCGTCCGAGTCGGCGGAACAGGCCAGAGAGGATGCGCCTATTTTTGAAGTGGTGCGGAAAGATCTCCTACTTGGCCCATGATGGTGGGACTGATTTTGCGTTGCGTAGGGTGCTGTCGAACGTCCTTACAGCCCTCGAAGCCTATTTATACCGGGAGCATCGTCTGGTAAGTTAAGAAGCGGCAAACTCTCCAATCAGGAGACGGCGATGTTCAGCCCTTTGAGCAGAGGTACAACTATTACTCCAGGTGCGAACAGGAGTCCAAACAAGGACCAAGCACAGCGGCAGCAACAGAGACAAAGGCAGCGACAAGCGAGTCCGCAGAAGAAACCCTGGGATAAGTTGTGGAGTATGGAGTATCGATTTGAGAGTGGAGGAAGTGGGAATGGCAGTTAGTTGAGGACACTACTATTGAAGTCAACCCCCAAGGTCATCCATGCTTTCTCGTCTTGCTATGAGAGGGGATATGAGACATTGTTCCTTCCATAAACCCGAGCATAGGAGGCATGCGAGTGACGGTCTAACGCCCCATCAACGAAATTGCCCTTGTTGTTATCCCCAAGCTCCGAAGTTCACCACGTTGCGTCGGCAAGTGTGCATATATCGACCAACCCACCGAGCGGGCAAGCGAGAGAGAGAGCCGGTCCATCACCGACCGTCCTTGAACAACCTTGCAGCAAAGCAAACAACTCGGCCAGACCTGGATTGCACCATATGTTTGATTCAGTGAAAGCGGGAGCGGGAGCGACAGCGAGTTTCTGTTAGAATTCAATACCCCCCAGACACATACTTGAGTAGCTACATAAGTATCATATATCCTTCCACCACGCTGCTATCGTCATGTGTATCTTTCTTTCCGCCAGCTGCATCCCCGTCATGTACCAATAACGATCCAAGCTAACTAGTGAGAAATATGATATACCTCTGCGATTTTCGGACCACAGTAAAGTAAAGCCAGCTCTTTGGCTTCTATCCATGAGTCCCAACCTTATCTCTCGCATACCCGGCGCATGCAGACAAGTTCAACAGGGAGACCCGTGCCTCCAGTTTTGTCGGATGATGGGAAGACAGAAGGACGTATACTGTTGACCACTAAGTTAGGTTGCACAGCTCGAGAATAAACGCGAGGATTACGAGCGTAGCCATGCCTGCCCATACCGGCCTCTGTGGGCTGGAGTCAACTAGATATACATAGGAGGTTCGTTCGTAGCTGGATTTCCATACCGAGTACGGAGTACAATATCCTAAATTACTAAATTCAGGTAGAATCGAGGGAGGAGGTATGGTTTGGAGAAAAGTTGGGCGGTTTCTGCTACTACTACTGCCACTACTATTCTGGAAGATATCATAGCACATATGGGACTCTTGTTGAATACACACTTGGGAGTTGGTGGCCACGATATCTCACTCCGCTGATTTCAGTCCTTGGGGTTGGGGGGGCCCTCCATTGGTTGCTGATTGGTTACACTGTCGCGAGGAAATTCATATTCATATTCATGTTCACATTCGTATTCATCATTATATGCTCCGTATACAGCGCAACTGCAAGAAGCTCTGGGTGGATTTTGTTGTCTTGTCAAATGCTGTGCTGTGCTGTGCTGTGCTGTGTTGCGTTGTGTTGCACTGCATACGAAAAAGCTTCAGCCAACAAATAAATGTACATGACGTGCTTTTGTTGCCCTCTTGAATGCAAAATAAGGGGTAAAGCAGGAACTCGAAGGAAGGGAAAGGGGCCGCTGGAAAGTACATTGATGATGATGACTGATGGAACCATGTGATTCCACCACTTACGCTTGCTTGAGGAATAGTGGAAGAAAATGGAATTAGTGATTGATATTTCTCCGCCTGCTCGTGTTTGCTTAGTACATAAACTCTCTCCTGCTTCACTCCACTGCTGTGCTGTGCTGCACTGCGTTTTGCCATGGCCGGGCTGCCGTGCCATGCAGGGAGAGAATGATAGACGCTGAATCCTTCCGTTTTTCATAGAACAAACGCCCAAAAGAAAACTAAGAATTAGACATTCTTGGCTGCCTGATGGATGGATGGATGGATAGTGCATCGCTGAGGTGCGTTCGAGGTTCAGGTGTGGTCATAAATATGTATGCGCTGAAGGACCGAACGGATGCTGAAACTGATTGGACGCCCGGCTAACGTATGCAAAGTGTACAAGACGATGTGGATGGGTCGGATTAATCAACATCAAACCCATCATCATTGAAGATGCCCTCTGTCTCTCCAGTCTTCATGACACCACTCATCCGGTGTGAATTCGTCCGTTGTGGCTTCAACGAGTCATCGTCGTCACGACGCATCTCGTCGCTTCCATCTGCACCTGGCGATTTGAAGTGGCCATCCATTGAGCTTTCGTCGACGAATGTGAAGCCTTTAAATGCATTCTGCATAGTTGGAGACAAAGGGGTTGAAGCTGGCATTGCACCTCCGGCCAGCGCGATGGCTCTTGCGTTCAGTGATGATGAATTATCGAGGGCATTAGTGAATTCAGGATCGAAATTTGATGTATCAATGATGGATTTCAACTTTGGCTTGAAAGGGGGTATAATGTTCTTATGAGCAAGAGCATCCCAATCAATGTCGTTGAAGAAAGGGTGCTCGATCAGTTCCTGTGCATCATGGTTTGCTCCAAGACGGTGTTTCGGGTTCCGGTTCAGCAAGCCCTTGACGAAGTTTCGCCCTTCCGTACTGAGAGCGTCTCGTGGAAACCTGACTTTCCCAAAGGCGATATTCTTGTACATCTGCTGGGTATCTTCAGCATAGAATGGGCTCCAGCCACAGCACATCTCGAACACGAGGACTCCTAGCGACCAGAAGTCTACCATTTTGGTATAACCCTGTTCATCAAGCAGGACCTCAGGAGCGAGATACTCTGTGGTTCCACAAAAGGTGTTCGTCGTGTCGTTCTTTGTCAGGTTAGCTTTGGAAAGGCCAAAGTCGCACAGCGCAATGTGACCATTAGCATCAAGCAAGATGTTCTCCGGCTTCAAATCCCGATAGACAATGTCATGTTGGTGGAGATGCTGCAGTGCAAGGATGAGCTCCGCAATATAAAATTTGGCCCTTTCTTCCTGAAACCTTCCCTCCTTCTGCAGATGCCAGAACAACTCCCCCCCAGACATGAAATCCGTGACCAGATACAAATCTGTTGGCGTCTGGAAAGAGAACTTCAGACCAACAATGAAGGGAGAGTCCGCCATTGCCGTTCTGACAAGGATGTTTCTTTCGCCCAAGGTATGGGCAACTTCCTTCTTTTGAATGATAACTTTTTTCGACAACACTTTCATAGCATAAATGCGCTGCGTATCCTTTTTCCGTACTTGATAAACCTGGCCGAAGGTCCCCTTTCCAATCAGCTTAAGAATCTGAAAGTCGTTCGGACCAAAGTGTTTCTTGTTCGTTTTCTGGAAGCGCATCCGCAAATGAACTTCGCCTGTGATTTGCTGTTCGTGCGGCCCACGTTGGTCCAATGGGAACCATCCTTCAAGCACCGGATTCTCTTCTGTCAAATTCAAGCATAGTCGAACATGACCAAGAAATGTCTCCGAGTTTGACTCGTATACTGAAATATCAATTTCTGATTGTCGGCCAAGTACATCGCTAGCACCATAATCAGTAGGTTCCAGCTGCACTGCGAGGTAAATGCACTTACAACGTTGCCTCGTGGTCCCATTGTGGATCGGTCACGGGTGAGTTTGACCTTGGCTGAGAGTTGTCTATCTCTCCATTGTTGCTGCTCTGCCGACTTCTCATTGGGATAGCTCTAAGTTTTCCTGCATCATCTTCAATTCGACGAATAGGCATTGCAGAAATCGTGTCTTTACGACCCTTTCTACTTGATGCTTCGTCGTGGTCAACATCCATAGCATCGTGTTTCGGACCATTTGAGATATACTCATTCCACTCGAAGACACACACAACGTAGGGATCATAGCTTGGTTTCAGGCCTCGTGCCTCATTGATTTTGACCGACAGTTGACCTTTCGGCGAGCCGGTAGGTAGGGCCTCGTTGTTGCGAGGCAAATTGGTCGTCTTAATGGCCGGTAACTCGGGAGACTTTCCAGCGCCGGCAGTCATGCTGGCACCGGAAGAAAGAGGCGATCTCTTCCCTTGGTAGCCGTCTTCGTGTGATAATGCTCGTGGGGTAAGAGGAGGAGTATTCTTTAAACGCGACTCAGCAGTCGCGCTTGAAGTCAGCTTTCTGAGCTCTCGAACTGAAGTATGATTGGGCAGCTTAACATCTTCTTCAGGAGGTGCAGTTGGACTCCCCGGGGCAGTGAGATGGGAAAAAGTGCTTGGGTTCGAAATATGTGCCGCAAGAACAGGATCAATACTGATGCTCGCAACAGGGAGTGATGCATGACGACGAGACTTGAGGGAGCTCGAGGAGAGGACAAAGTTTTTGAGGGCTTGTGCGACGGGATTGACAGCTGCATCAACTTCGGGTTGACCATTCACTGCTGTAGGTCCTTCTCTTTGCAGGAAAGAAGAAGCAGATGATATGGGAGTGGGTGGAAGCTTGGTAGGCACAGGCTCAGGCAGATCTTCTTGTGTTCGCTTTTGGCCTTGCTCATCAATCGATTCTGGTGGTGAATCATCATCACGACTCCGATGACGTGCCACCATAACAAGCGAACCAGAGGAACGAGAAGAGCTACGAGAACATCTGGCTTCCCGATCATGCTGGGGAGGATGACTATCAAGACCGGGGTCCAAGAAAGGGGCCGTGACAGCAGGGGACTTTGGAGCTTGCGGTTTCGAGGAAGGGTTGAGACCAACCTGACCAAAAAAGCTAGATATTATGCCGGGCAATCGCTTGTCCGATGGATCTGGTTGAGGCGTCTCGATGCCGGAGGGAGTTGGACAATTTGATCCAATTTGATCGGGTGTTCCTCCATTTTCATGACGGGCGCTGCTGCAAGTGAGTCAGTATATGAAGCTGATGTTTGCGAGGCCCACGATCCCACCCATTTTGTCATATACAAGTTATAAGAAGTGGGTCCGAAGGAACAGTGTAAGATGCAAAAAGCGAGCCAAAACAGCATTTCCAAGAACAAAGAGTTGCAGCGTAGAATGAGGCATTTCCGCCGCAATTTAAGATGAAGCTCCACCAGTTCCCAAAACATGAAACACCACCCCAGCTTGTAGCTTGGGTCAAGAATAGAAAACCAAGAGGTAGATAGTCGAGTACACGTACTTTTGCGCTACAGCCTGCCGGAGAAGGTCCGCTGCAGTGTGCGGGTTCACACCGTTGTAAGTTGCCATGGTCACTATTCCATCCGACTTCCGCCTCTTCTCGTTAAATTTGGTGCAGCAGCAGTCTTCTCCCGTTCCTTCTGTCTTTTTCCAGTCTCTAAGGTCAAGTGGTGATCTCTGATGCTGAAAGGTAAATGTTGGGAGTCGAGGAGATAGCTTGGAAGGGCGGGTGGGAAGGTCAGAGGCCGAGGTGCTCAGTGGTGGGGGCGGAGCTCGGAGAAGCAGGTCTCGGAATTCGTCATGAGTCGCAACAGCTTGAGCTTGATCTCGTCGAATCTTCTGAGAAATGAGGCGAAGATCTTGGGGTAACAGGTTGTTCGAGATGTGCTGTAGGGCAGATCTGATGGTGTCGCTTGTAGATGCGCAAGGAGATGGTTATTGTGGCGGGGCTCTTCGGTCAGTGCAGAGTTTTGAGTTGTGGGAATTGCAGGGTCAAGGATCTAAAGTTAAGGATCAAAGAGTCAAGGGCCATCGCTTCGATGGGCTTCTGGGGCTGATTCTGGAACTTGGTCATCCTTGAGACAGTTATGGGGTGAGTACAAGCGTCCAACTACAGCTATGCATTACTTGTTCCCACAACATCGTTGAGACAGCAATACGGAGTAATGTCGCTGCATTTCCAACTCTGGCTACTCAGTGCCACATGCAAAGGCTGCAGATGATGCATTAGTCCTTCCTTGCTCAACTTCGGCCGCTTCGTTTCACTCCACCCCGGCCCTAACAGGTGCCCAAAATAAGACATTTGTGGCACAATCCTCAGTACTACGTAGTATATGTGTGCGACTATGATCAGCCCTTCCGACCTTCGCTTACCCGCAGCCGCTGTAACTAGTTAGTGTACTTCCTGAAGATCGCAGCAAAAGCATCGACAGTGCTAGGAAGCCCCAGCTTGGGGAGTCTACATTTGTAGTCATACAGATTGCCCACTGCTCATTATGTTGGATATAGTAGGACGATGGTTCTCTTCGTAGCCATAGATTGTAACTTCTTATGAGATCGTCGTAGAAGCATATGATTGATGAAAATGGATATCTAAGGGAAAGCAATAAGAAAAGGAACAGTGGGTGGAACACAACAATATTACTTTCTATCGTGTTCCTTTGTAAGCCGGTCATGTTGACGGGCGGTTCAAAATGGTTCAAAATGGTGGGACAAGTGGTGAACAAAGAAGTAAACATGTAATACTTACCATCATACGGCACATTGGGCTATGGCCAGCCGGGAGGATCTCCTAGCTATTCATGCTTTCGCCTTCCACCAGCAACATAAGAAACTGTCGATATGGCCGTAGTTCTCTAGTCCCGCAGGACATGTTGTCTTCGACTTGAAGCCAGGGCGCCTATGTTGAGATTTGTGAAGCCAGACTCCACCTTGGTATCCTCCTCGTCGAGGGCGGCACTTTCCGGCACCCCCAACGCGTCCCTGAATGCCACTAACAAAACTTACTCCTCCAAACCACGCGGAAAATCCTCGACAAGCGCCTGCGGCAAACATGGCAAGACGTCAGAGACTGGCTGCACAGGCCGCGGCAGCATCACTACGTTCGTATATCTACCCATTTTGGCGTCGCAATAACTGATCGTAGCAGGCACTTCCACCCCCCTCGTACCCGATCTTTCTGACGATGAAATGGCCGATGCCCCTCCCTCAGACGTTGCGACACCTCGGGACGAAGAAGATGATGGAAACGATGACCAAGGGGATGCTGAACCAGAAGAACTCGACGACCGCCCAATCACTCCAAACCGCGACTCCGAAACCCCTTCTCGATCTGGCACACCGCGACGGTCTGGCCGGTCAACGTCCTTACTGCCTCGGAAACGTCGGCTAGGAAGGCCTCCAAGGAACAAGCAGGCAGGATCTGATGAGGAGAGGAATGACGTGCCCTCAGACACCGGTACGCCGAGGAGAAGGGGTGGGTTTCGAGGCCACCGAGGGGGACGATGGGCTAAGCGAGGAGGGGGACCATCGCATGTCACTCAAGTTCCTATCGACAAGGAGGGCAACATGATGGATGTGGTAGATGACGAGGTCGATACGCCAGCAGATCCCGAAGGTGAGAAGAAGGTCGACAAGTTTGGATACTTACAAGATGGAAGAGAGTATCGAGTGCGCACCTTCACTATTTTAGGGCGAGGCAGACGGCTGTACATGCTCTCCACTGAACCGGCTCGTTGCATTGGCTTTCGAGACTCCTATCTGTTCTTTCAAAAGCATCGCCTGCTCTACAAGATCATTATTGACGACGAGGAGAAGAGGGATCTGATCGAACGCGATCTCATACCACATTCATACAAAGGTCGCGCGATTGGTGTGGTAACCGCGCGCTCGGTCTTCCGCGAGTTCGGAGCCAAGATCATCATAGGAGGAAAGAAGGTGGTGGATGACTACGCCGTACAAGAAACCAGAGCTAGGGGTGATGTCGAAGGCGAACTTGCCGTGCCTGACGACAGGTTGCCTCTACCGGGAGAGCCATACAACAGAAACCAATACGTGGCATGGCATGGAGCAAGTGCGGTCTATCATTCTGGAGTGCCCTCAGTACCACTGCCGAGCGGCAAGATAATTGACGGCAAGAAGCGAAAGGTTGCCGTTACTAGTGATAACTGGATGCTGGAGCATGCTAGAGCGGCCAGGTGAGCGAGTGCTGAGTGTTGGGATGTGTACATTTATGGCTAACATTTTCAAGTCAATTCAACAGCAGCTTAACAGCCATCCGACGGGAGAACAACGAAGGCCTCTACGACATTCACACAAACACTATTCAGTGGCCTAGGACAATGCAACCTACACATGCACGATGGGAGAGCGCAGAGCGCGAGAAGAAAGCCCAAGAATATTCCGAACAAAAGAAACTCACCAATGGCGCCAACGGCGACGAACATGATGGAGACCAAGAACTCTCCACGATCTTCCAGCCCCTCAATCCCGTCTATCCTCGAAACTTCCTAATACAAGATCTCATCCTAGAAGGAGCACCAGAATCGAATGTCGGCCCGCCTGGTCTCGACAATGATCCGCAAAGTCTCTCCAGGCTTCCCCACGATATCTTGGACGAACTCCCAGCAGACTGCCGCCAGGCCTTTGAAGAGGCCAAGGCAAGGGAGTCAGCGTGGAGATCACGCTGGGATACGGAGACGACGGATGGTAAGCGGGGGAGGTTTATGCCAACGGTGGAGTGGTTTCCTTGAGCGGTTGCATGCTCCGGGGCCTTGCTTTGCATTCCCTGCATTTGGACCTATTAACGATGTGAGAATATTTCAAAGCGAAGGAGCTAGGGCTTTGATGCTGAGCCAACTCAGCTTGGGTAAGAAGGAAGCGGTTCGGATCAGAGGCAAATGTTGGAAATGGACATTCGACCGCAAATGGATGCCATGAAGGACCATAATGACTGGTGCCTGAGAACGGAGACTGATTTCATCCTCTGCTCTTGAGTGAAGCAAAGAGGTCCTCCCTCCAACAACACTCATCTGCCCTTGCAAGACTCACTGACGATAAGAGCATCGCCGGCCCCAAAATATTGACCCTGCATATCCCCTTGCCAATACACCCCTTTGTCCTGCTAGGACTACCATGCTGCCTGCTTGCCCATCTCTCTTAATGGTCCCTCTGAGTCGACCAGCCAACTTGCCCAATGTTATTCGAGCGACCAAACATGGTAGGAAGCGCCTTCTCAATCCATTTCAGTCTTACGATCCTCCGAATTTTTTTTTTGGTTGTTCAACACAGGGCTCGAGAAGTTGAGAACGTTTACACCAGAAATCGCTGGTTTTCCTTTCGAGTCTGCTGGGGTTTAGGGGTGCGACCGAGGAAGATTAGGCTACTCGAGGCAGCAAAGGGGCGTAGATAATTCGTTACAGTAAATTGACCAGAGCAAGAGAATCTCCTTCTAGCTTCATCTAGTACGCTTCTCGGTACGGCTTCGTCTAAGAGGTGGCGCTTTGGGCGGGTTTGAAAGAATGGAATAGAGAGTCCTGGCGGATGGACGGTGAGTCAGGCAGAAGGGTGGGAATCACTACACTACACGTGGATATGGAGTGTGAAGCATCTCCTGAGCTTTCATGATGCGAAGGCTTGTGTAGGATGGTATTTGAAAATTACTACAGTGACCTCCCTTCCCGGTCCATGCTAGGAATAGGTGAGCTCGCAATTCCTCGTAGCCATTTCCAACACCTGTGATTTAGAAACTCGTACGAAGAGTGGCTGCAGATGAAGCTGTGGATGTTGGTACTTGTTTCTTTCCAGAAAGGGGTGTTGCCTGCGTCTGTGATTTTTCCCACCCCACAGTGTTGGTGTTGGATCTAGGTATGTTCTTGCAAAGCTGTGCTGGCAGCTTGTTCCGTATTAGAATTCGATTGTTTGGTTGCACCATTGGTATGGGCCGGCTTGCTGGTTGTGTATTCATCTTGACACACCTCACTCGTGTGGCTCCCTCATCACATATGCTCTGCATGCCATCCGTAGCCAGACTTCGTCTCTCCAGCCCTAGGCCTGCAAGGTGTTGAGGAATTTAAAGTGACTGCCTACCACTTATCTTGGTGAGATTCCCGAAATGAAGAAATGGGTCATCATTATTATTTCGTATTCCAGTTATGCATCAGGTGCTCTTTGAGCATTCTTTCTGAAAGATGTGCAATATCCTGGTCGCTATCCTGTAGGATTTGGGGGAAGGGCTTTATATATTGTTAATCCGGGAAAAGGATATTGTTCAAGTCCTCATGTTGCTATTGACAGTGTAATAAGAGCTACAAAAGGAAGTTGTTTGAATGAGAGCTTGACAACCACCGAGTTGTAGAGTTGTGTCACAGTGATTGACCAACACAGCGAAGTATGAAAAGCCAAGCAACTCTTGATCATGTGGTGAGGGACCTGATACGGAGAGATTCAATAGACATACAGTATCTCCGTGACGATGAACGGAGATAACGGGTATAAGGAAAGAGGCAATTGGAAGTGCTGGATCATCACACTAAATCTGGCTATGAACAATCATGAGGATGAAATTGAGGTCGAGCAGCTACGGTGGTCAGATCTGATGTGAAGAGAGCCCACTGATCACACGCTTACTACTGCCTGCTGGATGTTTGAGCGTGCATAATCAGGTCCAGGCAGATGAACACAATAGTGGACAAGCCACAGTGAAATGCACCTAGCCTTGTATAGCCACCAAAGAAAGGAGTGTCAATTCGTAAAGGCAAGGAAAAATGGGTAAAAGCCCCATTCTGCAGCAGTCCGTTGTCAGCCCGTACAACGTCCACTTCAACAAGACACAATGATGATAAATTATTGTGAGCTTTGTGGTGCACAGAAGACCTAAATCAAAGTTTCATCGTAGGGACTATGAAGCACTACTAAGCCCTCAACCGAATCTGGACTCAAGGCAGAGAGACACGTTGCTCACACCAAGCGGGAATAGACCCAAGCTGTGTCTGGGGGGGGAGAGACTTTTGTGTGGTGGCAATAATAAGGGCAAACGACTGAAGATCTTGCAGCGTCACCCGATGCTTCTCACGACCGTTTATCCTCATCGAAGAGCCGAGGTGGGGCTGAAGAGAGTGGTCAGCAGCTGAAATAGGGATCGTGGACCCGACAAGAGAGGCCCTTGGTGAGTTGGGATGTGCACCGTTCAATGCTTTTTCCTGCAATAGTGACGTCTTGGGTTGGCTCTGAAAGGATCAACCCAGTCACCAACTCTGGCCTAATTTGAGGCATTCGCGCCGGACTGCTTCTGGTGATGCATGCAGCATGATCTTCAGATTGTTTCTGTGTTGTAAGCGTCTGTGGTTCTCCAAGTTGCATAGCGGAAGCCGTTTGGCTGTTCATAAGCCGAAGCGTGACCGACACCACAGATTGACCCAGGAAATGGTGAGCATCAAATTCGGAGATGATTTGCTGCCGTTTGACTGCAGCAATAATAATGACTGGGCTTCCGCCTGAAATAGCCTGCTAAAATTGAACAGCAATTATACGCAGTAACACCGGGATTACGAGGTTTGTGCTGACTGGAGGAGAGAGCAGAGAAAAATGATTGGTGGAAGATTGCCAAATTTGCTGGCAGAGTTTTCATCTCCCACCCGCAACTTTCTGCAACTGTTTAAGCGGTAACGTGCGCTAGGAAGCCGCGAGAGTGTGGGCTAGCTTAGCTGGGACTGCTTCCTGGAATTCCTGTTCGTCGCTGTCGTGACTCCTGACCTCCCTGCCCGGATCCCCTGCCAGCTCCGGTTGACCGGTCCCCACGACTTCTTCCTGCTGAGAGATTAATCAATCAATTACGAAGGGGGCTTGGTGTGGTTGCAGGTGCGCAGCCGTGACCTGCCTCAACTTCAAGATCGTCCCAATCTTTCGCCCTTGGTAGCTAGCCTCTGCTCCGGCTTTCTCCTTCATCCCTACGCCCCTACCACCACAGGTCCAGACCTATACGCACACCCTCGTCCTCTCCCTGGCCCTGCTGTCCACTTGCAACTCCCTTCCTCCTCCCTCTACAACTGCACTGCATTTCTTCTAAGCAACTCTCCTCTCTTCGAATATCAGTTAGCAGGAACTGGCTCTGTGGTACAGCCAACACTCTCCTTCTAAAATTCGACATACCGGTTGAGGACTGTTGCAGCCACCAGCCAGCAGCCATTTCAGCTTCAAGAATAGTGACGACTTGTGCCTATTCGGTCTGCCAGCTATTTTCGTTCAAGGCAGCAATCTTGACTGGTTGCTGGTTGAAAAGCCTTGGGGCAAATTGACGTGGTTGGAAGTATTTAGATTCGTGGCCTTTTGCACCGTATTCCAGTGGCTGTGTGGATCATCAAGAAACAACCTTTTTTCACCGCCCTGCAACCAGGCTATTCATTCAACTTGGAGCGCAAGCAATTGCTATTGCTGAGTTTGGAGATTGAACATAGGCTCTACTGCATGGTATGTATTTCTATGCACCACCCGCCAGTGAAGAGGCACTCTCCGGACAATAACTGACAGCACCAAACAGGTAGCAACTTTCTATCGTCATTGTCACTAAACCGTTTACCCTGGGTACTCTTTGACGACCTTTTAACTAAGTGTCGTCCTGTGTTCTGGACTGTTCAAATTTTGACCCACTCGAACGGAACACCGGGGCTTTAGGCAAACACTTGTCGGGTACTCAAGGCACCTTCACTGGTCTCTGGAGATCTGTTACTCCTCATTCTTTTCTACATCAAATTCCGCACAAGATACCGCAAATGTTACAGTTGTAATCACATACATTGTAACAACAAATCAAGCCCGGCGTCTTTTCGCTTGTGGAGCCTGTGAGTGCTCCAAGAGCTGGCAGTTGGTGCTCCCGATCTTTCAATCCTACAAGAAAATACTGATCTTTGACTAAGGGTTTTGCTGTCGGCTCTGGCTTATCAAGCTCTCATCACCATGCCTAGCTTCCAGCCATGGGGTCAGGCGGCTCAGCCTTCAAGACTTCCACCAACACCTCCTGAATACCTGCCTACCTACCAGACGCCAGCGAGCATGATGGCTGAGCAGAGCTACTATGGCGCGTCTTCTGACTACCTGGCTCAGCATGGACATTCCGGTCGTGATTTCATCGAGCGTTACACACAAGCTTCCGATTACGTATCACAACAAGCCATAAATTCTCAAAGTCACACTCGCGTTCCTCAAATGCAAGGTTCTCAAGACTATCGCAAGATTCCACCCTATGTTGCTCAGCTTCCGCAGCGGTATCAGTATGGTAGCATGGCGGTAGCTCCACCCCTTCCGCCTATCCGAGCACGAGACAATCCTACCGACCCTGTCGGTACGCAATATCGCGTACAAGATGCTCAAATCCAGAAGCAGAAGGATCAAGCTCCTAGTGGTGGCGTTTCGGCTCACTTGGACTACGACATGGAGGTGATGGCAAACTTTGTTGCGGAAATGGCCCAAGGAATGTATGCAAAATTCATCTCTGGCATTCATCTTGCAGATATTGACCTTATGCGAAGTGTCAGCCCAGGTTCTCGGCCCGCTCCACAATTCTTGAAATACGTTCTGGCAATTTTGTCGTCCACTCGCCTACCTAGCTCGACTATCGTTCTCGCGCTCTTCTATCTTGCTTCTCGAATGAAGATCGTCTCTGCAAATGGCGAAGCTACTCGCTCTTCCAGCTGCGTATATCGAATGCTTACCACCTGTCTTCTTCTCGGGAGTAAATTCCTTGACGATAACACCTTTCAAAATCGTTCTTGGGCAGATGTCAGCCAAATCCCCGTCACGGAGCTGAACAAGATGGAACTAGACTGGCTCAAAGGCTTCGATTGGACCCTCCATGGGCCAATGTACAATGAGACTGAAGGCTTTTACATGTGGAGAGAGCATTGGAAGGCGTACCAAGAAGATGCTCAACTTGCAAAAACACGAGAGTCGCAGAAGCTGACTCCTATCGACACCACCGTTACACACCTTCAGCAAATCCAGCAAACCACTAGACAGCCATTCATGTCTCCAGAAGGTCCCATTCCATTGCAATATCAGCGCTCGTCCCAGTACGACACACAGTGGGTTCGTCCATTCCTCTCAGACTATTCGCCGCCCTCCGCGCCTCACACCGGACCGACCACGCCAGACTACTACACTAGTGGTAACTGGTCTCAAGCTCCTCCGCCTTATTCAAAACAATCTTGGGCATCAAACAGCACTCCTGTCTACGCCAATCATCGATCCCAGCCCCCTTCATATCCACATACACCTTCTTACATTCAAGGTTATTCTCAGTCAGTCTGGAACAAACATGGACCGTCTTGCACCTGCACGTTATGCCCCAAGCATCATGAGCATTATTTTACCCATCCCAACGTCTACGGCTTGCAATCAGTCGCTGGATGAACTGTAATTACTGCACATCGTTGCTGGCTCCTGTCCAAGAGCATTGGGATCGGCCAAATCATCTTCACATTCAGATTCTCATTCTCCCTTTATCAGCGATGGCGACACCGCTCATCAAAAAGTTTCTCGATCACAGAAAAAGTTTATGTCACAGAAAGAATGGAGCGAGCATCCTTCCACAGCTCCTTGCATGGGTGCCAAAACAATTTCTACGACATCCCATTCCAGTACTAGCTAATCTTGCGTTACGACACTGCACGATACAATTGCGTTCTTTTCTACGAGCATTCACAGCGAGCGGAACCAGTCCAATAGACTTTATTCACATCAGCCAGCGGCTGGCTACCAGGAGTTTCGGAAAAAGCAAGGAGGTTGGCTCACAGCCACCGTTAGTCCTCATGCTTGACGGGTCTTACTATTTCCTTTCACAAATTGTGTCATTATGTTCAGGCTCTCTGTCAGCAAAGCAGCTAAACAGTTTTGCTCACTATGACCAGGATGGGTGGTTGGGTGGTTGGCAGGATTCATACACGCAAGGGTCATTCGTTCAGCTTAGGCGTCTTGCATACAAAGTTTGCAGGTAGAGCTTGTCCTGTGAATTTTTATTGTAATTTTTCATCACGATTGGTTGAGTCGTGTGGGTTGTCTCAAGAATCCACTTTCCGGTCGTTTACAGCGGTTGGCAGCTGGCAATCCCACGAGCTCCGATGAGGCTCGAGTCATGGCAGTTGCATTTCTCAGCTCACGGAGCTATGTTGTGGTACTCATACCCCATAGACTACTACTTCAATCAAAACCCTCAGATCCATGACTGGACCTCGTGTAATTGCTTTGGATGCTCTCTTGTATCGTCCGTATTTTGTCGTACTCTGTAGTGTATGAGAGGGGAGTTCAGACCACCAGAGTCGCCCCCAAATCGCGCTTCCAGTTGGCCCAGAGGCCCGTACATTTAAGCTTGCAGCACTTTGCAGCCAATTGATCGAGCTTGGCGGTCCTTTCACATTACTATGTACTACGTAGAGAGAAGATAGAGAGAAGATAGAAATGAGAATTATCAATAATTTCGGCACCTAGCTCCAGCCCTGGCAGAGCATCGCGTAAAGTTGATTAAATATATAAGACGGCAGGCATGTAGGTGCCCAATCACAATAAGGGCCTAAAACCGGGCAGAGGACATCAAGAACTGAGCTGTGGCGGTGCCAGGCGAGCGGAGGGGGAGCAGAAGTTGAGCCGGGAAGAGTGACGGGCCAACCAGAAGAGGGCATCAGACCGGGTCAAGATTGGTGTGCTAATGCCGCTTTAGGACCATAACCATTGCAGCAAAGCTCCCTTTTAACATCCATCTCCCCTTCCCTCTCTCGTGCGGGCCAACGCATCCCGTCTCCCCTTCATACCCAATAGGCCGACTTCTCCCGCTACTCTCGCGCCTCCGTGTGATGGCAAACTCTCTACGTTCCGCCGCTCCCTCTCGTCTTCACCTTTCACCTGTTTTCTTGGCGTAGCAGCCACATCCGCCCGGCAGCGTGCTCTACGGAGAAACAATATGGGACCCTAACAAGCTCATTCTGGCCTGGACGCAGCCCCCCCCGCAACAACGCCGCAGTCTCAAATCCCGCGGCCGCCCGTGCAGGGCAATTCTTCGCCGCCCTCTCTTTCGCCTTCGCCTCCGCCTCCGCCTCGCTAAGCACCAACGTCTCAGCCAACTCCCTCAGCGCTGCAAACGACCTCGCGGCCCTTGCGCCCCGCTACTTCGACATCCCTCGTGGCCAGCTCACCTGCGCTGGTGTCGCATGGGCGCTTGTCCCGTGGCGCATACTTGCAAGCGCGCGCAAGTTCCTCAACTTCATGTCCGCATACAGCATCTTCTTCGGCCCGCTGGCAGCCATCATGCTGTCAGACATTTAGATCGTGAAGGCGAGAAAGTACGACATCCGCGAACTATACGCGTATGGGGGACGGTACCATTATGGTAGAGGCTGGAATTGGCGCGCAGTGGTGGCATTCGTGGCGGGCATGACGCCGACTCTGCCCGGGCTTTTGTAGAGTGTAAATTCGGTGTAAATTCGGCGGTTGACGTAGGCGTAGGGACGAGACCTTATGCATTCGGCTGGGTACTGGGATTTTTCGCCACTCTGGGTGTCTATACAGGGCTGGGGCTCCTGTGTGGAGACAAGCGAAGTTCAGTAGAGAGGGCTGTAGGGCCGGATGACGTTTATGATGCGCAGGCGCCGGAGGACGGTAGGGTAGATGAAGACTCGTCGGCGGCTGGAAGCGAGCGGTCCGGTAGTTTGAAGGAGGCTTTAGAGGGTATAAATGGTGAAGGTGATAACAAGGAGAGGGATACTTTTTTGAATTGTAAGTTGGAGGAACCGAGATCGGTCGGAAGCTTCTGCGGATAGAAGAGTTGCTTCCAGGGAGCATCAGATAATAAGGCAGTCTTGACAAGTAATGCAAAGAAACAAATTAACGAACAATTCTGTAAAATTCGATCTTGAGTCGTGTCTTTACATTGAATCCTCACACGGGAAGGAACACAGATTCATATCCAAATTCTTTGGGAGTGGCATTGAGAAAACTTTGATATGACTGTTCACGTAAATCGAATGCAGGTGCTCATGCTGACAATCATTAGCGAATGACTTTCTTCCAGCGGCCGATAAAAGGGCATATTTTCACACCACAGCTCGGTTACTTTCAGGGCCAATGCCTAACTCAGTATGCCCCTTGATGTTATCATCTTGACAAGAAACACCATGGCATTTGGAAGCATCCTTCGTGTTCTCTCAACAGCACTTTGTTGAGATTTGAGAAGGTAGGGAGGGGGGATATGATATGAGTGAGTGCCTCATTCTTTGGTCACCACCAAGATGGACGAATGCGGTATCTTAGCAAACTTCTCCCACTCCTCATCGTACTCGCCTCGCTCCCTTGCCAGCTTCGGGATCCGGCAGTCGGTCCACTCCAGTCTACCCTTGAACCCACGGTCCCGGGCTGCCTTCTCGTACACGCTCTTCCGCAGATGGTAGGAGTCGAACTGGACGATCTCCGGCTCGGTACCCGCCCAAACTCGTATCCGTATGCCTTCCTCCACCGCACCGATATTCTCCAGATGGACCTCGCCCATCGCTTTCGGCCTCACCTTCGCTGCCTCCTCTATGTGTCTCACCGGATCCTCGGATGCACATGGCGTCATGGCTAACATGGAACCCCCTGCCCTGAGATTCCCCGCCGCGTGCCGGAACATGTCCGCCATCTCCGCCCCGGAGGCCGCGTAGTTGAGGAGCCAGCAGCTCAGAACTAGATCGAAGGGTGCGTCCGCGTATCGCACATCGGGCTGGGCGCAGTCGCCGACCTCGAACTTGATGTTCGCGTCACGGATGCCGGCGCCGCATGCGGCGTTGATCATGGCTGGCGAGATGTCCACGCCAAGGACTGATTTGGCGCCCCATGCACGGAGGGCGTGCGTAAAGCGACCTGTGCCACAGGCGAGGTCGAGAACTTTGACGTCGCCATGTTTGATCAGTGGTTCGACGGTTTGCTGGATGCAGAGGTATACCAGGCCGGCGCCGGGGAGTTTGGACATGTTATTGTAGGACGCGCCGATAGCATCATATTGGGTCGACATGGTTTGGTTTGTCTTGGATACGGACGTTGTTGAGACGAGGAGACGGGGACATCTCAATGTGGAACCTTCTATTCTATTGAAATGCCCGTAACCTCCCTAAACAAGCATCCCCATACAATGCACGTCATTATGCATGTAGCGTGATGCGACTTCGGTCTGTCAAAACCCATGCCATGACTTGCGGCTTGAAGGTCAGACGAATCGCAGCAATATAAGTGAGTAACTGCCAAATTTGAAGCGCGGAATCGCTGGCGGTGTGATGCCTACTCGGGCTTAGCTCCACCCGATCGGGGGTTAGTGCTCGTTAGTTAGTCACACTCCATTGCCAGCAGCACCTCAAGCACGCGCAACATGGTCAATTTATGCGTCTGCACCTCGGAAGTCATAGGTCAGTAATGCAGTAAGTGTGGGCACTGCTGTTGATATTCTTGCTGCGCTGCTCATCCTTCAAGTTTGCAGCCTTCGTTGTGCTTACCCGCCGCAGAAAAACGAACGCAAGAAGAGCCTGGAAGACTCCAGAAGCGCGAGGTTGAAACACAGCTGGAAGATAATTTGCCTGCTTACGGAACACGGCTTCTGAAGGACTTCAGGGAATGACCTTTGAATAAGGACCAGAGTAGTGATTGGGAAGCGCCGCTATCGCGGTTGCCATTGGCGTTGAAAGTTGACTCGGGTCTTCATTAAGCTGCAACGCCAGCGGGGTAATGACACGGTGGATATGAATTGAACTGTTATATTAAGAGTGAAAGCTAAGAGATGAGGACTGATCTCAAATAGTACAATCGGTATAAGCTTGATGCAACAAGAAGCAACGCAAGCTAAATACCCCCCACATGTGCTTGTACTGAGGAATACCATGTTGGACATGCCGGCACGCCATTCGCTGTGATCATCAGCGCACAAGGTACATTGGGAACAGGCACGTCGCTGGCATGTATGAGAATCAATCACTTGTACAAGGGGGTATGGGGCACGCAGCCAGAGATATAGTAATGGTCTTACTGCTTAGATGGGGTCGTCTTGCAGCGCTCTCAACTCGGCCTCAAGGAGGATAGATAGTAATATGTAACTAGAGTCGTGGGAGGGCGCCAGCTGTACAAAGTATGTTCGTAGTAAACATAAGAAGAATTGGGTATGTAGCACCATGAGCTTGTTATGAAGCCACACAACCCTAATGTTGTAGATTCTGAACCAAAATGTCAACCTATCTTGGTATTAAGTGCTCATCATTGAAGCAGCGTTACACACCTCACTTCGGTCCCCTTCGAGTGCCAAGTTAGGCGCCGCAGCTTGCGCAAGGCTTGGCATAATTTTGTCACTGAAGCTCTCCGACGCAACCTTCAAAGTTCCATCTCCAGGGCGAAGTAATCACCGTGGCCTTTGATCTGCCTAAATCTTGTTACCAGACCTCGAAACGACTACAACTCTGTCATATTCATAGACCTTTGACCCGCTTCTAACACGCATCTACACACCGTTCTTCTATCTTACCACCAACATGTCTACCCTAGAAGACCTCGATGACATGGAGCGTGAAGAGAAGGATCAGAAGAAGGATCAAGACGGCGATGATAAGAAGACGCCTGGAGGAGACGGCTCCAAAGACGAAGAAATGAAAGACGCGGATGGTGAGAAGAAGAAGAAGGAGGAAGACGATGTGATAGACCTTGATATCCTGCGATCAAGCACAGTTGACATTATCAACCGACGGCGAATGCTGGAGAACGAGCTGAAGATCATGAAGTCTGAATTTCAGAGGTTGAAGCATGAAGAGACAACAATGAAGGATAAGATCAAGGACAATACAGATAAGATTGAGAACAACAGGTATACCTCATATCTTGACAAGCAGAGCACGAGTGGCTGATACAAATGTCTACAGGCAATTACCATACCTTGTTGGAAATGTTGTCGAGCTTCTAGATCTTGATGTCGAAGCTGAAGCTGCTGAAGAAGGTGCCAACATTGACTTGGACGCCACTCGGGTCGGCAAATCTGCCGTCATCAAAACATCAACAAGACAAACCATCTTTCTACCATTGATAGGCCTTGTTGACCACAATGCGCTCAAACCGGGTGACCTGATCGGCGTCAACAAAGACTCCTACTTGGTACTGGACACCTTGCCAGCCGAGTATGACTCAAGAGTGAAGGCTATGGAGGTGGATGAGAAGCCTACAGAGAAATACGGCGACGTTGGTGGTTTAGACAAGCAGATGGACGAGCTTGTCGAAGCAGTGGTCTGGCCTATGAAGGAAGCTGAGCGCTTCAAGAAAATCGGTATCAAAGCGCCTAAAGGTATCTATCACGTCCCAGTCTGATCGTCTACTGCTAACAGGAGCAAGGCGCTCTTATGTACGGCCCTCCGGGAACAGGAAAGACCCTTCTTGCCCGTGCCTGCGCAGCGGAAACCAACGCTACCTTTCTCAAACTTGCCGGCCCTCAGCTGGTACAGATGTTTATTGGAGACGGTGCAAAACTAGTACGAGATTGTTTCGCCCTCGCAAAGGAGAAGGCGCCATCAATCATCTTCATCGACGAACTCGATGCAGTCGGAACCAAGCGATTTGACTCTGAGAAAAGTGGCGACAGGGAAGTGCAGAGGACGATGTTGGAACTACTTAACCAGCTTGATGGGTTTGCATCCGATGACCGTGTCAAAGTCCTCGCAGCTACGAATCGAGTGGATGTTCTGGATCCCGCGCTTCTCCGATCAGGGCGCCTAGACCGAAAGATCGAATTTCCCCTGCCAAATGAAGAGGCGCGAGCACAGATCTTGAGAATCCACAGCAGAAAGATGACTGTCGACGATGCAGTTAATTGGGGCGAGCTGGCAAGATCGACAGACGAATTTGGTGGTGCTCAATTGAAGGCTGTCTGCGTCGAAGCTGGTATGATTGCGCTGAGGCAAGGCAAGAATAAGATCAATCATGAAAACTATGTTGATGCTATTGCAGAAGTACAGGTCAGTCTCCTCTTTTACAATACTCTTCTATGATCCAAGATTACCCTTATACTAACCTATCTTGACTCATCAGGCGAAGAAGAAGGACACTGTGAATTTCTACGCATAGCGGGTGTATGTTCTGAGATGAATAGGAGCGAGGATCATCATCTTGAGCTCTTCAGACATGCATTACTGGCGAACGAGATATTTGACAGACATCCATGCAGGTAGTTTGCTTCCAAGCAGGCCTATAAACTGGCACATGTTCAGCAAGCGAGCAATTGAGAAACCAAAGCTACAGATTCGAGATTGAGAAGCGTCGAAGCACCATCACCCGGAATTGAATCTGTCCAGAATACATGATATGCTCACAATCCTTATCTCATCCATCTATTGTCCCCGTCTCACCTGCCGCGGCATATCAAAAGCCCGCCGCCTTTCCATTCCAGCCATCTCAACACTGCTCATTGTGCTTAGCGTTCTCAATAACACCCGCTTCTTTCTCTTCAAGCCAACATGAAATGTCTGTACCCCCAATAGTCCGGTCCTCTGCTTGCTCTCCAGCTCGGCGTGCAATCCCTACCTCTATAGTATGACACCTACTTGCCTCTTGCTGTCCGTTCCTGCTCTTATATTCTCCCGTACCCACGTCCTTCCCGTGCCTGCCCTTTCGCAGGTAGACAAGGGAAAAGTAATTGCACAGGCTTCATTTCATTATTAAGTAACCTAGTCTTACCCTTCTTACCACCTAACTCCGCTGTAATGAAGGAGAGTCCTCGCTTCGATGTATACTCCCATCCTGGATCTAGCTTTGTCCTGCAAACTCACTTCCGCCCGTTCTCCCCTTGTGACATTCTCTCCTCCGTGCTTGGCTTCACAATCCAAAAAAGCGCTATTTTATTTTCCGTGAAAATATCCTTCAAATTCGGCACCGTGGCCTAATGGTAAGGCGTCGCTTTCCGGTGGCGAAGACTTGCGGGGTATGTCTTGAAAATCCACTCTCCTATATCATCTCTTGCTCTCGGGTATGGCGAGAATCGGGTAGATGATATTTTACGTTGATTGTGAGACTAATTGGTGGGAATGATTAGTTCGAGTCCCGTCGGTGTCGACTTTCATTTTTTTAAATCTGTATCTTGTTAGTGTAGGGTGGAGGCTTTTGGTGGTTTAGTTGGTATCATTTTGGTCGTTTGGAGGTGCGGATAGAGCGGTTCGGGACCGGATTTTATTGCTTGATGGCAGGAAAGATGGAGTGGGGATAGAAGATGGAGTAGGATGATACTTTTCCGAGACGATCATATTTCTTTTAACTTGAATTCTTTCATTCATCACTCCTTTCCAGGAGGGACTACAGTGATGGGTGAACTGCCCCCTGTTGGATTAAGTACCTACTCGTACATCATGCACAGGAATCGCTGTCTGTACCAGCCTCCCCTGCCGTTCCTTGGGTTCGAATAAAGCTCTCCTGTGCTATAAGAAAATAACATAACACAAGTCGATTGAGGCTCGAATTTGCCAAGCTCACTGTCAGCCAGGCAGCCCTGTGCGTGCTCGCTCGCCCGTCTTGATCCCACATACGCGCCATACCTTTTTCAACGCCTCCCATACCCATCTCCATACCTGGGATCGTAGCTGCCCCGATAATTCTGTGATCCTCCACCACCACCCCTGCCGCCGCCTGTGTCCCCGTTGACACCATATCCTCCTTGACCATAGCTCTGGCCACTCCCGCTGGCGTAATAGCTATCGCTGATCGACCGACCACCTGCACCGCCTCCTGGCGGCCCACTATATTGCTGCTGCGACCCACCATACCGATCCCCACCCCCTCCTCTACCCCCATTGTATTGGCCCTGACCATAGCCACCATACTGTCCACGTTGTGAACCACTACCAGAGCCGTATCCACCATCATCTCGCTGCCCATACCCACCATGCGCGTAAGAACTCGAGCCTGCGCTAGGCGGTCCACGTCCATACTGCTGAGAGACAGGAGGTGGAGGCGGAGGGATTCTCCCATTCGCACCGACCACGGGCGGAGGTACGAATTTCGGATCCAGGAACGCCGCAAAGGGGTTCGATCGATCGACCTCCCCTGTTCCTCCCCTCTGCTGATCATACTGCGGCGGCGGAGGCCTGTCAGCTTGGAAGGAGATATTCCCACCCCCTCTGCCGCCCCTCCCACCACCATTCCCATAACTCCCATTCCGATCTCCAAGCGGCGCACCACCATAACTCCTCCCTGAATTCCTCGCTTTGCTCTTCAAGATCGCAATATCACTATGATCAAGCACCTTCGCTGGCTCCTTGACACCCCGCAATAACATGGACTTATGCACATGTTTCGACGTTGGCATCGTGTACAGCACGCTCATACTGCGATCGTCGTCGACCTCGGGTTCGAGCTTGATGTCCTCTTCCGGCCCTTGAAGAGACATGTGGGGAAGGTAGCTGGAGTTTTTCTCTGCAATACCGGCGAGACCGCCTGTTCGGACGGGGAGTTTGACCGTGTTCTCTCCATTAGCATTCCTCTGCCTTTTAGAGTAGAATTCTGTGGCTAGGAGGTCGTAGAGTGGGTGGCGGTCGGACACGAAGAGGGCGTCTTTGCCCATTTCGTTGCGCGCGTGCTCTTCAGCCGTCAAGAGCGGATATTTGGTGTTCATGGCGGACAGGAGACGTTTCTCGTCGATGAAGGGGAGGAGAACGATGGCTTTCCAGCTTTGTTTTTTGCCGTTGGCGTCCAGGTCGAAGTCTTCGGGGTAGAAGTCTACGATCTCGCTGTCTGGGTCTGTCATGAGGGAATGAAATACGGGTGGGATAGCGTGGTTGGATGCTGCGGGTAAAACGCCCATGAGCTGCTCGTAGGGTTTGAAGGGTTTGCCTTTGGCGAATTGGATGTCCATTTTATCGAGGTCGATGAAGTCAGCGGCAAATGGTGCGTAATGATAGGGGTAATACCAAGTCCATGAAGCGCATCCCTGGAAGTAGTAGAGTAAAACCCATGCTAAGCCTTCAACGTAGGATTGTGCCACCTTGCGTCGGAATTCGTAGTCATCAGGCGCGACATGGAACTTTTGCTCGTAGTATCGCTCCGCATATCCTGTCTCCCATAGACGTACAGTATCAGGGGGTAGATCATCGGGGTTTGCCCCATTTGTCTTGGTCTCTGGTTGACTGATAGGAGTGGAGCGTCCTGGTGTGCTACTATCATCATCTTCTTCCAGTAGCTCCGCCTTCCGCTTTCCCAACGCTGAAGGCGGAGTCTGCTCGACGGCACCTGGCTCGTTGGTTGGCTTCTCTGGTGTTTCTGCAGGTTTGTTCTTTTGCATCAATTGAGCTTTCAGCGCAGCAGCAGCACTCTTGTTGGCAGCATTAGCCCTGTCCACGGCGCCTCTGTTCACCACCATGTTGTAGTCTACCTCGATGCTCTGAGGGGAGATCAGATTCATGGGAGCGTTGGTTGGTGCTCGATCGTCACTTCGTCCCTTAATGGAGCCATTGAATCCTCCTTGACCGTAATCTGGAGAGCTTCGTCGTCTTTTGGCATCGCGACCTTGCTCTCTTTGCTCACGTGCGTCTTTTTCTTGATCTCGTCGCTTCTGATTCTGTTCCCGCCTCTCCTCTGTCTGTCTCCGGCGTCTGAAAATGGCATCTTCCTGTTTGGCAAGACCTTGCAGGATGAATTGTGCACGGCTGAGGTCAACTTTGCCATCACAGGTCAGGTAACCACCCATGATGGGGATGTTGTCACGCCAAATAGCGATCAAAGTATCGATACCATCCTCATGGATATCAAGACTAGGGAGATGAGGAAGGAAATCGTTGCCAACGAAAAAGCACATGAACACCCAATCATCAAGGGCTCGCTCAAGATCAAAACGAAAGGGTTGACCAGGGACAAACATCTCAGCTCCAAGGTATTCCCGCAAGGTGGGCACGTTCAGCCAGATGAACGGTTTCAAGTCAGGGGTTTTCTCCTTCTCATCGTAATCCCCGGCTTTATCCTTTGTGTTGCCTCTGCAGTTATCGGCATAATGACCTTTCTGGCCGCAAAGATTGCAAGTCTTGGCTTTGGCATCTCTGATCTCGACATCTTCTCGAAGAATACGGAAATGAGGTTCATGTGTAGCAATACCAAGCATTATCAAGTCAGCGTCTAGACCGTACATGACATGTTTCGTGTTAGGGTCATATTCTGGATCAGCACGTTGAGATCGAATGAATTGCATGATCTTGTGTTCTCCCTCCCCCGGAACAGTTGCATCAGAAATGAGGACCTTAAGCTTCTCCCAAGCAGGATCGGTATTGAGCTTCCACTGCACCCAGTACCGTATTGAGATAGCAAGAATGACCATGAAGGGTGTACCCGGTGTAATGACATTAGAATCCCAGGTCTTTTTTACAACGTCCTCCAGCGCAGTTTCCGGGTCTCCTCTGCTATGCTGCTGGCTTCTGAGAAGCGTTTGAAACTCCGCCTTTTTCTCGTCGGCTTCCTTAGCATCTCTTGCAGACCGAAAACGACGCGCCCGTTGTTGGTTCATTTTTGCACGAGGAGCAACACCATCTGTTACCACGTCAGTTAAATTAATAATGTCCAGAGAGGAAAGGCAACGAAATGAGAAGCAGTGTCCGCAGACAATTAAGCCATCGAGGGACAACTTAGCCGTCCAAAGGCATATTCATTTCGCGCTTACTGCAACACCGACGTACCAATCGCTATTAACAGGAGTTTCCTAGGTCGCACCATGTTGACGACTCGTTCTGTATACTTGAAAATCTCCATCATCATTTCACTTTCTGTGGCAGGAGGCGGCTTGTTCTCTGGGTGAGAACAAGGATGAACAATGCCATTGAAGTCAAGGTAAAGGTTGTCAAACTCTTCGCCATTGGGATTTGACCGCGTTGTATCCACCGGATATTGCTGGCCATCCACTTCGTAAGGTTGCTCTTCAATCACAGGCGTGATGATCTTGGGGTACTTTTTGTGAAGCCACCGAAAGAGCGCTGGGACACCCATGGCGCCGTCAAAAGATTTCTTTGAGTGTTGAGGGAAGACTGAGTCGTGAAGAGCGGAGAGCTCCTTATGCGACCGGGTAAAGAGACAACCTGGATGCTTTGATCTCTAAGGAGAGGTCGGAGCCGCCGCAGTCGAGTAATCCTTACGACTTTAGTACATAAACAGGAGACTCGAGACCCGAAGTATCCGGTCCGCACTCGCCGATTTCAGCTCCTGAGGAAGTAGCAGTCAGTAAGGAACGAACATCCAGAAATTGTAGTTAATTAGTATGCAAACGTTTGTGGTGAAAAATGAAGGTGCTTGTACAGACAGCGGGTGGTTGACAAAGGTTTCGCGGAGCTTGCAGTCTGCGTGCAGCACATTTGACTATCGACTATCGACTTTCGACTTTCGACCTTTGACCTTCCAGCCCACTTGCAATAAGGACCAAAGTTACAATCCATGAACTTAGGAGCCTTCTCATACAGGCTGAATGGCCTGGAAGTAATTCACATGACTATCAGTTGCGCAACTCGAATGCCATCACCATCAGTCTAACAGCCACAGCCTCCGATGCTTTCTCTGCCATGATCATGTGTTTTCAGGAGATTCTACCATGCTACGAATCCTCGAATCTCAAGCTCCAGTGAAGCAGACAGCCACAGATACGATAAGTATCTTGAGCGGTCGGCTACAGAGTGCCACCCTTCTAGAGGATCGTCGAGCTGCAATACTAGGACTACGAAGCTTTGCGAAGCTCTACCCAGCATCAGTCGCATCCGGAGCCCTGCGGGATCTCATTGCTTGCCTGAGAAGAGATGGGGATGATCTGGACACCATCAAGGTCGTTCTGGAAACCTTGTTGATACTTTTTAATCCGGATGAGAAGAGTCCAGAAGCTTCAGATGAGATAGCCTTATGGCTTGCAGATGAATTTACCCAACGTCAAGACAATATTACAGCCCTTTTGGACTTGCTCGAGTCGAAAGACTTCTACCCGAGACTCTACTCCCTACAGTTGATATCCCGGATTGCGACAGCAAGACCAGAGAGGACACAGGAGAGTATCTCTACGGCGCCTTTGGGGGTGTCCCGCCTAGTAGCAGTTCTAGACGATAAAAGGGAAGCAGCTCGAAACGAAGCTTTGCTATTGCTAGTAGCCCTGACGCCATCTTCTGCCGAGCTACAAAAGGTTGTTGCTTTCGAGAATGCGTTTGATCGGATCTTTGCTCTTATCGACGCTGAGGGCTCTTTGACCCATGGCTCTATGACAGTTCAAGACTGCTTGACTCTACTTGCCAATCTCTTGAAGTTGAATGTCTCCAACCAATCCTACTTCAGAGAAATCGGCTGTGTATCAAAACTTGCCCGTCTTCTTGCTGGGGTTGCTGAAGAAGAAGAAGAATCAAAAGATGGTGTATCTGACTGGGCCAAGCCACAGAGAGACATGAATGTCTGGGGCCTGTTAGCGATTGTGCAGCTTCTCCTGATTCATGGTGCTCAAGGTACGCCGTTAAATCAAGACGCGTGCTGGAAGAGCAGTATAGTGCTGCAGGTTCTTCATCTTTCTTTCAGCTCGACATTTGGGGTCGGCATACGCGCCAAAGCTTTATCAACCTGCGCCGATTTGATCCGTGGCAATGCCACATTGCAAGAGAAGTTTGGAGATCTCAATGTGCCCAAAGGCCATCCCGAAGCATTTACAGAATCCAACAACCAGCCACTTCCTAATGGTCATCCAACCACGAATGTAATCGAAGCTCTCCTCGAGTTGACCCTGGAGCCCGCCCCAATCAGCCTGTTCGACGTTCGCCTAGCAGCCTGTGAATGCGTAAAGGCATTCTTCACAGGTCACAAAGGCATTCAAGCTCATGTACTACGTAGGGCGATTGAAGGCCACAAGAGTGGCGAGGATGAGATTCCAAACATTCTGACAGTCTTGATCAGTCCCAATGACTCAAGAGCAACATCTGATCCATATCAACCATGGATGGCTTCGGTGTTAATGTTCCATTTGTTGTATGAAGACTCGGACGCAAAGGCCATTGCTTTAGCCGTCTCTGAGGGCAACGCAGACAAAGGCGAAGAGGTTATAAGTTTTGTACAGAGCATTGCCAGCAAGCTGATTGCAGGATATCAGCAACAAGAGGATGAGCGAATATTGGTCGGGTATCTAATGCTTCTTTGTGGGTGGCTATTTGAAGATCCTGATTCAGTGAACGACTTCCTCGGCGAAGGTTCTTGTGTATCCACTTTGATTCAAGCTGCGAGAGTGAGCAGTCAGAGTATGCCTCTTGCTGCTGGCTTGGGTATCTTCTTACTTGGCATCATCTACGAATTTTCGACCAAAGACTCTCCCATTCCAAGAAGTAAGCTGCACAACTTACTCGTATCTGCTCTTGGTCGAGAAGTGTACATTGACAGGCTCACAAAGCTTCGCGAGAATCCTATCTTGCGGGATTTCGAGGTGCTTCCACAATGTGCCAGGACTGGCTCAGAAAGTGGCCTTCCGGATGTGTTCCTGGATAAAACTTTTGTGGAATTCGTGAAGGATCAATTCAGTCGCATATTACGTGCAGTTGATCGTGATCCAGCTTTCGAAGTCTCTGTGGTAAGTAATGGTGTTCAGAAGGGTATTTCAAGGGAGTTAGTGGACAGCCTAAAAGCGCAAGTGGACGAGAAGACTAACACGCTTCAAAACCTCGAGTCAGAAATGGTGCTCTTGAACCGTAGAATAGAACAAGAGGAGCTGGACCACCGTCGCACGAAGGACTCGTCCGCTGTCGAGCTAGCAAGAATCAAGCAGATCAATGACAGTCTCCACAAGAACCACGAAGAAGAATTGAAAGTTGTCCATGACGGATTTGCACGTCAGCGAGACGAACTGATCAGACAGTACGAAACGCAACTACAGAATCTGGACGCACGATTGCAGCAATCAATTGCTGAGAACGAAGAAAAGGCTAACAAGATTCGTGAGAGAAACGAAGCTGAGATTGGTGACTTAAGAATTACAGTGCAGCGCTTAGAAGCTCAGCTTGAGAAGGCGAGTAGAGACCATGTGCAAGATCTTCAGACAGCCAACGAGGAGTACGTCAGCAAGGCAGAGACTTTAGAAAACCGGGCGAAGCGTGCTGAAGAGAAAGTTGAGGAGCTCGAAGACATGATCAAAACCATCAGAACTGCTCTTGAAGGAGCAAGGTCGGAGCGGGACAGTCTCAAGATTCGGGTTGACGAGAAGGAAACAGCTCGAAAAGAAGTGCAGACTGAGCTTGATGACCTGTTGATTGTTTTTGCCGACCTCGAGACCAAACGAGCACAAGACAAAAAGCGTCTGAAAGCACTAGGTGAGCCTGTCTCGGAAGGGGAGGATTCTGAAGAAGTGGAAGATGATGCCGACGATGAAGACAGGCCTGAACCTGACTGAGCATCTTGCAGCACAAAAGATACCCTGTACAATGAATGATAACATTTCTGAGAAGTTGAGAATAAAAGTACATATTCAGTTGGCTGTCAACAATTGATTTTCTTGGCAAATGTAGGAAGTAAACGTTGTCGCTCAGACTGGAAATACAGATAGATAGAGCTCATACTGCTGAGCGAAGGGCTGACAGCAGTGTGGGAGGCGGCTACCGAGAGATATTCTCTCGACATTGTGCTGAGCGGGATATTCTGAGTCACCCTTGTGGAGAAAGGTTGTGCGGAGTCATTTTTGCTTTTCAACTTTGTCCGCAAGAACCTTCTCGCTCAGGAAGTTCTGTAAACCAACCAACACAATGTCCGTCGACTTTTCCAAGGAGGAGAAGGGCGTTTTGACACGATGGAGGGAGATCAAGGCGTTCGAGCGCCAGGTTGAACTCTCTCGAGGACGCAAACCTTACACTTTCTACGATGGCCCGCCATTCGCTACCGGTCTGCCCCATTATGGTCACTTGCTGGCTTCTACGATTAAAGATATTATTCCGCGATATTGGTCGATGAAAGGGCATCATGTCGAGAGGAGGTTCGGATGGGATACGCATGGACTACCCATCGAGTATGAGATTGACAAGGCGCATGGAACAACAGCTGCGGATTTTGTCAAGGCGAACGGCGTCGAGAAGTACAATGCTGAGTGCCGTGCTATTGTCATGCGGTATGCTTCCGAGTGGAGGGAGTTTATCGATCGGCTGGGCAGGTGGATCGACTTTGACAATGACTACAAGACCATGGACGCAAGCTTTATGGAATCAGTATGGTGGGTGTTTAAGCGATTGTTCGACAAGGGCGTTGTATACCGTGGTTATCGAGTAATGCCATACTCGACAGCATTAAACACACCCTTGAGCAATTTCGAAGCACAGCAAAACTATAAAGACACGCAGGATCCCGCTGTTGTTGTCTCTTTTCCTCTCCTCAACGATCCTCAGACAAATCTTCTGGCATGGACAACGACACCATGGACCTTGCCCTCACATACTGGTCTAGCAGCGCACCCGGACTTTGAATACATCAAAATTCTGGATGAGGCATCTGGAAAGAATTATGTCCTTTTAGAGTCTTTACTTCGCACATTATACAAGGATCCGAAGAAAGCAAAATTCAAAATCCTGGAACGTTTCTCAGGAAAAGAGATGAAAGGTTGGAGATACGAGCCTCTGTTTGACTATTTCTACGAGGAGTTCAAGGACTATGGCTTCCGCGTTTTGAACGCGAATTATGTGACCGCGGAAGATGGCGTAGGCATTGTCCACCAAGCGCCAGCCTTTGGAGAAGAAGATTACAAGGTCGCTTTTGAGGCTGGTGTCATTAGTGCCGACCGATTGCCCCCAAACCCGGTGGATGAAAAGGGATGCTTCACGTCTGAAGTAAGGGATTTTGCTGGGCAACATGTCAAGGCTGCAGATAAATCCATCATCAAATATCTCAAAAACAAGGGACGTCTCATTGTCGACAGTCAGATAACTCACAGCTATCCTTTTTGCTGGAGGTCAGATACACCACTCATCTATCGGGCGGTGCCATCATGGTTTGTGAAAATCCCAGATATCATCTCGACAATGCTCGAAAGCATCGGAAAGTCTCACTGGGTTCCATCGTTCGTGAAGGAAAAACGGTTCGCCAACTGGATCGCCAATGCTAGGGATTGGAACATCTCTCGGAACCGCTTCTGGGGAACTCCTATCCCTCTGTGGGCAAGTGAGGACATGTCGGAAATTGTTGCCGTGGGCAGTGTAGAAGAGCTGAAGAACTTGAGTGGTTACCAAGGAGAGCTTACGGACCTTCACCGGGATAAGGTCGACCACATCACAATTCCCAGCCAAAAGGGCAAAGGAGCCCTTCACCGAATCCCGGAGGTCTTTGATTGTTGGTTTGAATCTGGCAGTATGCCTTACGCCTCATCACATTATCCCTTCGAGAATAAGGAGTATTTCGAATCGACTTTCCCAGGAGACTTCATTGCAGAGGGAATCGATCAAACTCGAGGATGGTTCTACACATTGGTGGTTCTAGGGACACACCTCTACGGCCACATTCCGTTCAAGAATTGTGTTGTGAATGGGATTGTGCTAGCAGAAGATGGAAAGAAGATGTCTAAGCGACTCAAGAATTATCCTGATCCTTCACTGGTCATCGATAGATATGGTGCTGATGCTCTGCGCCTTTATCTCATCAACTCGCCGGTAGTACGAGCAGAGGCCCTCAAATTCAAAGAAAGTGGAGTGAAGGAGATTGTTTCCAAGGTTCTTCTTCCTCTCTGGAATAGCTACAAATTCTTCGAAGGGCAAGTTGCACTGCTGAAGAAGATCGAGAACATTGAATACACCTTCGACCCAGAGGCCGAGAGCAAGAACACCAATGTGATGGATCGATGGATTTTGGCAAGCTGTCAAAGTCTGCTAGAATATGTAAATGAGGAAATGGCCGCTTACCGACTCTACACTGTTGTGCCCAGACTGCTTGAACTCATCGACAATACCACCAATTGGTACATTCGCTTCAACAGAAAACGATTAAAGGGAGCGCTTGGAGTCGAAGATACCCAGCATGCACTTAATACACTTTTCGAAGTCCTCTACACTCTTGTCAGAGGTCTTGCCCCATTTACACCATTCATCACCGACCTGATCTACCTCAAACTTCTCCCTCACATTCCCACTTCATTACATTCGGAGGATATGAGAAGTGTTCATTTTCTTCCATTCCCTGAAGTGCGACGCGAACTATATGATGAGGTGGTCGAACGACGTGTAGGAAGAATGCAAAGAGTCATTGAGCTCGCGCGCGTCTCGAGGGAAAGAAGAACGATAGGGTTGAAGACACCCTTGAAAACGTTGGTTGTCATTCATACTGACAAGCAATACTTGGACGATGTGCAGTCACTGGAGGGCTACATCACCGAAGAACTAAACATCCGAGATCTGGTGCTCAGCTCTGATGAGAGCAAATATCATGTGCAATACAGCGTTTCGGCTGACTGGCCCACCCTTGGCAAGAAATTCAAGAAGGATGCGCAAAAGATCAAGAAAGCGTTGCCATCACTAACTAGTGACGACGTAAAGAGGTTTGTGGCAGAGAAGAAAATCCAACTTGGTGGCATTGAGCTTTCAGAAGAGGACTTGATAGTCAAGAGAGGGTTTGAGGAGGATGACAGCGCAAGGAACCTTGAGGCAAACACAGACAATGATGTTCTTACAATTCTTGACGCCGAATTGCATGCAGGGTTGGCTGACGAAGGCGTTGCGCGGGAGATCATTAATCGAGTCCAACGTCTGCGTAAGAAGGCAGGACTCGTTCCAACCGATGATGTGAAGATGGAATACTACGTGCAGAGCGATCCAGAAAACGTTGGTCTGGAGAATGTGTTTGAGACCCAATCAAAGATCATTGAAAAGGCTTTGCGAAGACCAATGGACAGACATACTATCACCGAAGTGGAGGGCAAGATACCCAATGGAGTTGAGGAGTCTGTCATCGCCGAAGAGGAGCAGGAGATCCAAAAAGCGACATTCTTACTTAGACTTGTTAAGATCTAGGCAGAAAGAGTCATACGTTGCCTTAGAGCATAGACCGCATGATTCCTAGCACGCATAAAGATCCCCAAAAAATGCCTATGATTTCTTTGCAGCTTTCTGTCTAGTACATTAGGTTATCCATTATGCTTGAGAGCAGGCAGCTTACCAAGTAACAGTCCTTCAATTTTGCAAACTCCTTGGCACACATGTCTTGATGGACAGATTGATAGTCAGCAACAATGCATTTGCCGTATGCTGCGGCCTGTCTTGTGTCAATTGTACGATCTCGATGTTGTGTTTAAAGAATTGCCAACCTCCACGGAGCATTTGCCCACAGCTTCTGCAAATTTCTCGATGGGCCGCACTCGACCAGACATTGTGGGCATTGTTGACAGATAAAGACTGATTTAGGTTCCCAGATGGTGAGGATTCTGGAGGTAGTTAGTTAAATGTCCGCCACCAAAAGTTGTAACCAATAATACATAACGAGTGTATCAACTAGGTTATGTTTTAGTAGCCGCTTACAATACCATACACCCTCGTACACGCGACTTCCCATTCTGGACGCGACACACCAATTCCAGTTGTTTATTTCGAAATATAATTCTTGCAAAGCTCAACGCTTACATTGCTACAAAAATATTCTTCTTCTGTCATATGGGATAGCTGTCATTGCAGATTCGATAAATCTGCGATTCTCTGGTCGCGATGATCCAGTTTGCGCCCCGCCTGGATGCCTCGAAAAAGACGCCGTAGTCTGCACGCCGTTCGATGCCTCCATCTCCCTCGGCTTCTGATCATGGAAAAGAGCTTACGAATTTGTCAGACCAGGGTATGTTAAGCAAGACTTAAGTTGATGTGCTAGGACTGAAATGAGAACAGATGTCGAGCTCCTCCACCAGATCGTCTTGCGAGCTCAACAAAGACACGACGTGCAGAAGCGGCCAAAAAGAGCTCTTTTCGAAGCCTATGAGAAGGTCTTTGCGGAGAACGGACTTGACACGAGGCAAGACCGCGCCTGTTTGCGCATTGTGTTGCAGTTGGGCGAACCTCAGATTCCTGGCGATCTGCTCTACGACAAATTTGAATACGTTTTGCGACAGATTGGCGTACAGTTGGCCTTTGGAGACGATGACCTACCGGCTCACAACGACTACGAGGGTACGGCGAGAGCGAAACCGACCGACGAAACAATCGAGAACAGATCCCTTCTACATACTTCTCCCAGACGGCCAACAAGACGTGCTTCCTTCACGTCCATGCACGATATTACGAGCCAACAGATACGACAGCCCAAACCACGTCAACTATCTCGAGCGTCCGAGTCTCGGCTGCAGGATGAACGAGCGCCACTTGCTATACAGCAACAGAATATCGCATCCCTTCAAATGCTTCACGAAGCGCAGCCGAGCAAGCAGCGCCGTTACTCCCACAGCAGCACGAGTCCGAAAAGGCATGGGGTGAAAGATGCCTATAAGAGGGGCCTACATGTCCCAAAAGACCAATTATCTAGAGATGGAAGACCTGAGGCACACCTCGAAGGACAAGTGTTGCAGCGATACAGCCAGGATGAGGTTCCCACCGACAGTGAACTTGAGGGCTCGCCTTCGAAGCTTTACCCCAAGGAGGCGTTCTACCAGCCCTCTATGGATCTGGATCGTCATGCCGAGGTTTTTTTAGATGTGAGACTTCGGAATCTGCAGAGAAACTTACTCCATCGATGGATTCGCTACGCTAGAGAAAGGTCGGAACATATCCGCGCTATAGAGCTGCAAGCAGTGACCAAGGATTTCCTGACTTTGAAGCGTCAGGCCCTTGACTTCTGGCGCGCTGCTCATGAGCAAAAGCGTCAGCGAGACCGGGAGGAGCGCTTTTTTGAGCGGTTGCATAACCGAGCAGGTCAGGCATATGACCTCTACCTGCTCACCAAATCTTTTACACACTGGATACAGATAACGGCTGCTGCTGTGGCAAAAACAAATGCGGCTCGTCGAAAATTCCTTTTCACCAAGTATTTCAACGCATGGTACGAATTCACGGTCACAAACGAACTCAAGGCTGAACGTCACGGCCTCAAAGCACCATTAAACCTAATCAGGAAGCGAGCCGCTCAGTACTACCGTGACCAAATACACGCCTTGGAAGTGTATCATGCGAACCTCACAAAATACGTTTTTTGGCGTTGGTTCCGAGAGTGGTGCGAACGAGCCGCCCCACGATATAGAGAGCAACAACTTCAGCGACGTACATTTAACAAGTGGTTATGGGCCTACAGGGAGAACCGAGCACGGCAATTTGGGGCAGACACAGGATTCGTACGACGTTCCCTCCAAAATGTCTTCCGAACTTGGGCCACTAAGGCAAGAATTGATGTTGCTGGATACCATCAAGCCGACTCTTTCCGCAAGTCACGCCTGCTAGGAACGCCTTTAACGCACTGGCACGCCGAAGCAAGATTGAGACCCGTCGCGAACATGGTACTGCGCATGAGGGATTGGAGGATAGCGCGGTCGCAATTCAGCATTTGGCAGCTTCGAACACGTATGGTCTTTCGCGCAGATGCAGTCAATAGGATGAGGACCTTGCAGAATGCTTACTCAGCTTGGAACGAGCTTCTACGATCTCAGACATTAGCTGCTCGAGTGAATGAGCGAATTGTAGCAGAGGCGCTGTACAAATGGGTGATAGCTCAAAGGTATGCTCTGATGATCAGGATCACCCAACGACGCCAGAAGAGAAATACGCTACAGTTCTTCCACACTGGGACTCGAGAGAAATGGCAAATCCTCCTTCGCCAAGAAGCAAAAGTCGTTGATGCCAGAAAGCAGCACGTGATGGAATTGACTCTTAGCCGTTGGAAGAACCGAATGACGGTGGTTCGAGCATACGCACGGATGGCATTGGATTTCTATGACCCAAAACTAAAGCAGGACACCATCGAAGCTATACGCCTACAGCTCCTAGCGAAACAAAAGTTGGAGACATGGGCTAAAAACGCCCGCTTCTATTTCTTGATGACAAGGTATCTCGCGGTGTTGCGAGCTGCGTCAGCAGAAAGGAAGAAAGCTCGTGAAAGGGCCGCCCATGCCAGAATGAGGAGAAAATGTAAGATGAATCTTGCTAGAGGCGTGCTTTACCTGTGGTCTCACAAATGCAGCGAGAATGCTGGTATGTCCAAGAAAGGTGAAGAGGTCTACAACCGCAAGATGAAGTTCCTACAAAATCGACTTCTTGACGTGTGGCAAAAAACAGCTTTGCAGCGAAAAGCAGAGGATATCGAAACGTCGACTCGTTACGAACGTCGACTTCTGGATCGTTCTCTGGGAATGCTGGTTGACACCTCGAGACATCTGTACAGCTTGCAAAGTCGTGCCGACCAGTTCTATCATCTCAAAATGTCTGAAATGTGTTCAGCCCAGCTCAGAAGGTTCAGCATGAGGGCATTCGAGATGAGGCGTCGAGAACAAGATGCAGATGCCATGCATGACCGGCATTGGAACAAGCATCTTCGAAACATACTGCGCCACTGGGTCAGTAGAACGCAAAGTTCGGTCTACCAAGGCATGATCAGCGATGCGCCTACTGAAAGGCGTCAAGAAAAGGAGCCTACAGACGCTGGCTACGCGACCGCCAGCAATGAAGACCAGCCACAAAGTGCAAACGAGAATGATCTTGGTGCTACACGAAAGGCGGAGGAATGGACGGCATTTGAAGCGGATCTACTCGAAGGCAGCGACTGGGTCCCATCCTTTGATAATGAGCCATTAGCCACCTCGACACCAATGCCAGCGCCAGGATACCTGAATACGCCTTCAAAGCGGGCTGCAAGGGCAAAAGCTCTGGCGAATCTTTCCACGACACCTGTGACGCCCTTCAGACCGCCGTTTGCGGCAAGATTAAGGGCTGGAAATGGAAACTCCCCTGGTCAGGGGCGGGCCACAACAGCCAGAAGAGGTGGACTGGAATTCAAAAGCGCTCGTGGATCGAATGTGCAGAATGCAGAGGAAGATGATTGAATGAAGTTTCTGATGAAGTAATGACTGATGGAGATGTTTGGAATTTTGTTCTGGTCAAAGTGATGCCCTATCGTCGTGGCTGCTTGGGTTAAGCGTTCATGGTATTGGATAACAAATCCATGGGTAGTCTCTGTCAGCCTAGTCTTCAGAGCTGGCATGATCTGCGGATATCTTGCACTTTCTGTGATGTACGTACCTTGCTAGTCCTTCATGGATCTTGAACAGTATGTAATGATAAGATTGCGTGAGGACTGACGGTTCCGGAGATCGCTCCGGTCCTCTGGTCCTCTGGTCCTCCATAAGGCTCGTTTCCAGGATCCCTTGACTCGCAGCTCTGTGCTAGATCTGCAGACCACCACGAACCGCATGTGATGAGCAATACATCATCATCTCACCACCATCCTGAATACTCATCAGAGACTATTCTGACACCGAATCATTCTATACACCGCAATTTCCTTCATTCAAGTCAAGCGTGGATTGAATAATGAAGTCTTTGCACTTGCACCAACCCTAAAGTCGCGCCTATGCGAGCCGTTCTACCTGGGAAACCACCAGCGAAGCCCCAAGCTCTATGCACAGCTCACTGGGATGGTCTTCGAGTCATTGTCAGTATCACAGTCTCTTTTTAGCATTTCCATCCTGACACAGCTTGTCACATAGACATATATCAGCGGCAGGGCTCTTATCATTCTAGGCGATGCGCAGAAGATTCTCCAGACCATTTACATTGACGATGCGGCATCTCTCGAGGCGGTGACAATAGACGAAAGGTCAGGCAAGATTGCTGTCTGTGACAACATCCATATCTTTATCTACAGGCCCGTGGGCAAAGAGGAGGGTGTGCTCAGAGTTTGTCAATTATCTTGGGGGGCTCTCCGCAGGAGCTGACACACACCAGTGGTCCCAGCAATCCGAGTCCCAAGGTGAAGAGCGCCAAATTTCAGCTTTATCATGGGGCTCTCCAGATGAGCTCCTGGTTGGCGGTTCGATTTTGACACTCTGGCATTTCCCTGATCGCGAAAAACCATTCTCGCCGTGGACCCAGAAATTGGCCAATCCAATCCAGCATGTGCAATTCTCTCCAGATGCTAGCCTTATTGCATCTATCGGATATCATGATAGGCTAGTGAAGATATGGAGGAGACGAGCATTTGGGTCGGACGATACGCGATTTGACGTATCATACCTACGGCATCCCAGCACCGTTACTGACATACATTGGCGCAAACCCTGGCACGTCGAGCAGAACGTTGAAGACCTACTATATACCTTTTGTTCGGACAACAAGATCCGAGTATGGACCGCCACGGACAACCATGCGCTGTCCGTGCTCCAGCAATGGGGAGAAATAGATATGAATATATCGATTCAGCCACGTCAAGGTTCGTTGATGGCCCTTACTGACAGACGCTATGCCTTCGTGATCGACAGTCGGGACTTTTCTGCGGCTGCTGAACGTGCTGTGCAGAGTTCTCACGCTGAAACTCACGAAAACCATGCTCTCGAGCACTTGATTGAGATCGCTAATCGAAGTCCAGAGATCTGTGTCGTGCTCGATGGGCACGGTCGGATGTCAGCTTGGGGCCTAGAAAATGCTGGTAGCAAGAATCACCGACCAGCTAATGTGTTCAACATCGCTCATGTGGAGGGCTTGAATATCTCCTTCGGGCAACAGAGCAACTCTGACGAAGACTATGCACGATTTTATACATTTGCTGGGACCACATCAGATACATCTTTGACTGTCCTGGTACACTACTATGACGGGAGAATCAACTGGTTCGATACGCAGGTTACGGAGCTCTTTGATCCTTCTCAGCGACAATACCGGGTCCGTTTCAAAGCGACCTGGTCTGGACATGATGGACCGGTGAAAAAGATTATCCGTAGTCTCAGTGGTACCACCATCATGTCCCGCACGGATGAGAATCACGCAGTTGTGTGGAAGCAGACAATTTCAAAACTTGGCCCTCGGCTGATCCGCCAGAGCTCTTTACTATCAGATGAGCACATCCACCGAAGCTGTGTGCTCGACAATGGAAAGTTGCTAGTCAACCTCCATCATGATGCGATATCATTATGGGACACACAAAGCTATTCCGCGAAGAGGCTCATGATGTGTCACTTCTCTGTCTCCAGCAAGCCTTTGTGTGTCTTGCAGATACCCACACCGGCTGGCACATCGTCAGGCATATACGTTGCTACGATTTGCGCTGACATGAAGGGCATAGTCTGGAAGCTGGTCCCACAAGTCAAAGGCGTGCCAGGCGCCGACCGAGCCAATGGAGATAGCTCTGTTATGGAGGAATTCTGCGACTTTGCCGTCGACCTTCCCGAGCCTCTATCCTACGTCTTGCCAGTGGACCCCGCAGGCTCTCTCGCTACCGCTTCGGATTTCCTGGACATATTTGCCACCGACATCGCCCTAGCGTATTCTGTTTCAGGAACGCTGAGAATGATGACTGCTCGCATTGATGAGAGAGGTCGACGCATTGACTGGCTCATGACTTCAACAGTAGAGACTGGGATTCCTCATATTTCGCTTGCCAGTGGTAGCTCGATCAGAAAAGCTGCCGTCATTGACCAATCACGTACCAGGTTAACGATCTGGGACACCACCGGTTCGCAATTGGAATACGACCAACGCTTTTCGGAGACGGATGTTATTCAAGATCTCGATTGGACTTCGACCCCTGATAACCAATCAGTATTGGCTGTTGGCTTTCCTCATCGAGTGATTCTCCTGTCCCAGCTTCGGTATGACTATCTTGATGCCAAACCTGCATGGGCAGCAATACATGAAGTCCTTATCCGCGGCCTTACGCCACATCCCATTGGCGATTCTTGCTGGCTTGGAGGTGGTAATCTGGCTGTTGGTGCAGGCAACCAGATACTTCTTTTTGATCGGGACGTCGAAATCAGTGATCAATTTGTCTCCGAATTCAGACTTCCTCGGAGGCAGTCGGCTACCCTAGACTTGTTTCAGGTTGTTCGACGACTGAACGGGCCACTACCTGTGTTTCATCCCCAGTTTCTTGGTCAATGTATTCTTGGTGGGAAAACTGCTCTCGTGCACAAAATAATGACCACCTTGTTGCACAAGCTGAAATTCGAGCGGGACGAGATCGATAGCTTCCTGGATTTGCCACTGCAGATCCTTTCGGAGGAAGACCAATTCATGGCTGGCGGTGCTTCCAAGGAGATGCATTCCTCCTTTGCTGACTTCTCGATTGAGGAAGACCCCCAAGTTGTTGACGAGAATGTTGCTGCATCTTTAACAGAGAATCTAGTCAAAGTCACTCTGCCGCAGATTTCCCACCATGAACAATTTTACTTGGCCGATATTGTCGAATGTGTTGCAGCTGTGGAGAAACATCGAAGATCGATGGACGAGAATGCTGCTAGATTCCTCTTGTTCTTCCGCCAACATATGCTGCGAAGAGGTCGTTCGCCGGATGCCTTACTCGGCGTCTCCTGGCGCGAGATCACATGGGCCTTTTATAGCGGTAGTCAGGATATCTTGATTGATCTCGTTTCTCGTTCCTTCCACGGAAAGATGCTGTGGGAGCATGCCCGAGAAAGTGGTATGTTCATGTGGATCACGGACAGCACTGCTCTAAGGGCTCAGTTGGAGGTCATCGCACGAAACGAATACACTAAGACATACGAGAAATCACCCGTAAACTGCAGTCTGTACTATCTAGCATTAGGCAAGAAGGCAGTATTACAAGGCTTGTGGAGAATGGCGTCGTGGAATCGTGAGCAGGCCTCTACCGTGAGGTTATTGGCCAACAACTTCAATGAACCTCGATGGAAGACGGCCGCATTAAAGAATGCGTACGCTCTGCTTGGAAAGCATCGCTTCGAATACGCAGCTGCATTCTTCTTGCTTGCTGGTGCTCTGCAGGACGCGGTCAATGTCTGTGTGCATCAGTTGGACGACATACAGCTTGCTGTGACCATCGCCCGCGTCTATGAAGGTGAAGATGGCCCTGTTCTGCAAGAGTTGATTGAGGACAGAATTTTACCGCATGCAGCTGAGAGCGGCAATAGATGGATGGCCACGTGGGCTTTCTGGATGTTGAAGAAACGCGACAGAGCTGTGAGGGCACTTATCTCGCCAATACATAGTTTACTCGACGGTTCGCCGTCATCGCCAGACTCACCTGATCACAACATACCACTTCGGGCCAAAAGCTACCTGTCCAATGACCCAGCCCTGGTTGTACTTTACCGACAGCTTCGAGAAAAGACTGTTTTAACCTTGAGGGGAGCGACAATGATACGACCTCGCGAGGAGTGGGACTTCATCCTCCGCAATGCTCGTCTGTACTCACGCATGGGTTGTGATCTGCTGGCCCTGGACCTGGTGCGCAACTGGGAATTTCTACGGGCCGCACCTACGCCAGTGAAGAGACTAAGCATGGCTTCATCTAGGACCAATGATCCTCGGCAGCTCTTGCGACGCAGGAGTAGTCTGGTGGTTGATGATCTGCCTCAATTGACCAGTCCGCGATCGACTGTTCCACCCAGTCCAGAAATCAAAGAAGACACGTTCGGCAAGGCTACAACTGGGGCGAAGAAGCCGCCTCCCACTGTGTTCGAAGAGCCGGACGCGAGTTCCTTGCTAGACAATTTTGGCTTCTAATAACGTGTCTTGGTTGATGGGTCTGAGCTAGTAATTAAGGGTGGATTGGTGGTTGCTTTGCTTGTTCCGCATTATACCTTCTCTGCATACCATTGGCGTTCGTGTCTTGCGTGATCTCAAAGGGACTCCGCGACTTCGCTTGTCAATTTTGGTGTGGCAAGTGTGTTGATTGTCCTTGACTTCCGAATACTACACCGTGTTCATTTCCATTTTCAGCTGCCTTCCTGTTATAGAGAAGCTCGGCAAGCGAATTTCTCGAAGCGTAACTTACTAGTTACTGAGTTTAGCGACCACCCATCCCTATTTAGCAATCAGCAGATCTGTTCTGATGCCAAACAATCGCCTGAAAGGCCTTGACAAGAAAGCATACTCGGTGCCGCCAAAAAGTGAGTTCTAGCGCAACGTCAGTTTACCCACATGGTCATAATCTATTTTTGCAACCATGTTGATTGGATACTGGAACTCATTTCTCGGTGGCACCAAGTAAGCGCACTACTCATTCACCACGAGGGTACTACCTAAGATTGCACTTAATTATTTTTCCATGGCAAGCGAAATCACGTTTCCACTTTTCTCGATGTGGTAACCTTGCAGCTGCATGATCTTCCTCAGAGGCCAGATGCTCCATGCTTCTAACCCTGTGGATCTTTTAACGCTGATGTTACACAGCACCAACCAACCCTCCTCGACCTAAACAAGCCTTAACTAACCAAGGCCTGGTCCACTTGTCCCCCGAATTCGGGTCAAAGGTGGCTTTCGTTTCTCTCAAATTTGATCAGGATAGGTTGACTAGGATGCGTCTCCGATCAAATGTTATCCCGAACCAATGGTACCAGCTGGCTAGATTCAGTTTAATGCAACGCCATGTTAGCTGACAGCAGGATAAGGATTCTATGGGTCGAGGCACTTTCACTCCCAGTGAAACCCCCAAATCCAAACCAAAGCCACATTCCCACATCTAATATGGTTCGAACAGCAGTAAGTTAGTGGTTCAAGCTCTTTCCTTGTCTTCCCAAACGGCTCCTTCAGCGACAGTTCCATGCATGATAGCTCAAATACTTGCAACTCACCTACGTGTATCTCCCCTACTTTTTATTGCTTTCTGAACTCTATCGTCAACACTAACCTCCTCTATCGCTTTGTCACTGCGCTGTCTCTACCTCAAGCTCGTCGCTTGATGTTATATCTACTTTCTCTTGATCGCAGGAAACAAGGCACGATTTCTATCGCGCCTGATTGACAGGCTGGACCCATCGATCGAACAAAACAGAACCGATAGCACTTGCATCGTCTCCGCTCACCATACACATCTAAGGCAATGGACATCAGATCACCATTCACTATATCAGAAGAGGATATCACGAGATTAGAGCAAAACGAAGGCTTCAGAATAGTCCGCACCCATCTCTTGAACCAGGAGAACGCCACGTATGCTTGCACGCCTCCGATCACCTACCCCTACACAAAAGCTAACCAACACTCAGCTTCTGCCTCTCTCACACTCCTCTTCCCACTTCCACCAAACACACATTTACTCTCCACCGCGACATAGTCCACTCCCTCCTCCTCCCCCTTCTCCAAATCCGCTCCCGCGCCGCCCTTTCTGCTGCCCGCATAATCTCCCACCAACTCCAAACCCGCCAACCCAGATCCCCAAGCTCCACATCCGCTTCCCCACGATCAATCGTCCGGCGCCTTCTCCTGGCTGCAATGCTTCATTACAGAGGAAAAAGATTGGTGTAGCATGAAGGGCTGTCCGGCCTGCGTGGTCCTCAAAGTCCTACATTCGGAGCCGTTCATTCGGATCGTGGTTGCGAGTTGTCGGCTCAGCAAGTACCTACGGGATATGCTAGAAAGAAATGGCGGTGAGCAACAACAAGACGAGAATAGCTGCGACACAAACAAGAAGGCGATGACGACGGGTGTGGAGGCATCAACAGCAGCAACAGCCGCGCTACCAGACTTCAGCTTCTGGCTGAACGCTGTCCATCGCGCGGTCTCGGAGGATGATTTCTGGGGCCTCCATTTTTGGGAGGATATCGAAGCCCGCGCGGAGGATCTGGAGATGGGTGTCAAGGAGTTGATTAGGCAGTGCTGCGGCCTGTCCTCCTTCTCGACTTCGGCGATTGCTGGGACGCCGCAGCAGCAACAACAGCAGCAGCAGCAGCAGCAGGGGTCGTATTATCAGACACGTAGAGCGGTTTCTTCAACACTTCCGGGTAACAAGGAGAGTGCTGGGATGCCTCATACCATTACCCCAAGTCAGACGCAAAGCCTAAAGCAGCAGCAGCTTCCGGCTTCGGGGCTCATAAAGAGCAACACATGTCTAACGAAGCGTCTGCCCGGGGAAGAACAGGCATGGATGCGCAAGGTGATCGAGGCGTGTTGGGTGATGCTTACCAGGGAGGCGATGATGGGCGGCAAGAGGCGCATGGATCCGAGGGGGAGCGCCGAGGCTGCTGTCGGCATGATGAGGCCCGCTGGTGCTGCGTTAAGATGTAGGAGCTTGACTACGTGATCCACTCTGGAACTGCTAGGATGAGACCTTATGGGACGTGATGGGCTGGGTTAGGTTGGGTTGAGATCGGGAGAGCTATAGTACGTCTCGCACTTTCTTCCTTGCGGTCTTGGGGCATAGACATTGCAATTGTTAGACGAACGACTGGACTTAGACTGGGTTTCCAGAGGTGGGGAGAGGGGGGAGTTCGGGGACTTTTCTTTCTGATTCATGCATGGGTCTCTGCTTCCCTGTGCAATAACTTCTCAGTCCGGTCACCTGATACCATACATATATATGAGTGAGCAGGGTATAGATGGTTCGCTGGGACGACATTGGGTCAGGACGTTTGAACGCATAGAGCTTATATCGAGTAGTTCGAGTTTCACGTCAGTGTACATTGCATGACGGTTGTAATATATCATCTGTTTCTACCTGCCTGACTAGGTACATACCTATGGACTCTGATATATAGTTTAAAGTGACAAGATTACCCCCGCCTCGCATCATGCCACTTCCCCCGTAACACGCCACAGCAACCGCGTGTGTATTCAATCACCTAGGACGGGGTCCAAGAGGCAAGGGATTGGATATCTAGAAAACAGGTAAATGGTTGTATGGAACTTCCGGTGCCGGGTGGACGGCAGATATCTCGAAGTAGGGGAATCCGGGCGTCTGCGATGGCTCACCACCTAGCCTTGATGGATATTCAATATTGCCTGTCTGCTGGGTTTCATGAGTTAGAGGAGGAATGTGTAAGTCACTTCTAGAATAGGCCTTTAGAGGTTGGGTAATGGGAGGGAGGGAACCACTGAAGGTGTAGATGAAGTGTATAAGGAGCCAGTTTTCGAGCAACCATTCTGGGTTTGGGCCTCATTCTGCTCTCAGGCATGCGCGGTAACGGCCCGGCTGGTTCGGGAAATAGGCTGGTTTGGGTGATGTGACGAGGACTAGGCAGCGTCGGTGCTCAACAGTGTACTGTTCGTTCCGGGCATGAGGGTAGATACCAGTTGAGCACAATTGACCTTCAGTGTTGTCGATGTGGCTCTTGGTGCAATGACGCTCTAGAGTCTTCCAGGCAGGGGCCAGGTTCGGAAGATGTTGCTTCGCCATATGTGATAGACATGACAGTGACTCGGCTTAGAGTCGGTTTGTGGCACGCACACCCGGACTGAATCATTGCAGTCGCCGTATGTCACAAGTACTGCCCGTTGGCAGATGTATCGCTCGGCGATAAAAAGCGGCTGTCAAGACTCGGTCAAACTAATACTTTCAGCTTGAATAGCCAATAACAACAGCACACTTCCAACCTTCAGCCCATGTCGATTTTCAGCATTACCTCCGCTTTCGGCATATCTCCAGAATTCAGGAGGGTCATAGCTTTAAGCACTCCCCCACCATCCACCATGCCTTCAGCGGAGCAGATCGAAACGAGACCAGTATTAAAGTTCCCTTTATCGGTACAGTCCAGCATGTCACCAACGATGATGCGTTGACATTTACATAGATGTTCGCCCTCGAGCCGTCTTACCTACCTCCACTTTGTATGACCCAACAGACGAGGTCTTTGCCCACCGAATTTTGCTTTTGATACGCCAGTCGTGGAATGTATTCCATTCATTACCAGAGAATGTGCTCATTCGGATCATTGAACAACTCGATTTTCCAGCACGAGCCTGCCTTGCACTCACTTGCAAAGACATTGCTCGAATCACTACTGAACATGGGTTGCTACATACCTCTATGCCAGCGGACGAGGTGACCTATATGATGGATGAATTTTTCATTCTTTGTGACGTCGGTCTTGAAGATCTGAAGTTCTGTACGGAGTGTGGGCTGTACAGGTCTCGGAAAGAAGAATTCTGGCGACACCGGGCACGGACAGACTCTAACAAGATTGGAGGCCGGACCGGATGAAGATGGCGAAAGGCTCTGTCGCGGTGGAATAATGACATCTTGACCCGTTGTTGGCTGAGTAGGGACCCTGCGCTGGTCAGACATGCCGGTTTCAATAGCCGTGTTTGTCCTGAGTGTGTGCTCAATCAGCATAACGCTGGAATGCTTCCAGGGACCACCTAGGGGTAGCAAAAAGTATTTGGGTGGAGAGTGAGCCTTAGTCTTCACATCATAGGTACTGGGGAACTCTGCTGGTACTCTCTGTGGGTTCTATAAAGTGCATTCTTTGATGAAGGGTAGTTGTTGTGGAGTGCTGATGTATCCTTGGTCGTCTCAAACCTTGCCCAAGACATTTTTCAATGGCATTTTATATTGTTGACATGCTCTATAAATAAAATCATTGGCAATAATCGATACCGCAACAGCCACTGGTAGAAAACCAAGTGTGAACACAATCCGTGAAGGAATCTTTTTGATGCCAAGATAGTGCCAAGCCTGAACATGATGCTCTAACTTAGTGTCCACTTGAGGTTGGGTTCATTCTTTCTGTAACTACCTCGTAGCACCATTGAACTTCTGCCATCTCAATATTCCAAGATGACCAGACGAGATCTCTATCGTGTAGTGCGTCTCTGATTCAATCACTCCGCAGAGCGCTAAGTCGAATGAGACGGTGAAAGGCAGAGCGGTGAAAATAAGGAGACGATCTAAACTCGCGAAAAGCAAGCTGCTAGCTAGTAGCAGTCTGGGCTCAACCTACCATTCACATCGCCTGCAACAGAATGATATCTGATACATTCGACATGTCGCGGAAGGTCAATCGCCCTTCTTCGCAAGACGTTGTAGAGGTCAATCGAACGTATCCAAAAGAGCCGGTGCTCTCTGGTCCTAAGACTCAGATGCTACCAGATCTGTCTGCTTCAACACAGGAGATACTTGCACGGGTTCAGGCGGAAAGTGCGGGTAGCATTACCGACGAGGCACCAATTTTGGCAAACGACCTCATGGAATCTACGAAGTCCACAGAAAAGTCCGTTCCGCCAGGGTCACTTGCCAAAAACGCCGCTCAATTTCAACGGCCGAGAATGGCGTCAGGCATATTCGACAAGTCGAAGCTGAAGTCAGCCTTTGCTTCAGCGCTGATACCAAAGCCTAAGACTGGGCCTTCACAGCCATCGAATGACTCTGCTAACCAGCTATCTGCTGTTGCAGGTATATCAACGGGCAAGAGCAGTACTGTACAATCAGAGAAGCCATCGCGGTCAGCTACGGAGCTCTCGAGGGTTGGTGCTTCGTCGATGAAGTCTGACGAATCCACTATCGAGGTCCTACCGTCTTCAGCCAAGTCAGCACAAGGGGACACGAACACTGCTGGGGTATTGTCCAAGCAAAAGCCCAATGTCGAAAAACCGGAAACCCCTAAACCTAAGATGAGGATGAGTCATACCTATGTTCTTCCTAGTGGAGAGATCGTCAATTCTGGGAAAGGACTGGGTCGAGGGCGTCCAGGTATCAAGCGAGGACCAAGGAAGCGGAAATCCATGTCGAGCCAACCTCCGTCTGAAGCGAAACCGATCTCTCGAAAGCGCAAACGCACCTCTGTGGAATCGGATTTAGAGCAAAGGTCACCCTCCCCTTTACACTCCACATCCGATTCCGGTGATGAGATTACACCTCAGGCCACACAGACTCGCTCAGGACGCCATACACAACGTCCACCTGCATTCGTGCCACCAGAAAGTCCGTCTCATAAGAAGCCCCGTCTCAGCGAACCAGCCAGCTCGAATGCTGGTAAGCTTCCTATCAAGCGAAAAGTATACAAGGGTAAGGAGCAAAGCGCCTTATGCGAGCATTGCCTACGAGGTTATGGACCATTGAAGAATGCCATCGTCTTCTGTGATGGATGTAATCGGTGCTGGCACCAGAGATGCCACAGTCCGATGATACCGAGAAAGTTGGTTCTAGATCCGAACAGCGAATGGTTTTGCACCGAGTGCACTGCTATAAAACAGAAGCCGAATAAAGTTGTGCGAGCTCCGAAGACTGAACGTCCGCCTGCGCGTGTAGAGGAGCCGACTCCTACGCCATTGCCTTCAGCAGAAAGTTCCAAGAAGGACTATTTCAATTCGCTCTCCAAGGAACATTTGGTAGACCTCTTGATGCAGGCATCAACCTTGGCTCCACACCTTCCCTTGTGGCAATTTCCTCCTGCACCGTCTCCACCTCAACCCAGCAATGCCCCCACTCCCAATCCTGCTTCTTCTACGAAAGAAGACGCATATCCAACTCCCAAGAATGAGGTCAGCGATCTCGAAGATGACTACGACGAGTACGAAGACGAAATTGCGAAGCTATACCCAAGGCCAGGGAGTGGTGTCCAGCTGCCGCCGGAAAGTGAAGACTTGCATATGCTGCTAGAGGGGCCGGAAAGCAGAACGTTCAGTCACGCGCTACGGGAGGGTATTGTTGGGACTGGATCTGGAAGAGTGGCCTGACTCAGGACAGGCGCTGCTACCGCAATTCATGGGGCAAGAAATGGAGAAAGGTAATAGTGGTGAGGAGCGAGCGCCAGCTTTCAAGCGAATGGATTTCAGAGTTGAGTGTTCTCTGGTGCTGGTATACTTATGCCGTTACTTTGGATATGATGCATTTCACAAAAATCGGGAGAAATGTCAATGGGCTTGTAACATATTAATACATTGAAGCAGCATTTGCGGCTTGTATGAAGCGCTCGACTAGTCATTTGTTCGTGTTCTGCTCATGCTCGTGCATTATATTTCGTTTCCATGGCTACGTGCAGTTCGTGTTGCCGCCTCTATCTGCATTCAAAAGAGGTAGCTTGGTTGTCAGGAGAAAGAGCTCCGGTCAGATTGAATTCTGCCGTCTTCTGAGGAAAGACGGAATCGAGATGCAAACATTTGGTGTGGCGGAAGCCACATATGTAGGACGTGATGATTTACGAGAATTAACAGCTAGAACCCGGCCAGACTGTATGAACGCCTATTGGCCAGTTTTTCTACATGTAACCCTTATGTTCTGCCTGCTTTGATTGGTCAATTTCTATTGCGATTTCTACTGCAATTTCGCAGCTTGTTTTGCTGTACCGTACAGCTAATTTGTACGTACATCTACCTACGCTACGGAGTTGTGCATCAAAAGTCATCAATATACGCTAAAATTAGAGCGCCATTAGCACACTCGATCTCAGCTTCAGCGCCACGTGAAAGATTCGCGATAGGAGTGAAGCCCTAGAGCTGCTGCTAGGACCCCTTATTCTAGAGCCCTTTTCAGGCTATTTGACATGTCTCCCAGGCCTGTGTCAGTTAAGCTTCAGCCATCCACCCTCTCTGACCATCCTAACGCCCACCACCTACTACAGTCAGTACCAGGCAGAAGTATCCATAACCCGGCGCTAGTATCTCTGTCAGGAAACGGACTACAAAACGAATTCGCTAAGCCTTGAACAGTTAAGCAGCACCTGCTATAGCCAATAACTATGGAATATCGTCCAAGAAGCTTCTAGGCATCAATGCGACACTGCATCAGAACTAGCTGCTACTAGCACTGAGCTATGAATACTTCCGCTTGGTACCGAGTACTAACATCACGCTAGTATAAGAAGGGCTAGCTTTTGCTCATCCTGGTTAACATATATTGATAACTTTTTGATGCACAACTCCGTACCCCTTAATAGATAATACAAGTTGCTTTCTACGCACCCTTTGCAGATGGTCAAACAAATCCTTTACCCTCTTCTCCATGGCCAAGCTATTTTAAAAAGTAGACGCAATGCACGCGGTCCCCTTGCCAGCAGTTGCCGCGAAATTATCCTCTCTTTTTATCTTGTCCCCGTGGTCGTTGCCATGGTGACCCTTACTATTCGGGACCTCCGTGGGTGCTAGTGCCTGGTGGCTTTTAGGATGGGCACCTGCAGTAGTCTCTGGGCGAACCGCTGGTACTTTTTGGGTTGCTCTTATTACGAAGCACACAGCTTTCCGACATGCAGCCCATTTCAGCGATTGCTGCGCCATGGTGCTTCCCTCCTCTGCCCTTATCGCTCCGATCTATGAACTAGCATTGGATTCTACATCTGTCGATCGGGATGGTGTATCTCAGCCATGCTCGTCAAGCGACCCTCCCAGCACGTATGTGGCAAAAAACACACAACGAAAGGAGCCGAGAGGTAGAAATATCGGGTATGACCACGATCTTTATACCCAAATTCCTTCTACTCTTTTTTCAATATCGGAAAGTCCATTGCAAGTGTTACTTCACGCCCGAATAATCTGAACAGTTTCAACAAAGCTCTAGAAAGGGATATTGCCTGATTGGGAGATCTTATCTGTCAAACCTCTGCTTACAGCTAGACCGATCATGGAGTCGGATTCGTTTGACGCGTTCTGCGACTTCTGTCGCGAGAACTTCAATGAGTGCTCTCCATGGGCCGGTGGTGTTTACAAGGCCACAAGAATTCGCAGCATAGCTAGCCTGATGACTTCACGGGCACAAGGCTGTTCTCTGTGTCGTTTGATCCTAGTACCTACGAACATTGGTTTCCTGGGTCATGACCATGTTGCGTTCGAACTAGGGCACTCAGATCGATTCCCTGATGTGCTTGAACTTCGATTCAGACCGAGTTCCGTAGAGGGCACTTCAAGTGGAATTTACAAATGGATCGATCTGATAAGGATTAACAGTATGTATTAGTACCAACTCAGACGGCGGCAAACTTACCATCCGAACGCTAGGTGTTACCTACCCAACGATAAGACATCTTCCTCATCAATCGACGTGGCCCCGGCAAACTCGAACACAAGCGAGCAAATGGATTACGGAATGCTGGGATCGTCACCAGCTATGCCACTCTCAGCTACCTAAAGCAAAGAGACAGACTACAAGGCTTCCGACCAGGCTCATCGATGTTGGAACGGTGTCCCGGCCTTATGCTCGCCTTGTACATTCATCAAATCTTTCTAGCGAAACGCAGTATATGACCTTGAGTCATTGTTGGGGTCAGACATCCTCGCTAGTCCTGCGCAAGGACAATTTTCGGAAATTTATAGCCGACATCTCCTCCGAACTTCCAATAATGTACGCTGACGCCATCCAAGTCACACGGGAGCTTGGTATTCAATATATTTGGGTTGATTCTTTGTGCATCATTCAAGATTCAGAAGAGGATTGGCGGCACGAATCTGCTCAGATGGACAAAGTGTATTCTAATTCACGCTGTACCATTGCTGGTGCCATGTCGAAGAATAGTGATGAGGGCCTATTCTTTGATAGAGCAGTACCGGCAGCAACTCCGTGCAAAATCTCGTGTACATGGAATCCCAATCACCCAGAGACATTTCTCTGTTATGACGATTCTCCGTGGATCGATCTGGAGTTCGGACCACTATATTCACGGGCATGGGTGGTGCAAGAGCGTCTTCTATCACCATGCATGCTTCTATTTGCAGATGACCAAGTATATTGGGAGTGCTCAGAATTGATTGCTTCGGATTCTTGCCCTTCCGGCTTACCACTCCTCATCCATCGACTGAAATCTACATGGTCATCGGTAGTCCAATGCCAACCTCTACCCTTAGGTAATATAGTTCCTGCCACCGAAGCGGAGCTCTCACTCTCCAGGTCAAACGCAGAGCTTGGGGAGAGCGCAATAGAACGGCTAATGGGCGCTTGGGCATATATCGTCTCTGCATATACGTATGGTGGGTTGACTTTCACATCTGATAAGCTGGTTGCTATTTCAGGTCTTGCTCGTCAGATAAGAAAAGTCCTCGATGCTGAAGCGGAAGACTATCTCGCCGGTCTTTGGAGATACAAGCTTGCAAGACAACTCTTATGGTCTAGCTCTAATCAGGCAGAAAGCAAGCAAGTTCGAGCTCCATCATGGTCGTGGTCGTCAGTGGATGGATGGGCTACACCCGTCTTCTTGGAGATTTTGGAGTATGCAACCACACGCTTAGAATATTGGTTGGATACTATAGTAATTCTGCAGGCGTCGACCTACCCTATCGCTGACCCATTTGGTCCAGTCAGTGGAGGACATCTCCTTGTACAAGGACCAATTTGTCGCATAAAACGTCCCACCGAATCAGTAAAGGATCCGCATTGGTGGCGTAATGCACATACATTGTTCACCACAAAGGAAGGGATATTGAACCTGGGTAATGCGCAATGCTCGTGGTCAATTGATAATCTAAGCCCGGATAAAGTCGAAGTCGATTCCGTGTACTTGATGCCTTCTGCTGTGGTGCGCTTCGCTCGCAGGGTGTTACGTGGAGAGACTTCGTCAACCTCTGGGATTGCCAAAACCTCACCAAAAAAAGACTCCACCCGTCGTCTCGACTCAAGCCTGGAAGAAAACGTTGGTGGCTTGGCTATGGTAAAGATGCTCGCTGTGAAGGGGCAGTATCAACGCATTGGCGCATTCAAATTGACGCACAAAGGCGCACAGGCGGACTTACGCAAAGCCATAGGTGCACGTACATTACGCGAGGAGGACTACCTTGACTTTGATGGCAGTGAGAGCTATACTATCAAAATTGTGTGATACGAGCCGGCTACGACTGATCAAATCTCGATTCTGACCCATGAGTGACTGATGGAATGCTCCAAAGGTTGAGACCGAAAGCACGAAATGAAGTTGAAACTCTCCTGCTGAGCTACTCTTCCTTGTTGAAATTGGTGAGACATGTACGGAGTCGTGCTTCAAAAGTTTTCAATATACGCTAACTAGGGTAACATGAAGCTAGCTCTATATATACTAGTGCAATGATAAGGCACAGGGCTTATCTAAGGGCTAGGTAGTTAAAGCTTAGTGGTCTCTGGAATGGAGCTAGAGGTTATGCCGCCTGGAAGACAGCCCTAGAAGAAGTTAAGATGGCAGGGTGTCGCTGGGCAGGCTAGGGACCCTACCCCTATTGTGCACGGCTTACGTTGCCACTGAATCTTAGTAGTCTTTCAAAGTGCTGCTCTAATATTGGCGTATATTGAAAACTTTTGAGCACCACTGCACTCCGGACAGCCAAATCCTTGGCGCTGTGTGACCACGCAGGCACCACTCTGCGCAGTAGTTAGCCTCTCCTCCCTCTGAGATAGATTCTGCAGGTAGATAGAATTCCATTCATCCACTTTAAACTTCTCCTCAACGCAGGAGCCTTAATCGATTCGGTCGATAAGAGAGGCTGGACGCCACTCCATGCTACAGCAGCCAATGACCGCAGCAAGGTGATTCAGGTGCTTTTGAATGAAAATGTCATCAAGGACGCTGATTCTACAGCGAAGGCTGCTGCAATTCAATCAGAAAGCCCCAGTCTGAGAGCTTAGAGCCACACTGGGCTTCTCCAAGTCAAAGTGTCAGGTGTCCAGCTCGTACTCACCGGTGCTCACGGGGATTGGCTGCTAAAGCGACATTGCGTGGGTGAGCTCAAGATGAGCTGGGGTAGGGATGTATTGTACTTACATGCCAGGAAAATGCCCGATTGATTTTTTGGACCTCGCCTCAAGTTTAACAGCTCTTGTTCGCTCTGCTGTTGAACAAATAACAACCGCAAAGCCATTCCTCGTTCCATCATCATCGATTTTGAATCCTCCTTCAGTGATTAGACTTTGGCCACTGATCGCATGGAACTTTTGTGGCCCAAACTGTGGCGAGGCCGACGCCACTAGGATCCAGAAATGCTCTTGCAGCGGTGGAGTCGGTGCACAGATCAAAGTTGACTTGTGCATCGTACTGGTTCCTGTCTAAGGTCGTTCTCATGGCGCAACATGGATTTCCCTGCGCAGGGCATAGATTGTTGACCTACAGAGCCAGGTTAGCGTTGTCTTTGGCAGGGTAAAACAACAGAAATGGGAGAACTCCTATGCACCTCTATCATGATCTGCCCAGGGTGCGATAGCGGGCAATTGCTACAAGGATCATCAACGCCGGTGATTTTCCAGCGAGTCTTGCAAGCCGGTTCCGCACCCTCTCCAGGACCGACACCGAAAGCATTCTGGGAGATGAGGGCAGCGTAACCAGGAACAGGATAGAATCGGCCCCCAGTGTCTTGGTGATGCAGCCATCATACTTGGTGAAAGTCGCCTTATATCATTGAGAAGTCACAAAGAGCGGGAGCGGAATGAAAAGGAGCGGAAGAACAAAATACATGTCGGGCTATTTGCAAGCTGTGAGAGTTTAGTTACCTTTCTGAAGTTTTGGATTTGGTGATGCTCTACCTCCATCTCAGCATTCTATGCCAGCACATATATATTCAACGCACACTGTCCAGCAGTGTGGTGTCACGCCTCAACAGATTGAGCCAATCTCTCCCTCAGATTCTCATGTACGTTTCCGGAGCCGTGCCTAGGAGCTGTAGATGTCAGGAGGCATCCAGTTCACCGATAGGCACTACAGAGCACTTGACACGGAGCGTTGGTTTATTTTATCTCACGTGGGCTTGACTATGCGGACGCTTTCTGGCATGCCTTAGCTAAGGGCAGTTGCAACGCGAGCCTGAACTCCGAGAGACTTTACCGCCATTCGACTCAGGCCCGGAACAGTACAAGACTATGCGAAGATGTCCATTGCAAAGTACGGAGAACGTTGGATGAGTCCAGTGTTTCAAGGAAATCGGCCCATGCAAAGCGGTCTCTGCAATATACAAGTGGAGAGACAGGGGTCGAAAGCGACGTCCTTCCATTGGTATCGCAAGAGAGGGGTTTTGAGTGTCCTGCTGTGGATCTTTCGGACAAAAGGGGCGATTCGAATGTACCAGTGAGCGTACATGAAAGAAGACTTGTTGGCGCATGCTCTGAATGGTCTAAGAAGGAATGGCAGCTTCACTTGAAACACACCACAAGGCAGCTGTTGGCTCTTAAGATCTTGGAAAAGGTATCTGGCATCAGCTGGCTTCCATCTAGCGTGCTAAGGACTTAAGTTAAGGCAATCTAGCAATCCCAGCTCACAGCTATTTAGCACCCCTTTCCCCAAAGGATGGCTAAGTTATGCGTTTCCTTAATCAATCATGCCAAGCTCTTCTAGAACGCTCTTCTAGAACGCGCCTCTTTCAACGTGCATGAGGTCTGGCAGGAAACCATGTAGTCATACTGACTGATCCATCTTTAAGGCAAGGATCGGCAGACCCTAGCGTTCGTAGTTCGTAGTTCGTAGTGACTGTGCTGTAGATTAAAGGGATAATTCGTAAGCCTTCGCTCGTCTTCCGATCCAAGGTCATTCGGTCGACAGTCCCAAAAGCATTCGATTATGCCCCTGACCAGCATTTTCAACGGCACGCGACGCGCCTTGGCGAGATTCTCCCGCAACGGCTACAGATTAGCGCATCGCTTGCGGACGACAACCTCCCCAGGGGGAAAGCTTCCGCTGTTCAATACTTGTACTTGGTAGACCTGTTATAGACGAGCCGGTGCGAATGATTAACTACGATATATACGCTCTCTCCCCGCCTTCCTCTTCGAGTATAGTCAGTGCGCGAGACTCGGCCGTGTTGACAGCACATTCAAATGTCACTATGTTGTTGCATACTGCACGTCTAGGGAGATCAAGACCAACCGGATCATGTCTAGCAAGCTCGATGCAAAGTCTAAGCCCGAACACTGCTTTTCTAAGCTGACAATTGAGTTTAAGACCCCGCATCTATCACGCCGTTGAGGGCAGGGCCGGTATGCACACCTGCGCGCGAAGCAAGCAGATTACATTACGGATCAGATGCTCATCAAGCACAAGCACAATCACGAATCACTCTCTACCATAAGGATCAAGGAGACGCGAGATGAATTGGCAGCTTTGCCTCTTCTGGGGGCCATGACCGGAGGAATGTGCCATTGTTGTACCGGTCAGTATGTAGTCCAACCCGACTAAGGTGGTCCTCTTCAGGAGACTTGGGCGAGAACGGTGATACTCGCTCCTTGGTAAGTCTTGAGAAGTCTATATATACTGTCTGCTCCCTCTTCTGCTCCGTCGACGTGATCACAGCCGAAAACGATACAAGCAATCCTCCACAGAGTATCTGCAAGCCTGTCGCGATCAGCATCGACGAATATATCAAGATGGTATCATTACTCGTATACGCTGCTTTGATCTCTTCCCTCTTCTTGTCTGGCTACAGTGCTCCTACCACTATCAAGCGTGCAGATGGTCCGGGAACCCCTTACCAATGTGCTTCGTCCTATGGTGCACCCAAAATTAAAGACACCCTGCTGAGAGCTGGAGCTAATGCTCGAGGTAAAACTCCATCAAGCTCATTCATTGACGAGACGTAATCCTGCTTGAAAGATTGGGCAAGACTGACACGAGGGCTCGCTATAGATCTAGCTATAACCATATTGGAGACGTCAGTGATCTCACCCTTCCATACTTACAATCCCTTGTCCAACAAGCTTACCTATCACAGCGGATGCGACATGGACGCCACGCATTATCCATTGGGAGATCGAAAGACAGGAGACTCTGCCAATTGGGGTCTGTTCAAGAATAACTGTTGGTCTTTTGAGGGCGCTTTCCAGCGACGCACTCCTCAGCCATGTCCCTTGTCTGACGCTGCTCTGTAGGGTACTCTATCCGCAAACATTGCAGCCAATTCCAAGGCCTCAGCGAGAGCCAATGGATGCGAGGACAGGTTTTGAAGTCTGTTTCCTCGAATTCCTGCAAGCGTCTTATCTTATCGACTGACTTTTTATAAGCAACGACCCGGCGGCGTCCATCAAATGTCAGCACGAGCAGATTACCAAGCTCGGCCTTCAGGGATTTTATGCAATCCAGCGGTGCGTATCCAACATCACAGGCCTATTGTCCAGTACTTCCTTGCTGACAATGAGGACACAGTGGTGTACCCAGCGAGACTGACGACTACCGCGTTGCTGTAGAGTTTATCCTGAAATACCTTAATCAGGGCCATCTCCGCGACAATTGGGTAACATACTACATGCTTCATGCTGTCTGAGGTTCTGGTACGAGTAGGTTTATGTTAAGAGGACGTGGTCGTTGCTGGCAGCACCACAGTATCGCTTTCCAAACCAAGCTTTCCATTTATATGTACATATTTTTATCCTTCAAAGGTCTTAGGATAGACACATGGTGGATCTGGTACTTATACACATCTTATGAGTCATAGTCAGGAATGGTGTTGTACATGTCTACCGAACTCCTGCAGCTGAGTACCAGCCTTTCGCTACCTTATGCTGGAGGATATGTATTCATTGTTCGCCCGCGAATTGATAAGAAGACGTAGGACCCGACTTACTACGTCAATATTAAATCAGAAGGGCCGCAAAACATCTTGAGGACGCTTCTACGAAATGTCCGCGCGGTCAATCTGAACGAAGATAAGCCTGCCGTATGATCCTCCCACCGCTCTATTACTTTGACCCTACCACTAACTTAAGCCCAGATTGAACACAATCTGCTGTACAATTATCTCGATGAATTACAATCGTATCTGAGCAATGCAAATACTTGCGCGATCCATGATCCTATCTGTCTTAAGCACTTAGACCTCCTGGTCGACTTTATCAAAGCAACCTATAAGTTGACAGGTCAACGCCTTCTGTTGCTTTTGGAAACTGGTGAAATCACGTTCAATTTGTTTTGGGCACTCTTCGAGCCAAACTCGATGGTCTACACGACTTGCTTTGGTACTGACAAATCACGGTGCGTCATATAGCGACGGTGAAGAGAGGCAGACACGCAATGGATTGAAGTACTATAAGATGGAGTGTCGGTATTTGGATACGACGGCCAAGTGTTTGAGGCCGCGTCGCTCCATCTTGCTATTGTGAAATTCCGTGGGAAAGGGAGCATCAGCAGCGCTGAATGCTTTCCCTCTTCAGTACCCTCCGGATGAAAAAGGACCAAAGGCTACCTTGTTGAATGCGGCCGAAAATTTGTCTCAATGCTTGGAGCTTACCATCGTCACTGCTGAGGTACAGCATTTTGTATGAAGGACGGAGAGCCTTTCAAGGTATCTGGCGACAGCGGGGTCATGCTTGATGCTGCTTTCTTCCGGAAGATGAATCCTAACTACACTAGGCCGCGACCTGAGGCATTAGGCAACAAGAAGACGGATGATGACATTTTATCAGAACCATCTAACGAACGAAGTCTTGATCAAGTAAAAGACAATGGCGTGGAAACAGCCAAATTGGAAGAGAAGGGCTTCCTCATCTGCTGTCCGACCGTGCTAGGTTTTAGTCTCGGAGATAAAATGTGGAGTATGGTAGTGTCTCTCTTAAGGTACAGTTGCTCTTATATTAATCCGATGATTCACAGTGGAATTTGCTGTTGCCGATATAAAAGACATCGAACGGTCCTCATCACCTTTTGATTGTTTAACAATCCCTGATGAACAGACGGAGGTCATCATAGCCCTTGCGGAAACCCGTTTGGGTCTGGTGCCCAGCGTCCCATTTGATGACTTCATGACGGGGAAGGGGAGAGGGTCTCAATGTCCTATGGCACGAAGATCCTCAATGTTTCTGTTTGAACCAAATGACGTGTCACTTAGTGGAACACCAGGTGTCGGCAAGACCTTGACAGCGGAGGCGGTGTCTGACCATCTTCAACGGCCTCTCTATTCGGTGCGCATAATTTAAATCCTTCTAAGATTCAGTCTAACTCTTCAAATCTCTGCCGGAGAACTGAGCCTTGGGTCAGCGAAGATGGAAGTTCAGATTTCGCACGTCTTCCAAACCACCAATCACTAGAAAGCCCTAATACTTCTAGATAAAACAGATGTGTATATAGAACGAAGTTCAAAGCAGGATCTCGCTCGCAACAAGTTTGTCTCGGTCTTCCTCCGCAAGCTGGAATACTGCGAGGGTATCATGTTCCTCACCACGGACCGAGTTTCCGACTTCGATGAGGCGATCCTCAGCAGGATCCATCTCATTTTGAAATACCACGAATTAGGGATTAGTGTGAGAGAAAATTGTGGGAGCATTTGCTGCACAGGGTCTACACGTCTCAGGGAGCAGCGGTATTGGCTCATGAAGAAGTGGAACGCTTGGCCAAAACAAAATTTAACAGTCGACAGGTAGGTTTGTCGTGCAATATATCTGGAGACCTCTTCCACTAATTCACCGTCTGTTAGAATAAGAACATAGTTGCCATAGCCTATGCTCTAGCTACCAAGAAAGGTACTCAAGTTGCTTACTCCCATATCTTGCGGGCAGTCATAGCGAGTGAAAACTTTACTCGTGAATTCACTAGCACAAGCGTTATTGAGCAGTTACAGTCGAGTCTAAGAGCCCAAAAGCAGACCCCAGTTGGACCAGAACCGGGTCTTGCCAACTCCTCAGTCACCTGCTCAGCCTCTGCTCAAGGCTGCTCAGACGCGCTCAGTCTCGGCTCAGGTTAAAGCAGCGCCCGCTCAGGATGGAGGTCGTAACTGGAACTGGGAAAAAAAATCTTATGTCCGACTATAGAGGTATTCAGCAAAGCGTCTCTGTTATCTTGCTTATCAAAAAGAGTTGATGGAATGGTTTGGAATAGGGTGGAGATTAGGTGAATTTTGAGGTTAGGAAAAGGAAAAAGAGTACGATCAATCGGCAATCCACCGATTTATTTCCTGCTTGATTGTTTTCGGTAATTACTTCTTCGGTAGTTAGTGGTGGCATCCAGTCCTACGATAGTACCCATACCTACAAGAAACGGGCTTTCTCTTTTGCTGGTGGCGGCGATCATGATGCAATGCCAGAGAGGGGAGGACACTCAAAGGAAAAAGAAAACTCAGCCCCGGAAAAGACTAGATCTGCCTGTTTACACAATCTCATGTAACTAGCATGAGATGAAATCGCTAAATGGTTCGAAGGTTTCAGAAACTCCTCAATCCACCTGCCTGAAAGTACACAGGCAGGAAAGGATCCCATTCGCGGCTCGGCTCTTTCTTGATATGAGGAGAAAACACAATGAGAAGCAAGGGTGGGAAAATGGACATCGGCTTTATGTTCACTGGTGCGGACCCCTTACCGTAGTTGTCCCAGTGCCTAATCAACAATTAAAATGATGAGAGCCTTTGTTCTCTGAGTTAATTCCCTAAGAGCCCGGCAATGAAGGTTTTAGAAAACCAGCTCAGTCAAACCGACCCCGCCTTCATCCCGCACATCAGCTCAGTAGGTTATTTTGTTTTTCTCCTCCGAATTGAGTTCTCGATGTATCCATTCAGAGGGAGAGAAAAGAGGTTGAGTGATTACTGGAGCTTCAGGAGCTGTCATTCATATCCACCCTGTCCCTCGGGCTTTGGCACCTCGTCTTCATCCAAGAGAGTGAAAGGTTTATGCGCTTTGTGTGTGGTTGAAAAATCCAAAGATAATCATCTGGACCCTTTTCTTTCTTTCTTTCGGCTCTCAAAGCACGTCCTGTCCAAGGGGGAACGCGTTCTTCCCGTCTCGGGCTGCAGCGCCTCTCTCATGCGAGCGTGCGGTCTGCTGGGTAGGGATTCCTTGGTCGTCTGACACTTCGCAAAAATAGGGATCTAGGGTTTGTCAAAGCTTTATGACTTGTGGACGGCAATCGATATCTCAGTTTGGGACCTGAATGCTGGCCGTCTTTAGTTTGGCTGGGTAGGCGCTTGGAATGTGGACGACCTGGGTTGGGGCAAGGTACTATTCTTCAGGCATGTTCGCAGAAGCCTGATATCTGATGCAATCATGATCATAGAATAGTCAACGTGAATGGTAGATCAAGGTAATGCAAAGCCATCTTAGGGAGTAAGTCTCCAGGCTTGGAAAACCAAACACAGGGCTTTCGAATCCGATTCGGAGTTAAAAGATAGTGGAAATGGGACAAAGAATTGAAGATCAATGCTCTTATCAGAGAACTATGGAAACGAGGCAGCCAGGTGCGCCATGAAAATATGCAGCTATTAACCGTGAATTACATTCCCGTGTGCTCGTACAAGGAGGGCATTGCCCCTTTCGTGTCTAAACATCGAAGAGATAGGCGACCCGAGCCTCAAGGTTGCATGTCATGTTTCCAAGACGGAAACCTTCAGCTAGTATCCATGGCATTTGCCAAAGCTGGAGGGTCTTCAGGACTGTCTGGCGAGGAAGGCGGAGACCAATCAGTATCAGAGTGATGACTATCATAATTAGTGACTTCCGGCCAAACCAGACCCGTCGCCTTGTGCAGTCGCCTATAGAACCACACATCGTAAGACAAGGATCTTTCTTGATAGAGCGTCATGAAAAGCGAAGGTGACAAGTGTACCACAAAAGGGCTTTGGTCCATGGGTCCATGATTGATGGGCATTCCCAACCATTGATTCCATCTCCGCATGTCGAAGAACTGCTCAATCGACTTGGAAGCGACGAGCCACCTACCTGGGGAATGTTTGAAGTCGTCCATGCGGGATCTCGGATGCTTCCATTCGCTAAAATCCTGTACATGGGACTGAAACTTGTAGGGCCAGTCGGGAAGACACGTCAAACCTTGAGTGTCATCCCCCGGTCTCGGCCCCGTAAACTCACCATCAACCACACCCACAAGCCCATCGAACATATAATACTCCCAACTAAAACCCAGCTCACGAGTTGGCTCTGTTCGGCGATAGTAAGGCTCGTTATTGAGGAGAGCTTCTTCAGAACGGTAGAAATTGACTATATGCGCCAATTCATGTACCATCAACAAGGCGAGTTGAAAGAGGCAACGCTGTTGCATCGCCAAGGGCAGGTCAAGCCATCGTTGCGAGCCCATGAACTCGATGGTTTCTTTTGCTATCACTGTCAGCAGGTGCTCTTTCTTACTCCAATAGATGGTATATTCATTCTCATCTGGGTCTTCGGGAACGTCGGCGTCAAGGTTGGCGCGAACAGACAGGCTCGCTCCTGTGGCGTTAAGTTCCCAGCCATACAGCCCATGTAGGATGAAGTATCGTTGGGCGATGATATTGAGATCTCTTCGGATGCGGTCTTCTTTGATTTGGGTCCAATCTCCCTGGTCCAGTCTCAATTCCTTCTGTTTCGGTCTGCCGAAGGACTGATATGGTGCATAACATACATTGAAGAACCATGGTAAAGATTTTTCGAGGAATAGTGATGCTAGGCGTAATGCTGGCTGGATACGTTCATAGATGCTGGCCGGTAGCTCTCTGCAGCGAGCGCGTCTATCAACCTCTGAGAGCGGTCTGTCTCGATATTTCTTGCATTCCATTCTGGGCGTCTCCTTTACGCGAACATTTCTGCTCCAGTTTCGATAGGCCCATACAGGATGTATGTCATTAGTGAGATGGTTGAGAGCAGTGTTTGGATCGGCAAAAACATCCAAATCACCTACCTGAGCGGGATCGATTTCATACACGGGTTCGATAGCGAGAGACATGGTGAACTGTGGCTTGATTGCTGTTGAGGTTAGATAGGGTAGCTCGCACTCTGCTCGCAATCGAAACATGGCAGACAGTGGGGAGCTCATAACTCCACAGGCCCTAGCAAGGCAACCCGTGCACAATGGACCATGGCTGAGGAAGCACAGACCAGATCTCAAGACAACGACATCGTCCTTTGACGAAACGACTTGTCACAACAAAAGAAATGTAGAATAAGGTGGAAATAGTAACAAAGGTATTGCCCGAAATAGCCAGACACAAAAAGGACATCAAGTCAGGATAAGTTCTTGTGCACACATTCAAGTAGTGGGTCAAAGCAAGCGCAGGTCCAAGGATCCCGGAGACGATACTGCTCTGACGTTTCTCGTCTTCATGTTACAGTACTAGGTCAAAAGTATTGGCTCAACCCCACTTTTGCACCAAAAAACGTACTTTTCAATTTAAGCTAACTACTTTTCCTAGGTAATAAACTATCTAAAAAGTGTTTTTAAGTTGTTATAAAATATTAGAAAATGAATTATATATAAAAACTTTTATCTTAATACTATGTGGAAGAGAGAGATAAGAGATAAAGCAGACTTGAAAATTTTGAGGAATTTTTTTGATAGAGTTTTTACATAAAAATTATTAAAAATGAAATATAACAACTTAATTACAAGTTAAATCTTGATCAAGCACACTAGTAATAAAATAATATATGAAAAAAAGTTTCAACTATCAAATCTCTATCTATATATAAAATCTCAAGTAGTTATGAGCTGTTTTGGTCAAGCAATAAATATTTCAAAGAAACTGTCACGTGTCACGTTGGAAGCAGGCGACGAGTGCGCGAGATCTTCAGCCCATGTTGAGTGCTATCCTAAGACTGAAGAGTCGACGGTGAGGGCCCTGGGGTCGCTTCTATATAGCAAGCATGCCCCTTACTAACGTCTAGTGCTAATCAATACCCGGCGCCCTAGCGCTAGCGGGCGACAAGCATGGCAGCCGTGACAGAAACCACTTTACGCGTAAAACACGATATGCGCCAATACTTTTGACCGGGTACTGTAGAAGCAATGGACTCGTCAGCTGCTGGGTGAGAAGATGTAACTTGTTGTTGCTGGTAAACGCGTTCGACTCTGGTGTATGGAGGCGGTATCTCCTCCTAGCTGTACGGAGTTGAGAGGCTCAAGAACATGATTGAAGAACGACCCACTGGAAGTCCTTGGTGACGGACCTCCGGACCAGTCGCTCTGCCTGTCAAGACTCTACTAATACGTAGTAGTAGTATGGACATGGGAAGACTGGATTGGGAACTCGCTAACTAGAAATGGCCCGGCTTGCTTTAGGTAGGCGATCAACGTATATACGGAGTAGAACAGTCAATAAGGGAGATCATCGGTGAGGTCGGCAATGATTACCAACTACCAAGCATGCAAGAGCGGCTCGAAGCGAATGTCAAGAAAAGAAATATCGACTGAATTGGTACCATGGCACGACATTGAGTTGTCTTGAGACGAAAGCGGAAGGTGGTCTCGCCAGGGTCGAAGAGTATCAAGTTACTACGTAGTACGGAGGACTACGTAGGTTACTTTGAGTGTGATCATCAGGGTGAGAAATGAGTTGGTGGCTGACAATGGCTGACAATGGCTGACGATGGCTGACTATGGCGCAGCCAGAGTCCCCGCCCCTGGTCGCTGGAACCTCGGTCAGAAGCCAGCACCGGCTCACGAGCTTCCGAGCAAGATGGCACAATTGGGGCGCATGGGTGAGAGCATGCAGAGCAGGCAGATCGCAACGATAACGACAAGGTTGAAATGAAACCGAACGTGGTTGTGATGAAGTCTTTGCAGCTTGATGCCTGCATCTGTTCTAGGCTTCTAGCGGCTGGCGTAAATGAGGTTAGCTTCAGCGCCCCCATTCCAGACCATATTCCGATTTCAGCACACCTACGAACCCGAACTTACGGAGTACTACGTACGTACTACGTATGCCAGATGTCAGCCACATTACTTTCCCTTCCACAAACGATAACTGGGCTGCTCGTCCAAATTAGGACTCGTACTCTTGTGTGGACCAATACTGTCAATAGCAAGCTCGCCGGATAGTAGCGAGTGCGAAAAGATAAGATTTCATCAAAGCATAGATTCTGTTTCTCGTGTATTTCACTGAATCTGGTCATGGTGCCGGTCCCGGTCCCGGCCGAGGTCAGAGCCAGCCTACCCCAAAGCTCTGTTCGTACATGTATCATGCAGGGAAAATTTTCGCTCAAAATGTTCAGTTTTGTTGCCTTGCCCAATCTAGTCAACAGACAGACATAGTGTTGGTGGTGAGGAAGGATTCGCCTGGAATGCCAAATTCCATCATGCAATCAATGCTGCTGTCGAAAAAAAACAAACATTAGTATTGGGCCAACCACGATGCATCCCAATAATTTTTTTGATAATTGTCACATGTCTTCTCGGCGTTCTCTCATCTCCGGTCCAGCCGGGTAGCGAGATTGGCGAGTTTCAGACCCTGGGCCGTGCATCCGGATTTGGGGTTCATCACCCGACGTACTTGATGACGATCCCGCCCCTTGCCTGTTCAAGCCTAAACCTTCACTCTCTCCGCTATGCTCCTGCCGGAGCTGGCGACTGCTGGGTCGCGCCATCGAGTGACCATTGTAGCCCCGGGTTGACGACCCACCACTCCCACGTCGCGAGTCCTGCGCCCTCTCTCGCTGCTGGCTAGGAGGTGATTCCCGATCTCGCGATGATGTCCGTGAGAATTGAGGTGATGACTCAGGTTGGCTTGTTGGAGCTGGAGGTGCTTGATGGCCTCCGGTTGCTTTGCGTTTCTTGGGTGAGTTCTGATAATCGGCGCGTAGATGTGACGGAGCGTTTTGCGAATATGGAGAACCGTGCTGGCTTTTTGTGGATGGGGTAGGAGGATTTTGACCCGAACTGGTGTTCGGGGGCACCCAGTGATGAAAATATATTACAGGGGAGGACTGAGCTTGCTGAGATTCCTGCGGTGCCATCTGGCTCTGCTGCAATGGATGTGACCCTTGCGACGCGAATGGTGCCGGGGCAGTAGTGGTAGGAGGTCCTTGTATCTGAATTTCATTGGTGTTGAGCCGCGATAGACTACTGGAAGATGTCGATGTCCGTGGACCAGCTGCTTGACGAGCGAGTGGAGTCTGAGTTGCCTGAGCGAGAATTTGCTGCGCCTGGCCTGGAGGAGCTGTAAGAGCAGGTTGTATTTGCTGGTGACTAGGGTAGGCACTGGGTGGTACCATTCGATTGTCCCGACGAATGTCCTCTGCAGACACCGATTGCTGCTGTTGTAGTTGCTGCTGCTGCTGCTGCTGTAGCTGTTGTTGTTGTTGTTGTTGTTGTTGTTGTTGTTGTTGTTGCGCTTGCTGTTGAGCCTGAAGTTGTTGCTGCTGTTGCTGGTTCTGTTGTAGGCTCATCTGGGCCATGTAATGCTGCGCCCACTCCAAACTTTGATTTGGAAGATTTCCCCCGCCCATGCCAGCAAAGATGAGCGGAACCATTACTGGCGGCACTCCGCCCTGTAAGGACTCTCGCAGCATAGTCTGCTCTATCCGCCTTTGGTCCAGTCTCATGGTCTCCTGCTTTGTCTTCTCTTCTTCCTGCCTGCGCTTGTCTTCCTCCGCCTTCGCATGTAGCCAATTGCGCATCGACTCTTCTGCTCCAGGCCATTGAGAGGGCGGCGCTGGCAGCTGGCCTAAAGGAGCCATGGCAGGGAGATTGCTGCTCGCAGGAGGAAGGGTCATGGCAGCTGGTGGTGGCAGGCCTCGGTGCGGGTTGCTCATTCTTGAGTCGAAAGTGTCGGAGAACCCGCTAGAGTTCCCAACAGTGGGTGGTGGAGAGTATCTGGAGCTCGATGAATTGAAGGAGGGATAATCATGTGGAGACTTGAAGTCGTTCTGGTTTGGCGGTTTGAGCGTGAGCAACATTGGGTCTGCTTTAAAGGCAACGGGTAAGAGTTTGCGTCAACACATGTATGCGTGAGATTTGAGGATGGTGGAGGAATGTTATGTCATGCACTCGAGAGTCAGAAGTCCACGTAAAATAATGCGGTTGAGGTATTTCACAAAGGACCGGCGGTGAAGGGTGGTTGAATTGAATAATAGGGGTGCAAAAGGACAATCCGTGCGATTGCTGATATTTGCTGCAAGCACCTGAAGCTGGTCTAGATCTCAAAGACGCGATTCGTCCGAGTCTTTAAGTGAGGGTCGAGTGTAAGAAGCGGTAGGGCTGTCTGCAAGTGGGCTGAAGCAGCTTAGCCACGCAACCGACAGCGAGTCGATCGAGGAGGGTGTTCCAGTAGAGAAGGCCAAATGCTTCGAGAATCGCGTGCCTTCAAAACGAAAGGGTGTGGCTTTTGACGTATCAGAGAGCTGAAAAGGCTCTTTTCCCAGTCGGGCCAAGTGAAAGGTTGGAACAGCCCAATGCGGAGAGGATTGACCGTGGATGGGAGCGTTTATCCAGCTGGATTGGCTGTTGGCACGGAGCAAACGAGATGGCTTAGTCCAAGATGGCTAACACTGAGCTGCTGGTTTCAAGAAGCAATTTCCAGAAGGGCCAGAGACGATGCCACCTGTGTCATGGACCTACCGCCTCAAAGGCCGGCCGACTTCTGCTATACTAGGTAGTAAGTTACCAGTGTGATCATGGCCACAACAACCATACTAGTACGTCGCACGCGCACCGCCGCTGGTTCCAACTGGGGCTTAATCAGGACCGGACAGGCAAAGGAGTAATCGACTGTGCAGCGTGTGGAGATGCAACTGCTCGTCATGGTCTAATTCCAAGCAGCATGACGATCATGGTGGCGTCCGCATCCACATCCCCTTTACTACGGAGTCCTCGTCAGTTCTTGCTCTTCGCTCTTCTTTCCTCATTGCTCTACCTCACTCGGATAGCCTGGTCCGCAGCAACCCAGCTCTCTAACTAACGTGGTAAGCTGATCCAACTGCCCGATCCGTCTGATTTAAAGCTCTCCAAGTCCGAAACAACGATACGAAGGACATCTGCCCCTAAGGTAAGGCAGGTGTCTCTGTTTAAAGACCATCACCAGCCGCTTACAACCAACAGCTTCTCCCTGAAGCAGGACTTGTTTTATGTATTACGGATGGGCATGTTGGTAAGTCTGCTGTGATATCCAGATGCAAGAGTCCACTTGGCCATGGTTAAGGTTGGAAACAACCCCGCCGACTCTACCCGTTCGTTCTGGGCTTCTCGGACTGCTTAGGCCTTGGCCATGGCTTGGTCGGAACCGAGAAAAAACACCATGTCGACTCTTCTTGTGCAGGCAAGGGTCCCTCAGCCATCGATACTACCGGGTGGAAGACCGTGAATGTAGATCACAGCTCAATGGTGGACGAATTGTGCCTCCATGACTTCTCTGCCCTGCTCCAGGTCTTCTTCGGCGCCAGAGAGTCACGCCCATTCATCTAAAACGTACTTGCAACCAAATGGAAATGGGGTGTTGTTTGGTTTGCAGAACACGATTTCGGGGCCAGATCCATAATTTGCACTTGCGCCATCCTGTACGACGTTAGAGCCGTTGTGGCTCGATTCGGATCGTGGTGAAACCCAGGCAGCTACCACCGTTGTTGTACGGAGTACACCAGAAGACTTTGCATAACTTGTCAGGCAGATCGGGCGGTCTTCGATTGGCTAGCCGCTTGCATGTGGGCTGATTGTCCATAGATCTCGAAACAGTGCAACCCTGCAGTTTGGATCTTCTTCAGCTCTGGCATGGTGACACCGCTATTGGCCCGTACCTCTCCTCCTATGAGACGCTCCGGATGTTCACTTCACCACGGCGTGTCCGAGCTGTAGCAAAATAGAGAGTTCTATTTGTGATACTACCTAGAAGAAGCACCAGAATTTCTCGTCTGCTGGGGAAATTCGATCTCGTCGAAGTGGGAAAGTTTCTTGGCGTTGCCCAATGTAGCCACGCTGCATTCCAACGGTGAGATCTGCGATGACTTGGAGTTGTAGATCCTAACTACAATGAAGAATAACTAGGATGGCGAACCAAACATGAAACACACCTAAAAATCCGCCGGGTACGACCGTTCCCACCGAATTCAGACTAATCATGCATAAATCATGCACGCATGCACAATTTTCAAAGTGAAGCCACCCCATAGTTGTCGCTTTTCGAATATGCAATACAACAGGCAACGAAAAGCTTTCCTAGCCCTTTCGCAGGCTTCAAGCATGAAAACATAGATTTCGGCCGCAGTCTCATATGCGCTCATTCGACAGGCTTGATGAGAACTTTGCGAGTCCACTATTATCAATTACATCGTCGTTGGTGAGTCCAAGATCCTCCTGCGCCGGCTGGTACGGACGGAAGTTGCGTCCGCTTGCACCGGCAAACTTTCGAGGTGGACTACCAGAGACAGCGAAAGAAAGAGAATATGTTGCAAACACGTTGATCGACGATTTCATCCTTCTCGAAATGCAGTGTGGATACTGTGCAATCAAACCGATTTCGCGGAGTCATGTTTTTGGTCCCGGGAGCCACTACTAGGTCACAGTAAGTGGTGTTTTGGCTGCCGATGAAGAGACGAGTCTGTCAGATCCGCTCTTGAAAAGATCTTCACTCGGTTAGGCGGTAGCTTCGAAGCCACATTGTCTAACGCAGTACTACGTAGACCAGGTTCCTCCCTGCATGCACGAGACGAAGATCCACGGTCGGAGTGATTAGTTGTTAACAGTCAGTTCTTATGCAACGTGGTCTGACGCAAAGACTGGTTAGAATCCATGTAGATCTCTAACAAGGGACTTGGCTACGTAGTACGTAGTAGGTACAGTAACCTATGCAAGTTAAGCTCTTCGCTTCGAATTTTCGCGCATTACCGAGCTGGGTTGGCCACGCGCTGTCAAGGTTGACATTGCTAGGATTGAGATCTCAGATGGGAAATGATCTGGACGGGTATGGATGGTGGGCCCGGCGTTGAAAACGTGGCGTATCCTGGTCGTGATCTGCAAAATTACGTGCAGCCACAGCCGAGAAAATTGCAAAGAGAGCCTTTTTGCAGGCCTACTACTGCCAAGAGATGGTCGACCTGGACAGGGTATGTCGCATCGGATTGCCCTTTACCAGGACCGCCTAAGGCATCATGTCAAAGGAGTGTGTAGACTCCGTAGAATGGTCCAGTAACTTCTCTTGATTGTGCTAGTGGTTGTGGGAACTGTCCTCTGGTGGGAAATCCAAAAAGATGAATAAGTGTGTACTACCGGAGGCAAGGGCTGGGGTGTCACGTGAACACACATTCTCAACAGTCTCTAGACGGTGCATCTGCATTACTCGATACGCTCAGTGCAGACGACTAGCAGGCTCTTGTCAATTGAAGCCATGTGATAAGGTATATTCCACTTTGGTCTGAAGACCGAGTCTATTTTTTGCCAAACATGAAGCCGCGTGCAGAGAAGATGATGCCTGCGGAGATGCAGCCACCAAATCCTAATGTCAGCCACCGACATCAAGGGTCCGATCAGCATCCTCAGAAATGGTGAAGCTGACAAGAGTGCTTGGCCAGCATCCAGCTTGACTTCCCTGAAGTGGTTGAAGCGAAACAGATTTGGCTATGCTTTCCGACGATGCATCTTCCACTCAGCCTTTGCAACCCGCATGAAGAGATCTTCATCCTGAATGGGAACCCAGCTCGTGAGGACCTTCATGGCGTTTTCGAAGTCCGAGTCTAGGAGAATGTTGCGAGTGCCGTCGATCAATGCGGCCGACGTGGCATGAAGTACATCAAGTGTGGTGCCAAATGGACTGGGCTGTACACTTACGTTAGGAGCGGACCCGCTGTCCGAGTCTCCAAGGAGCATGAAAACGTCCCATACTCGAAGCTGAGCTGGAAATGGAATGGAGTAGTTGAACAAGGTGAGATACCAGCGCGTTCCGTACGCCGTGGGAGGTATGCCCAGCTCGGTCTAGAGTAAGTTGTAAGTTCTGCCGAAGGTGTGCAATGGCCAAAAGACTCACCAGTTTCGCGGCTATCTCACCACCTTTAAGCCATTTCTTCTCAAAGTCATCCAGTGCTTCCATCAGACCTTCGAAGCCCGACATATACAGCCTGTCAAGCCCACGTAAGTCCCACAATCTTACAAGCATCACGAATGCGTTCTCTTCATCATAGTAAGCCAACAGAGTCGCAGCTAGCGCCGCCATGCCCTGCACGTAGCCAGTGTTGGGATAATGCAGGCTCATTGCATGTAAGACACGGAAGAGCAACCTCTGACCACCTCGGTACCTTCTTCTGAACATGATGTGGCTGCTGATAGTTCGCGGAACATCGATGTCGATCTGTACATCGTCCGGTGAACTGTCAGATTGATGCTCATGGAAAATCGCGATGAGCTCTTCATCAGACAAACTCTCTTTCCTCTTTTTGGCACTTGCTGACAAGAAGGCATGCCATGCGGTTGCGCGCCATCGGTCGGGAATGCCCTTCCATGTTCGTTCTATCAGCTTGGGGCTGTGGGTGTCGAATTCAAACCGTGTACCTCCTCCATCCGGTGTCTTTGACACCACTTTGGCCATCTTACGCCACTTCTCATCCCGTTCGACCTCCTTTCTTCGCACATGCACCTCTCTGGCTTCAGACTCGCCGTTCTCGGCAATATCTCCCAAGCCATACGGTAGCGTCAACATATCTCCCGCCTCATCCATGAATCTGCGATCACGATTATGTGGTAATCGGTTCGTTGCTTGCCGTAATCTCGAACTGCCACCGGATAAACTTCCTTGATATGAGCTTTGTGAAGACCTAGGCCTTGTGATTCGAATCTTTGGTTGTCTGATCGACATCTGTCCTGGAATTGCTGACTGCACACTATTTGCATTGCTTGGGCTTCTTCTCATCGCGAGTTTCCGCCTTGGAGCATCAGCTGCCAGTTGTAGACTTGTCGAAACTCGTTGTAAAGCTGGTGGCTCCCTAGAAGAACGTGATCGCTTCATAGCACCACTGTTGACGGCGTCCACCGTAGAGCTCCGCGGCATAATGAAACCGTATCTGTCCACATCCCCATTCTGGATATCTCGCCAATATTCTAAGCCGCCTGCCAACTCGAGCTCTTCTTTCTCGATCGTCCTTTCTCTTCGCGACTCAGGAGTCTGATCTGCTGTAGAAGGATCGCTGCGAACATCAGAAATTGATGTCTTAACAGAAGTACCCTCCAGGCTCGCACAGGTATCTTGCCATTGCCGACTCATTTGCTGCCCTAGAAACGAGTCTTGGTCCCAACCATTTGCACAGTCCGTTCCTGACTCGTAGTATGATCTAACTTTATGCGAGAGCAACTCTTCGTCCGTAGATAAAACCTTTGCTGCAGGCCTCTTCCTGAGCGATGGGTTGGACTTGACGCGACGACTTCCGAATCCCGGTTGTAGTAGGCCATTGACCGGCTTCGCTGGTTCAGTAACCTTTCTGCCCCCAAATAACATGCTCCCCCTTTTGCTGAACTCTATCCTCTCGGGTTGAAAATCGTCCACTAGATCACCGGTTGAGATGTCCAGTGTGAGGCCTTGGAAAGGACGATCAATAGTTGTAGATGGTGATGGTATTGAATTTGTCTGCTTCACATCAAGCCATGCTCTTTCACTTCTGTGTGGCGGCGGAACTGAGATTGCCTGGTTGTCTAGCAGGATCTGAGGCACGCTTAGAGCAGATCTAATGCTCCCAGCAGAGTGGTCTTCGGTGTGGACAGTGATTGCGCTATCTCTCACGGACGTTGCAGCCAACCCCGAGTCGCATCTGGGGCCCTTCTCTTGATCCAACCCTGACCTTGCGCTCATATACGTAGGCTGCGCAATGCCGTAAGTTTTGTATTGTTCAGCTGTAGGTTCTGCAGATCGTGTGGTGATGGGTATGGGCGGTCGATCTGGAACGGTCTGATCATAAGGCAGGCCCTGCAAGCTCAACCGGAAAGCGGAAGGAGGTTTCTTGCGATCCATCTCGCAGCGGAAGCATGGACCAACAAAGAGAGGTTCTCAATGCGACAGGGACTGTCACAAAGATGGGTTGAAGATGACAATGTGGGGAACATCTGCAGGAGTGAGAACAGTTTGGGTTGATGGGTTTGATTTCGCAGCAGTTTTGTGCACAGAGCTTTGGAAGTTGATAGGGGGGTGCCCCGTATTGTGAACTCCAAGCTGCAAAGGTCAGTCATCTTGGACGGCGTTTTCCACCAGATGCCACACTATTGGAACACTACAAGTGAAAGCTAAGAGGAAAGGAGCAATGTTTGATATTGCCGCTGCACGTCACTGCGCCAATCGGCACGGTTCTGAAGTTCCCTGAGTCTCCTACATAGATTGGACAATCTCTTCGGAAATTAGCCGACTTTACATATCTTGATGTTGCACCAAGGTCATGATAATCGCCTTTGAGCCTGTCGTCTCCTCTCTTTCTCTGTACAGCCAGGACAGCGCTATCACGAAGACAGGGTGGGAGTAGCAGCAGCAGCATCATCCAGCATCGGAATGACATAAATACATTACATTACTCTGCCTCTTACAGGCACGATGACTGCCTGAAGATCCTTTACAAACCTCGCAGACAATCATTATTATGAAATTCATAGAACAGGGGATGCGTGGGTTATACTGAAGAGCACCAATGCTCACCGGTGACAGCTCTACAAGAACAGAAAAAGTCAACAGACAACTGGCTAGACTGGACATACTCAGCATCTGAAGTAAGGGTGTGTGGAAAGGAGCGGCTCTCACAGAGGACATCAAAAACAATACAACAGTCAAAACTGTGGGAGGGGAGCACTTATGTGTGTACGGTGTAGGTATGATCACGATAGGTATTGAAGGTCATGAATGGATATAGGTCCTCTTCAACGCACTCCTGGTGCCTAGCAGCAACCACTACCACTGGCGGTCAGCTCCCTGTATCTCATGATGTTGTTCTGTCTTGGTTGAAGCCCTGGACCGGCTTCGGCTTATATGGCTCCTCGAGGTACTTTCTTTCCTCCGGTGTCAGCTCGTAATCGACAGCTGCGAGGAACTCCTTCAGCCTATCCTCGCTAGAAAGACCTAGGATGGGAGCAGTTGTGACACCGGCGCTCCATGCAAAAGCCACCTGAGCCATCGTCCAACCCTTTTTTTTCGCCAACTCCTCGACCCTGTTGATGATCTCGGTATCCGCATCCGACTTTATCTTGTCCTTGTTCCCTTGTCCCCGATCAGTCGATGTCAACTGGGAAACTGGTCTGCACAAAGCTCCAGCAGCAAGGGGTCCCCAAGGTACAAGTCCTACCCCTGTTTTCTTGCAAAACCTGATCATCTCCCTCTCCTCCTCTCTGTATATTAGGTTGTGCTCATTCTGCATGCTGATGAATTTAGTCCATCCCCTCATTTCAGCAATAGCCTGCATTTGAGCCAGCTCATGAGCCCACATGGAGCTCGCACCGATATATCTGACCTTTCCACTTTCGACTAGATCGTGCAACGCCTTCATGACCTCGGCGAATGGTGTATCATCAATTCGATGGATCTGCAAAACATCGATATAATCTGTCTGCAATCTCCCCAAGCTGGCATCTACCTGCTCAAACAATGCCCTTCGACCTAGTCCGCAACGATTGATGTATCTTGGATCCTGACGAATCTCAGGTCTACCATTGAAGGTACCGACCTGATCCTCCGCAGCAGGGAAAAATGATTTGGTCATAATAACCACCTGTGACCTCGGAATATTGTATCTCTTGATAGCTTCTCCAATTATCTCCTCCGATACACCATTCGAGTACATGTTGGCTGTGTCCCAGGTATTGACGCCGGCGTCGAAAGCGGCTTTGAGAAGGGGCAGAGATTCTTCGCGGTTCTTGACCCATGGTGCCCATCGCGAATCGCCATACGACATGCAGCCAAGAATGAATTTGGAGACTTTGAGGCCGGATGCGCCGAGGCTATCCCAGGAGAACGGTAAGTAGGGAATGATAGAAGCCGAAGATTCAACACAGAACCAAGATTGACAGGGCACTTTGTAAAAGGTGAGCCAACTTACTTGACATATCGCATCTTGGGCTTGCTGTCCTGTGCCATGATCGCGATTCGAGGACAGTATATCTGCGGCTTGAGAAGGATCTGAAAATTGTCAGTTGCTCAATAAGCAGGTGTAGGCCACGGCCGGGGTAAAGAATATTTGCTTACTACGTACGAAGTATACTACGTACAACGGATAATCAAGGACTTCCCCGCCCTAAGGTGTGATGATGTGCGGGCTGCTACCAATCGGGCCGAAGGGCCTTTTCCGGTGATAAATGCAGGTAACGCAGGGTGTCAGCATTTGCAACAGGTCATCATTTGCAACACTTTATGGCCGATATCTCCGTTCCTACAAAAATTTTCAACCACCAATTTCAGCACGTTGCCATTCTACCAATATCTATCGCAGAGCAGTGAGCTTTTGATATATTGCTTATAAAGCTTAGTTCTATATCCCATTTTGATATGGCTGACGCGTTCGCTAATTTGAGCAAGCAAGAGCGAATCGAAAAAGCTGTATGCGCATGCCAACGAGATACCACAATGACCGCACGAAAAGCTGCGAAAATCTACAACTGTGCCCCCTCTACTATTACTCGACGACTTCAAGGAGTTACAAAATCAAAAAAGCTCTCAGGAGCAAAACAACAGCTCCTAACGCCTATAGAGGAACAAACCATTGTAAAATGGGTCATACAATACTACCAATAGGGACTGCCACTTGGTTTGAAGCAAATTCGTCAATTTGCTACTGCTATTCTCCTCCGAAAATACCCACAGCCACAGGGTAGTGACCACCCTCTAGGGCAGTCCTGGCACGGAAGGCTATTGAATCGAAATCCTCAAATTAAGCGTGTTGTAGCACGTGGCCTCGATCGAATGCGCGCTTCTGCGACTCTCAAAATAGAGACTCTTAACGAGTATTTCGAACTCTATAACTCCTTATGTCAGAAGTACAAAATTGAGGCTGAAGATACATACAATAT